CCCATTTCCACTTCAACTCCTGAAGCTCCAGCATCGTCGAATCCAAACGGAGACAGCGGCTTTTGCTCCCGGCCGAGCTCGTTTTGTTCTAAGAGTCAGCAACACACACACTCTCTCCCAGGGTCATCATTCTTTCCCCCTCCGCCCAGTCATGCTCAAATTTTAATTCGATATTTTCCCCTCATTCATCCAAACAAGAAACCAACTCCAACTTTTGGCTCGAACTCATTTCATTTTTTTTTCCCCCCCCGTTTTTCTTCAGTTTCTGTTGCTTTGCTGATGTTTTCTTCGCCGATCAAATCGCCGCCCTCGACAGCGTCTGCTGCGCCTTCGCCCATGCGCACGGTCATCGGCTCGCCCATCTCGACCCCCGTGCACCACAACCACATGAGTGGCCATGGCACTGCGAACGCCGCGCTCGCTGGGCTGCACCCGTCGTCCATCCCGTCCACCCCAGAGTCGTCCCGCGGCCTCGTCAAGATTGGCCAGTACGTCCTCGGCGCCACCCTCGGCGTCGGCTCCTTTGGCAAAGTCAAGCGTACGGCTCTCTTGTCTTCATCTCTTGTTTGTTTGTCTTGCCAGCGTCTGTTGCGCGTTTCTGTGACGTGGCTGGAGTTGCGGGTGGCTGGTCTTGGCTCCTCTTTCTCTCTCTATCTTCTTCACTGCTTCCCGCTTGCTCTCGGTCGTCCTTCCTGACAATGCCATTGTGCGACGCTCTTTTGCGTTTGATTCCAAGCATGAGCAATCGCCGCACACGCTGACAGAGAGACCTTCCCCCAACACAAAAACATAAAAAGCAATGACGCTGTTCCATTCCAACGGCAAAACAGCACAGTCACTGCGTGTGTTCCAGCATGGCGCAGACAGTGCGAGTGAGATTGAAGGGTCGACTCACATTGTTGATCGATGGGCTGGTGGCTGCGGGGGCCTTGGCTGGAGCAACCCAGCGCCCGTCGCAAGTGCGAGCCCGAACCTCACACTGGTTTAATGCGCTCCAATCTCAATCACAGTCTCACTCTCTCTCTCTCACTTGATGATCGCACTCCTTGAAAATCATTTGGTACAGGTGCAAGACACGAATTCACAGGACACGAGGTCGCAGTGAAAATCCTCAACCGCAACAAGATCAAGTCGCTGGACATGGTGAGCAAAATTCGCCGCGAAATCCAGTACCTCAAGCTCTTCCGCCACCCGCACATCATCAAGCTGTACGAGGTCATCTCCACGCCGACAGACATCTTCATGGTCATGGAGTACGTCTCTGGAGGTGAACTGTTCGAGTATATCGTCAAGCATGGCAAGGTAATGGGCAGTTCTGACTTTTTTTTTTTTTTCATTTTTCTGTTGACAAATTACAACGACGGCTCACGTTTGGGAGCATGGTGTCTTTGATTTTGCAGCTGTCGGAAAAGGACGCAAGACGCTTCTTCCAACAAATCATCTCGGGCGTGCACTACTGCCACAAGCACATGGTGGTGCACCGCGATCTCAAGCCCGAAAATCTGCTGCTCGACTCCAACCTGAACGTCAAGATTGCCGACTTTGGCCTGTCCAACATGATGACGGATGGTGACTTTTTGAAGACGAGCTGCGGCTCGCCCAACTATGCCGCGCCCGAGGTTATCTCTGGAAAGTATGTCACATGATTGAAATTTTTGTTGTTGAACTGTACAGTGTTCGCACGGTCTCACCACCTCGGTCTCCTCCTCGTCGCGGTAGATTGTATGCTGGCCCGGAGGTTGATATCTGGAGCTGCGGCGTCATCTTGTACGCGTTGCTCTGTGGAAAGCTTCCGTTCGACGACGAGTTTATTCCCAATCTGTTCAAAAAGATCAAGGGCGGCATCTTTTCGCTACCAAGTCATCTCTCCGATCAGACGAAAGATTTGCTATCCCGTATGCTCCATGTCGATCCACTCAAACGCGCCACGCTGGAGGAAATCATGTACGTTGATGGTTTTTTCGGGGAAAGAAAAACCATCATTCAAAAAGACGCCACCTGACTGCTGTTTATCCTGACTTTCGACTGTTCCCTTGATAGCTCCAACCCATGGTTTGTTCAAAACTTGCCAGCGTACCTGTTTCCCGCTGCGGATGCCATCAACACTGATATTTTCGAGGAGGATATTGTGGAAGAAGTTTGTCAGGTATGCGCGCAAACGTTTCCGAGGTTCGCCAATTCGAGCCTCGTTGGTGCTTACCTGGTTCCTCTTTGTCTTTTTTGCGCAGAAATTCAACGTCTCTCACCAGGACGTCATTGCAGCACTCCGCGGTCTCGACCCGTTCGACTCACTCAAGGTCGCGTACCAATTGATCAAGGATAACAAGAGCATTTATCAGCACGGTATGTGTCATGATTCCCTGTCAGCTCATGTATGTTCTTTGCGTTGTGTTCACTGAATTTGTATTGGGGTGTGAGCGCAGCATCGCACTCGGTTACCAGTGGCGATGATCCGGATCTCAGGTCGTTGTCTGATTTTGCCCTCGCCACCTCTCCTCCGCCGTTCAACGAGTCCGATGTACGTTGTGTTTTAGTTTTTGTTGTTCCAATCGTGGCGTGAGACGTTTGTCTTTGCATCAATGGGCGTGTTTGCTCACCTGTCGCCATTGCCGTTGTTCTTGTTTCTGCCGTGATAGATGGTTGTCGAAGGCGCGGGCAGTGTTAACGAGAAAGACCGTAAATTCTTTTTCTTAGTGCTTGGAGAAAGACAGAGCCAGCTTGATCGAACTCTTTGTTCTGACCGTGTTTCTCGAATGATGTCGCAGAAATGTCCGCGCTTCGGGAAGCTCCCGCGGTCACGCACGCCCGCCCTCGCACGGCCTCCATGACTGGCAAGTCGTCCAAGAAGAAGCGTTCTCGCTGGCATCTCGGCATCCGCAGCCGCTCATCGTCCATGGATGTCATGTCCGAGGTTTTCCGGGCGCTCAAATCGCTTGGCTTTGTATGTTCATTCTTGGCATGTTGGCCAAATGTTGGCTGTTGTTGTGTTGACACCAACAACGTGCTAATGGAACGTGATTCACTTTTGCACCACTCTACAAATCTCAGGAATGGAAGGTCGTTACACCTTACTTGCTTCGATGCCGATGCTACAACTCTAGCACTGGCACCATGGTAAGTTATTTGTTCCGGCCTGAGATGATTTGGCTTTGCTTGTTTTTTTTGCGCGTCGCTCATCTCCCCGCCTTTTTCTCATGACTTTGAATGAACAGATGAAAATGAACTTGCAGCTCTACCAAGTGGATGCGCAGCAATTCTTGCTCGACTTTAAAAACCTCTCCGAGTCCGAAGACACCGGCGCCGCCTGCAGTCTCGAGTTTTTCGAGTGCTGTTCGCTGCTGATTCGTGAGCTTGCCATCACCGCGTAAAGACAGTTTTGTTGTTGTGTGATTTTTGTTTTTCTTTCGCTTTCTGCTTATTGCGTGTATTCTCTGATGTGACATAGATGTGTAGTGTTGATTTTTAATAAGATTGATCTCTTCTGCATTGCAAGTCGAAGTCTGAGCGTCTCATTCCCCTTTCTTCCAAAATGGCTGAAGCGACATTGCAAGAAGCCGCGGCTGTCTTTAAGCGACTCCGCCTCAAGACTGAGAACAAGGTTTGTGCGCTTGCTCTGCGGGCTGCGAATTGAGATCCGCTTGTCCATCCGACGCAATGCTTCCCAGGTGTCGCGGTGGGCTGGAGTCGAAGCGAAAGGGACCGAAGGAAGGAGGAAAGGAAAGGAAAGGAAAGGACAGGAGTTTGACGCTCACCATCCATCCCTCCCCTGGAGACTCTCCCGGAATAGCCGATCGCGACTTTCATGTGCTTACTGTCACATTGAACGCACAATCAGCAGCAGCAGCAGCAGCAGCAGACAAATCAACCATCCGCCAAACAAAAAAAAAAACAAAAAAAAAAAAAACTGTTCTGTGTTTGGTTTTTTTTTTTTTTTTTTTCGTTCTGTGCAGTGCAGATCGCTGTTGACCATTTGATTCGACGCCATTTGGTGATTGTGTGTGCTGTGATTTGTGCATCTGCGCTCCATCCATGTGCTGTTGACTGACTCGACCGACCGGATGGGGGGCCCTTCTTCGTTAGTGACTGGTTGTGTGGCGAGGTCCTTTTTTTTTTTTTTTTTTCTTTTTTTTTTTTTCTAGTCAGTCCCACTCGCTGCGTACCCAACCCCAACCCCCTTCCCTCAACCCGACCACTCACCCATGTGTGCTTGTCACAACAGCATTGCTTCGACTGCGACGCCAAGAACTGCACGTGGGCGTCCCCCAAGTACGGCATCTTTATCTGCATTGACTGCGCCGCAACGCACCGCTCACTCGGCGTCCACCTGACGTTCGTTCGGTAAGAGCGGCTTTTGAGCTTGGCGTTGGTTACGGATTGCTGTTTTTTTTTGGGGGGGGGGTGGGCTGTGCTTCGGGACTTGAATGTTTGGGCGACGTGGCTGTTCATCTCACCCGACTGACTGTTGTCATTTTGCTCTCGTATTCTGCCACGGATGCAAACAACAGTTCGACCGACCTCGATCGATGGACTTGGCTCCAGCTTCATTGCATGCACATTGGTGGCAACGCAGCCGCTGAACAGTTCTTCCGCCAACATGGTACGCCGTTCGTTTGTTTGTGTGTTTGACTCTTCGTTGCTTGCTCACTTCGATGGCGAAATGTGTCACGATCAGGGTGTTCGAGCAAGGACGCACAGCAAAAGTACAACAGCCGCGCTGCAACTCTTTACCGTGAAAAGATTGCGACGCTCGCGGCTCAAGAGCAAAAGCTCCACGGAGATAAGGTGAGGAAGGAGAACTTTTCGTCGTCGCTGCGCTGCGCTGTGCTGATTGGGGGAGGGGAACCGCCTCACTCTTTGTTCACATTGTCCTCGTACGTGCAATTTGAACAGATTGTGTTTGAGAACGTCCATGAGCCTGAAAAGCAGGAAGTCGACTTTTTCGACCCTTCCCACCACTCGTCGGCTCCTCGCTCGCGCGAATCCCCCGCCCTTGGCGCAAGTGCCAACCCGCTGGGCGATCTGTCCGCTCTCAGTCGGTCTGGCACGGGCTCGCCCGCCCCTGCTCCTGCTGCCGGAGAAGCCGAAGGTAACAACCAAACTATATCGTTGTTGGAGGAAACTCTTGCCTCCATTTGCTCGGCACCTTGTTTCTTTTGTGCGCTTGAGTGTTGCTAATGCCGTGGCTCTCTCTCTCTCTCCTCCTTTTTTTTTTTTTTTTTTTTTTTTTTTTGATCTTCTGCAGCCCGACCCACCTTGAATGTCAACCTGACGCACGACGGAACCGCTGGTCCCGCTTCGGGCAGCCTGCTTGCCAAACCGAAGGCTTCTTCCGGCTTGGGTGCCAAAAAGTCGGGTGGCCTCGGTGCCAAGAAGGTGGTTGCCAATTTTGACGAGATTGAATCTCAAATCAAAGTGCAAGAAGCCCAGGCAGCCAAGTTTGCCGCAGAGATGGCCGCCATGCCGCCAGCCGTCGCTGCTGCCGCTGCAGCTGCATCGTCGGAACCGACGTCGTCGCGTTTGACTTACGATAACAAGCCAAAGACGCTCACGGCTGAGCAGCAACAAAATGTCGATCGTCTCGGCATGGGCGCTGGACGCATGAATTTTGGCGGGTATGCCTTTTGGCTCAGAGTTGCGACGGCGTCTGTCGATGAACGTGGAGGTTGCCAGGGAAACTTACTCATTCATGTGGCCGTTCTTTTGACTTCACCCATAGTAATGTGCAAAGTCACTCTGCTTCGTCGTCCATGACGGTGGTGCACCAGGAAAAGACGGAGAGCGACTATCGCCCAAACTCCAGCGTCTATCTCGATTCTCTGGAAAGCAACCGGTTTGGTGGGTCGCGGTTTGACAGCTTTGGCGGCCAAGGCGGGTTTGACAGTTATGGTCAGAGCGCCAATTCGTTTGGCTCCTCCAACTTTGGGTATGCGTCCGAGCCCAAGCGAAATGACTTTTTCGACTCGTTCGAGCGAGTGGAACGCGGCGGCTTTGGCGGGCAGTCGTACGTGTTGAACGCGATGGTCGGATTTTGAGAATGGGTGATGTTGCTGTTGTGCGAAATATGCTCACGCGCTGCGCTGTTTTGGTCTGAGTGTAGAAACTCGTCCAACCGCGGTACCGGATTCGGGGGCAACTCTGGCAGCAGCAACACGGGCAACTCCTTTGCCAACCCGTCGTTTGGTAACAACTCGAGCTCATTCGGAAACAACGCGAGCTCGTTTGGAGGAAACAGTTCGTTTGGCGGAAACTCCTCGTTCGGGGGCAACAGCTCGTTTGGCGGCAACAACAGCAGCAGCAGCAGCAACAACAACAACAACAGCAACTCGTTCGCTGCAAGCGGTAATTCGTTTGGCGGCAGCTCGTTCGGTGGCAACGGTAGCTCATTTGGCGGCAACAGCGGGGGTAACGCCTCTTCGTTTGGCAACTCCTCCTTTGGCGGACCTGCCAACAATTCGTCTAGCTCTGGATTTAGCGATGGTATGTGAATTTGCGAGTGATTCTGGGAGACTTTGGTTGGAGGCTCGAAAAATGCAGCAACTCACTTGGTCTGTTACTTTGCCTTTGCTAGGCGACTCTGCGTCCAAGCGCTTTGCAGGAGCCAAGTCCATCTCGTCGGACGCATACTTTGGCCGGTCGGGCTCGGCTGGTGGTGATGATGGCAATCGCGGCAGCTCGCAGCGCTTTGCTGGTCAGACCTCCATTTCGAGCGATCAGTACTTTGGTCGCGAGCCGCAGCGATCAGGCAACTCGAGCCACACGTTTTCCGATCAACTCAGCAGCGACATGGATCGTCTGAAGGTTGGCGCGTCCAAGCTTGCCGACAAGGTTTGTTTTTTTAGGGGCTTTTCTTCAAGGGGGGGGGGAGAGGAATCGTGCCAGCGACTGACTTCTTGGTGTCTGTATCCTTGTGTTGTTTTCGCTGGTTTTTCGTAGTTGACTGGCATCTACCATGATATTCAAGACAAGTATGGCGCATGATGTTTGCAAAGTCAACGAGGATGCTCGTTCTTTGTCTATTTTTTTTTTTTCTGTTCTTTGTGTATGAGAAGGATTTGATTGTTGTGCATTTTTGTACTTGCATTTACCACAATTGCAACAAGTCACGTTCGATGCGCGAGTCACTGTCTGAATGAAAGATTTCAGGCAATGCTCGGTTTAGGAATTTGAAGCGGACCACAGAAAAAAGAAGAGGGGGATTACGGAAATCTGAGAATCACGGTCAGAAATGAAACAAGTGAATCGTCCGAACACTTGAAGAAAGGCTCAAGCATATGAAAAGACACTTCCGTTAATGCAAAGTCAGTGAAGGGCAGACATTGACGGTCTAGGAATACAGTGAACTGCCATTGTCTGAGAGTCCGTCTGTTTGAGCGTGCAGATGTTTGACTGGCATACGAACAGCGTTTTTGTTGGCCACTGGAGACGAGAGCTTCGAGCCATCCATCGCGCTTCATCCCAGAGCTGGGGCGAAGTATCCTTTTTTGTGAATGGCTCTATGAGGAGGATTCCTCGTGGTCGAGGGAGATGCGGCGGCGGCGCGTTCAGACTCGAGAAAAAGGACAAAAATCTCAGACTTTCGCTTTTGTTTCTTGCTTGTTCGATTCCTTTCTTGAACGTTTCCCAATACTCATCATCCGAACTTGTCATCCTTGGTTGAGGGCTTTCATTTCATATTTAGTCTCAGTCTTCTTGTGTTGAATCTCGTGTGCGTTTCAGGTACCCCCTCTCCCCACTCTTGGGGCTCTGCGCTCTGTGATTGAGAGATGACCCTGTGCTTGTGCTTTGACTAAGAGAATGACGATGGAGAACGGGATTGGTGGGCGCGTGAACGAGAAGCGTTGCGAGCAAACTGACTGAGAGCAAACGTTGTAATGCAGGCAGTTATGGATGACATGAACGAGCTCCAGCGCGAGCTGTATGACATAGTCAAGAATGCGACTGAAGATCTCGAGTAAGAGAAACCCCGACGTTATTGGAACAATGTGAGTGTGCGCATGCTGACGAATCGGAACCAGTCTGAGTGAGGAACGGATTGACGTTGCTGCAGCTCAAGCGATAGCTGAAGCACTCAAGGTGAACACGACGCTGACTTGGCTCAAGTATGTCACTTCACTTTGTACTGATGCATTTGGAGTCAGTGGGTGGCGTCAACAGCGGGTAGGCATGGTACTCACTGAAGGAAGGGATACGAACAGGTTGGAAAAAAATCAGATTGGAGATCCTGAAGCGCAAGCCATTGCTGAGGCGCTCAAGGTGAACACGACGCTGACTTGTCTCGAGTAAGGAAACTGGCTTTGATTGGTGCGTGTTAGTGAGTGATTGCAGCAACAAGTATTCAGAGTGCTCACCGACGGAGGGGATGCGGGCAGTCTGGGTAACAATCGGATTGGCGATGCTGGAGCACAATCGCTTGCTGAGGCGCTCAAGGGGAACAAGACGCTGGACGAGCTCGAGTAAGGAATCTCACATTGACTGTTGCATGTGAGTGGGTGAATCCGTAGAGGACGTGAAGAGTGCTCACTGATGGAGGGATGCGGGCAGTCTGGGTAACAATCAGATTGGCGATGCTGGAGCGCAATCGATTGCTGAAGCGCTCAAGGTGAACAAGACGCTGGACGAGCTCGAGTAAGGCATCTCACTTTGACTGTTGCATGTGAGTGGGTGAATCCGTAGAGGACGTGAAGAGTGCTCACTGATGGAGGGATGAGCAGTCTGGCTGGAAGTTTGATTGGCGACGCTGGAGTGCAGGCCATTGCTGAGGCCCTCAAAGTGAACACGACGCTGACTGGGCTCAAGTAAGTCTCCCACTTTGACTGGTGTATGTGAGTGGGTGAATACAGCAGAGAGCATTTAGAGTGCTCACCGATGGAGGGGATGTGGACAGTCTGGACGGCAATCAGATCGGCGATGCTGGAGCGAAGGTGCTTGCTGAGGCACTCAAGGTGAACTCGACGCTGACTAAGCTCGAGTAAGGCATCTCAAATTTACTGATGCATTTGCGTTGGTGATTTCAACATAGCTTAGAATGCTCACCCATGGAGGGGATGTGGACAGTCTGGACGCCAATCAAATCGGCGATGCTGGAGCGCAGGCCATTGCCGAGGCACTCAGAGTCAATCCGACGGTGACTAAGCTCAGGTAAGGCACCTCACTTTCTTTGATGCTTGTTAGTGAGCAATCCAGCAGATAGCATTCAGAGTGCTCACCGATGGAGGGGATGTGGACAGGCTGAGTGAGAATCAAATTGGCGACGCTGGAGCTCAAGCGATCGGTGAGGCGCTCAAAGTGAACACGGGGGTGACTTGGCTCAAGTAAGTCTCCCACTTTGACTGGTGTATGTGAGTGAGCAATCCAGCAGAGTGCAATCCGAGTGCTCACTGAAGGGGATGGTCAGTCTGTGGGAGAATCGGATTGGCGATGCTGGAGCGCAGGCGATTGCCGAGGCACTCAAAGTGAACACGACTCTGAATCGGCTCGGGTAAGGAATCTCACTTTGACTGGTGTATGTAAGTGAGCAATCCAGCAGAGAGCATTTAGAGTGCTCACCGATGGAGGCGATGGACAGTCTGAGTGAGAATCAGATTGGCAATGTTGGAGCGCGGGCGATTGCCGAGGCACTCAAAGTGAACACGACGCTGACTGAGCTAGGGTAAGGCACCTCACGTCGAGTCTTGCATGTGAGTGGGTGATTTCAGCAGAGTGCATTTAGAGTGCTCACCGATGGAGGCGATGGACAGTCTGAGTGAGAATCAGATTGGCAATGTTGGAGCGGAGGCGATTGCCGAGGCACTCAAAGTGAACACGACGCTGGCTGTGCTAGGGTAAGGCACCTCACGTCGAGTCTTGCATGTGAGTGGGTGATTTCAGCAGAGTGCAGCAAGGGCGCTCACTGGTGAATCGAGTGGACAGTTTGCACACAAATGAGATTGGCGATGACGGAGCTTGCGAGCTTGCTGATGCACTCGAAGTGAACACGACGATGACTAAGCTCCAGTAAGCCGCTGTGCGCTTTGCTGGTATCGAAAACTGAGCCAGTCAGGTATACTTGCTATGTTGTCCATCCCCACTCATGCATTGCGACAGTCTAGACCGTAATTGCATGACCTACGGATGTTCCGCGCTTCTAGATGCACGCGAAGACAACTGCAGGCTGGAGCTTACGTAGGTGCTGTTTTGTGAACTTGAACATGAGAGCCTCTTCCCACGCAAATATTCCTCTAACCAATGGATGGCCGTGCTGACTGCCCACTAATTGTAATTGTTCGCTGCACAGCTTCGACGACCAGATAGGCCGTCTTGCATTCATCTGGTTGCCACGAAAGGCAACTGCTGAAGACGTCCAGAGCGTGTTTCTACTGCTGACCAGCGGACTGCAGCTGGAGGATCAATCCGCATCTCTACCAGTGTTGCCAGCCGAGATTGCCGCGCGCATCATGGACGAAGCGCACTACTGGCCAGGCGTGCGGCATACCAAGCGATCACGGTTTTATGATGATTCCCCCGAGCGTATGCTGAAAGTCACACTGCCTAAAAGGATTAGTGGAGGTTCGGTTTGTGTGAAGTCAATTTGCGTGGCTCGTGATATGGGATATGAGGGCTGCTGCCCGAGGACGACTATTTTGATTTGATTTTCCGAGATGAGCAAGGTGTCATTCGGTACGAATGTGCGATATCCCCGACCGAGTTTTACGGGGATAGCCTCGAGTGTGCGACGATCCAGCCAGAGACTACTCCCATCCTCCGGGAAATGCGCGAGGGTTGGCAAGTTCAAGTTCGACCCAGCGAGAATGGAACTGTTCTGTTCGAGACGATTTATTTCGAATGAGACAGATTTTCGCGGAAACCCCACCCTGTGCCGTCCGTGGGTTTTCCAGAGCCGTTTCAATTGTGCTGCTGTGTGGACGAACAACTTGTGAAGCAAAAAAGGCGTTGGTTCCGTTGTCCGTCATTGCCAAGTATTTGCCAACATTGCACCAGTTGTTGAAGTGACAAAAGAAGAAAAAAAAAAAGGCCACAGAAAAAAAAACGCTTTCAAAAAGCTCGATCGCATAACAAAGTACTTGAAGTGGCCGAACGATACGATGCTACACGATGTTATCTTCGAGAACGGGGGTGTCCTTGAAGAGCCGATCAGCGGACAGTCGAGTCAAGTCGAGCGTTAGTTGTTGTTTAAAAACAGGCCAAAAAGTCTAGTCAATCAGTTGACAAGCACGCATCTCCGCTCTCCCCCACTTCGCTCAAAGCCTTCCAGAGCTTTGTGTCAACAAAGAGTTTGCTGCCCGATTGCGAGAGAGATTGTTGCAACAGCATTTTCAGTGCAACAAAGCAAAAAGTACTCTAGATTGGGATGCGCACCAAGAATCACGCTGTGGTCGAACGCGCTGTAGTCGTGGTGGCCAGCCCAGGCATTCACACACTTGGCGTACTCGAACGCAGGTACGCGCGACGCAAGGCTGGGCCGAGCAAGTGTATTTTCAAACGTGTTGTTGTTGTCTTCATCCGTCATTGTCGCTCCTCGTCTTCCGTCCCTCTTCCCCATCGGTTCTTCTTCTCCCCCTTCGTGCGTCTTTCATGCCCTTCTCTTCTTTTGGACTCGCTCTGCTTTGACTCGTCCGCTCTGTTTCTCTCTTTTGTATTTTGCTTGAAATCAAATTCCGGCGTTCATGTTTGTTTTGGTTGATTTTTTTTTCCCGCGTTTTTTTTTCTTTCTTTTTTTTCCAATGCAAAACCATCGGCGAACTTGCGTTGACTTTTGATTGGGTTTTATTTCCATGAGGTGACTTTTTTTTTTTTTTTTTTTTTTTTCAGTCCATTTTCTTTTTTTCTTTTTTCTTTTCCTTCCTTTCGTTCTTTTCTTTTCTTTTTCGTGTGCTTTTTGTTCGTTGTTTGATTTGCTGCTCAAAATCATGATGCTTTCCATTCAACAGCAGCAGCAGCAGCAGCAGCAGCAGCAGAGAATTGTCGCCGCTGCAACCGCCGCCGCCGTCGCCGCTCTCCAGCAGCAGCACCACGCCCTGTCACCCTCGTCCTCCTCCTCCACCTCCTCCGCTTCCTCCTCCTCTGCTGTCCCGTCGTCGTCGTCCATGGCTGGTGATGCGGTGCTCGCGAGTGCAACTGCTGCGGCTGCTGCTGCGGCGGCGGTCGCGTCGGGTTCCGCTCAGCATCAGCATCAGCAAAATCAGGCCACTTCTTCCTCCAATGCTGCTCCAGCGACGGCGACGGCGACGGCGGCCAACCTCAACTTGTTCAACCTCATGAACATGGACGAGGACGACCCGCTCTTCACCGACTTTGTCCTCTCCAACTACTACGGCTTTGGCGACCTGGACGACCTCAGCGCGCTGACCGCTCACCAGCAGCAGCAGCAGCAGCAACAACCCCAACCCCAGCTCGGTCTCTTCAACGCTGCCAACGCAAACTCCATCCATCTCAACAGCCAGTTTGGAGTGCTCGGCGGGCTCGGCGCGCTGGCCGGTCTGCCCACCAGCGCAAATCCCATGCTCAATGCTGCTGCTGGCCTGGACGTTGCCACGGTGCTCAAGCAGCAGCAGCACTTCCAGCAGCTCCAGCAGCTGCAACTCCAGCAGCAGCAGCTCCAGCACATGCACCACCAGGTGTCCAGGGCCAGCTCTGTCTCGCTCGACGCCATGTCCGCCTCGGTCGACGGCAGCAGCACGAGCGGCATGCTGACCTCGCCCGGATCGCCGCAGAGCCTCCATAGCCACCTGTCCCCGGCGCCGTCGTCTGCGTCCGTCCACGACGACCACCACATTGCTGCCATCTATAACAACGCTGCTGCGGCTGCTGCGGGCCCGTCGGCGTCGGCGTCGGCGTCGGCTGCCGTTGCTGCTGCTGCGTCGTTCGCCGCGTCTCCCGCGGGATCAGCCGAGCAGGAGGCCTTTGTCAATGCTGCCACTGCCGCCGCGCGTGCCTCGGCCAATGGGCTCGATCCCAACGCTGCTGCGGCGGCGGCCTACACGGCTACGATGGCTGCGCACTCGTCCAACAACCAGCAGCAACAGCAACAGCAACAGCAGCAGCGCGCGGTTGCTTCTGCCCAACAAGCCAAGTCGCCCAACCCGAGCGAGGGTGTGTCCAGCCCGCCCTCGATGACCGCGGCCGCGGCGTTTGGCGGATTGGCCCACTCCATTCCGGCCATGACGGCGGCGGCTGCAACCTCGCCCAAAGCCGCAAGCCCGCTGTTCAGCTTTGGCGTCCTTCCCACCCCAACTGCCACTGGTGCTTCTGCCGCTACCGTTACTGGCTCTGCTGCTGCTGCTGCTGCTTCTTCTTCTTCGTCCAAGATGGCCATTTCGCGCCTCCCCGCCGCCGCTGCTCAGACGACCAAGGCTGTCCCGAAGGGCGCCGCCAGCGGCGCCACTACCACCCCTCTGATGCCGAGCAAGACCGAGAAGAAATCTGCCCACAACGTCATTGAACGCCGCTACCGCAACTCGATCAACGACCGCATCCTCGAGCTGCGTGACGTTGTGCCCGTCTGCCGCGAGGCCGCCGCCATGGTGGCTGCTGGTACCAACACTGTCAAGATCAAGCTCAACAAGGCCACCATCCTCCGCAAGGCCATCGAGTACATTGTCTTTTTGCAGGGCTCCCTCGAGCGCTCGCGCCACGAGAAGGCGACCATGCAGCACGCCCTCGAAATGCACGGCGTGGATGCCACCCAGCTCCTCCAGACCATTGAGGCCGAGCTCGGCGCCATCAAGACGGAAATGGCCTTCTCTGCCGCCGATTTCGACGACAATGAAGAGCTGGACGAAGAGTTTCGCGACCTGCCTTCCCTTAGCAACCTTCTGGAGAGCGAGGACTCGAATGAAGACGTCTCGCCCTCCGACTCGCCCACCATCACGGCCATGACGGAGGCCGTCAAGCCCGCCAAGCGTGGTCGCAAGCCCAAGGCGGCTGCCGTGGCAGTCGGCGACGGCTCTACTCCCGACGGTCGCCGCAAGAAGGCGGCTCTTGTGATTGCCCCTGCGTCCTCTGGCGGCCTTCTCGGCGGCTCGACCGTGGGCGCCATGCGTGACGGCAGCCGCATGATGCTCTTTGTGCTGATGCTTGTCACGCTCTTTGTCAGCCCGATCGACACACTGGTGGACACGAACGCGCCTGCCGAGCATTTGGCTGTGGCTGCGCGCACGCTCAGCTCGGTGGAAGTTGCCCAGCTGAGCAACACGATTTGGATGCAGGGTCTGCTGATGACGGCAGCTTGGTGGTTTTTGCGCGCTGTTGTGGTTGTGGTCTGTCTCGCTCGCGTCTTTTTCGGCGAACCCGTCACCTCGTCCAAAAGCCTCGAGTATCACCGCGCACAAGAGCTGCAGAAGGCTGCCCTCGCCAACCTGGCCAACGGCGATCGCGCGTATGCCGAAACCAATTTGATTGCTGCTCTGGAAATCCTGGGTCGTCCGCAGCCCACCTCCACGCCCGAGTTGTACGTGGCGGTCGCGTGGCAGATCATCCGCCAAGTCTTGCACCGCCTCTGGATTGGCCAGTGGATTGACGAGTTTGTTGCGTCGCGCAACTCGAATGCGCGCGTCTCGTTCAAGGCTGCTGCGGGTTGCTTCCACATGTTGCAAATGGTCCAGTTCATGTCCTCCACCTCCAACTCTGGCCACAGCACTGGCGTCTCGTCCTCTACGACCGCCAGCGACTCGGACGAGCAATCTTCGGGCAATGTTTCTGCCAAGGCTCCCGTCTCCTTCCGCAGCTCGCTGCATCGTCTCAATGTCGTGCTGAACGCTGTCAACCTTGCCGAAGCCTCGCGTGGATCGGTCTCTCCCTCCTTCCTGATTGAGGTGTACTCCACCGCCGCCCTCCAGCTCAAGTACGCCTTCCCGCGTCGCTTCCACTTTGTGACGCGCCAGCTCCTGATGCTTGCCAAGTCTGTCCGCGCTGATGCTGGCGACCTCGATCCCTCGCTCGGCTGGCTCTTCCACACTGACGGCTACGCCTTCATTTCCCGTGGACTCTGGCGCGCCTCCTTTGCTCGCCAGGCTGCTCTCTCGCGCACCCTGTCCCCGCTTGGTCTGCTCGGATCCATGTACCGCACCGCGCTGCTTGATCGTGCGTTTGCCGTGCTGGTCGAACAAGGCAATGCCCTGCGCGCGCTCGACCTGATGCAGGAAGCTCGCCAGTACGCTCTTGACGCTGCCGATGTGTCTGCCGAGTGGTGGGCTTACATTGGCCTCTCCTCCGCCCATCTGCGTCTTGGTCACACGACCGAGGCCATTCGCGCCTTCCAAACCGCGGAACACTTGCTTTCCAGTGGCACCATGAACGAACCCGTGACCCAAGTTCAGCAGGCTCTCGACCAGGCGCTTCGTGGCAGCATTGCCCTGCTGATGGACGACGGTGTGACTGCCATTCGCTGCACCGAAATGGCGTCGGCGCTTCTTCGTGACGACCCGGCTTTGGTTGTCATCCGCCATCGTGCTGCCGCTGCGTCCGCATTCCAGCAGCAGCAGCAGCAGGACAGCGATGGCTCTTCTGCCCAGGGCATCTCTGACACTGACAGCGGCAGCGAAGACGATACTGTCAGCGACCTCGGTCAGCGCCGCCGATCGAACGGCCTGGCTCTGTCGACGGGCTCTGCTCCGCTCCAGCAATTGGCTGCCTCCTCGTCCATCCTGCCTCACTCGCTCACCGGCCAGATTCTGGCGTGCGTTCATTTGATGGACAACCGCTTTGCGCTTTGGCAGTGGCTCCGCGCCAGCCACCTCCATCCCGCCCGCGTCCAAGAATTGCCACTCACCACGACTGCCCAGCGTCTATCCGCAGGCGTCAATGGAGACGTGGACGTCTTGCGCTGTCTGTCTCACGCGTACCCGGCCGCGCACAGCCTTGCCTTCCTCTACCAAGCCATGGCCCGCACTCTTGCTGGTGGCTCGTCCCAGCGAACCCGCGCCATGTTTGTCCGTGCTTTGGCAGAGGCGCGCTCGGCCACCTCTCCGTTTGCTGAAGCGTGCGTCTTGCTCAAGATGGGACAACTTCTTGTGGATACAGAGTCTCAGACGAACGATGCTGCTGCTGCTGGCGGTGCCGCTGATCGATCGGATGTGCCGACAGTGGACGAGCGCCGCCATTGGCTCTCTGCCGCCAGCCACATCTTTGAATCGTTGCATGCTACCCAAGAGCTGGATCTGTGCCGCTCATTGCTCAAAGCCCTGCTTGATAGCGACAAGTGATGTTTTGAGTGGGTTGTACTGGCGATGCATGTTACAATCGCCCTTTGTTCCTTTTGTTGAATACACGTTTGTTGGTTTTCATAGCGTTTCGCATTGCACTTGAGACACTAAGGAACGAAAAAAAAGCAGTTGTACTACTGTATGTATACCACGTCTTGTAAGGTGGCCCACATTCACAGAGGGAGAACTTAATACTACTTGAATAGTCGTGCTAATATTACAAAAATCGTAAAGTACAAGAAGCAGCTCACAGACTCATGCTTCAAACGTCTCGTCACTCGGATTGGTGTCGGTCATCTCATTGCCATTGTTGATGTCATCGGTTTCGTTGTCGTCGAGGCCATGCAAATGCCCCTCAGCCTCTGAGTGCAGCTCAATGCTGGCAGAATTCAAGCCGCCAAGAATGTCAGCCACGGAAGCTGGGCGCTGATCAGCAAAGTGCTGGGAAAGCATTGTCGGATGTGCTCGATCCCAGTCAATGAGCGCCTGCATGGCCAGCGCCGGTGTGGGCTGATAGTCGAGATGGAGGTGCACGCCTGGTGCGGGCTCAAATCCGGGCATGTTGGCCCATGTTTCCGAGCCGGCCTTGCTCCAGAGGTGATTGTCGAAATGGGCGTGAAAGATGTGGAAAAAGTCGGCCTGCACACGGGCGATGGAAAACTCTTGCGTGTTGTTCCACAGCAAGCGACCAGCAAAGTTCTCGTCCTCGCCACCGCGCTTCTCGCGGAATCTCTCCACATCGTAACCGCCGATGCGAGCATTGTCCTCCTGCACGAAGGCAATCATGCCCCATCCGTAAACCTCCTCGTACCCGGTACTTTCGGAGAACACGGGAGGAGCTTCCTTGCTCAGTCGCACCACTAACGGCGCAAACGCAGAGTGTCCGCTCTGGCAGTGCTGGCGCAAGAGCGTGAACAGATTGAGGGGGACAACAATGAAAGTGTCCATTGAAAAGTTTATGTCCTGCGGACTCGGGCTCGCATCCGAGGCAATTTGCAGGCCTCCAGCGCGAGAAAAGTTGCCCTAAGACCAGAGGTTTTTGCAACACACCAAGCACAATTCCAAGCACGAGTGAAAAGTCAATGAAGGATGCCACAGGCTCCACTCGTGCTCTTCTCGTTTCTTCTTACCGGCACGTTCAGCAAAATGTACTCGATGCCGTTGGCTTTCAGCATGGCATCAACGTCTACATCCGTGCTGTGGTAATCGGCGACAATCAATCGTAAAAATTGCTCGTTGGTGTAATCCTTGAGCAGCTTGAACATTCGGATTGTGTCGTTGAACGCAGCGCCCTGTGCTCCCAACAAACAAAAGTGTTAAGCAAACAAAAAACACACACCACGCATGAATGAGCACACCAAAAGGGCGCAACAACTCCTCAACCCCTCACCTGGTTGAAATTGCTGATGAGAATGTTAATCCATGGGATGTGGTGCTGAGCCGGACGGACGGTAAACTCAAAACTGCCAACGCTGCGGCAGGGCGGATGAGTTCGCTTGACCTCGCGAACCTTGACAAAGTGCCTGCCGTGGTTGGGCAGCTCAACGGAATACGACAGGTGAAGCGTCTGGGCGTGAGCAACGGTAATGTCCCTCACTGTTTGCAGATCGGTGTAGTCGTTGCCGATGAATCGGTCGATGCAATGAAGGACGTGTGAGACTTGTCGCAGGGTTGACGGCGACAAAAGCGGCGTCGCATGTCGGAGCTGGGCGAGCGTTTTCGCAAAGGTACTGACAGGATGTCGCTCGGCCAAGCTGGCCGAAAAGAAATGCTTGTTGGTGTGGGTGGGAGGCAAGAGCCACCCGATGGAGGTAGCCGGCGCCAGCATGGAGTATACATATCCGTTGCAGACAAGGCTGGTGAGCGGAGGAGCGTTCGCGCTAAATTTGTTGTGGGCGCAAGTGAGGGCCGAGTTGTGCTGGGACGTCAAGGTCAAAAAGCTGAGGTTGCCATTCGTCTGCTGGAGGTCAAATGTTGGCTGACCTGGCAGCGGAATGGGAGGCGAGGTTTTGAGGGGCGTTTGCAGCTGCGATATCATGCGGTACAGGATGGCGTGGTTCAAGTGCAAGCGGTCCAAGCTCATGCGATCCAGAATCAAGGGTGCATGGGCTTCGACGTTGCGAGCCATCTTGGTGTTGCGAGCAACGGCTTCGAAGGCGACGCTGAGCTCCTCGGGGTCTGCAGGAGTCGCCAGCAGGTAGCCAGTGATGCCATGGTGGATGAGTTTTGAGGCCGGAGCCACGTCCGAGGCAACCACAAGCACGCCCGCGTGCAGTGCGCCAAGAATCAACACTGGGTCGATCGTCTCGTCCAGCGTCGGAGCGAAGAGCAATGTGGCAATCGACAGGTACGCGTCGTAGATGGCAAGGCGAAGATTGTCGTCGTCTCCGGGGCAAGGATGGAAATTGAGCGGATTTGCATTCGTTTCGAGGGTGACCCTGGCCTGAGACTTTTTCGAGCCCTTGGAAGCGGTTTGAGCGAGCTTGGCGTGCGCTTCGAGGTTTTCAAATGTGAAACGGGGAGCTGGCGTCGGCTTGGTCGCCAACAGGTCGTCCCACCCGCTCCCAGTGCCGTCGGTGGCAGGCGAGCTGGGAGGCAGACGCACGCAAATGACATGCGCATCGTTGGAGAGCAAGGCAGAGGCGGCCACGACACCCACGGTATTGTCCAGCTCGGAGCTGAGGCCAAAATGCACAACGCGAATTTTGCTTTCGCCAAACTTGGAGAGCAACTTTTGTCGACGCTCGGCGCGACATGAACGTAGCTCTGGTGTTTCGATCGTGCCTGGTATTTCGGCACCCGGAGCCAAACGGGACGGATCTGCGGCAGAGGCAGCCATGTGCGGATACGGTTCAACGTTCTTCAGCTTGCCAATGCTCGGGGCAGATTCGTTGAATGGCAGGCGTGGGCGGAATTCGCTGAGTTGCATGGCAACAGGCGCATACCGAATCGGATCATAGTACGGATAGAGGGTGGCTTGCTCAATGCCCTTGGCCAAGAGCGGCGGCACGGCCCGCTCGTCCGCAACCATGACAGCATCGGCGCCAGCAGTCGACTCGTGGGTCTTGTACGAGTAGCTATCATCGTGCACCGAAACAATGATGCGGACGCCCGGCGCGCGTCCAAAGTGCACCGCCATGTCGCTGGCAAACGCGGCGCCAAACGCACGAAGCAAGACAACCTTGTACTTGAGCAGCCTGTCCATCAGATCGGTTGGCTGGGTTGGGATGGTGTAGACGCCGAAAACGCGCCGAACTGCTGTTTCGTACGGCGAGAAGCAAAAGACGCGAGTAAACATGCCGCTTGGATTAAAGTACTGCTGCAAAAAGGCCTCGGGGTTGGGCAGGTTGGAAGGTAGCAACTTCAAGAAGGACTCGATTGGACGGTCGAGGACAATGCCCAAGACAAGATGCCGACTGGACAGCAACACGTCGTCGGCGATACCGTCGCCGTCAACATCGCCAAAGCCGTCCGCAAAGCCGTCAATGGCGCGTTGAGCCGCCTTTGTGTCTTCTTGAAGCGGAATGCCCAAATGAGCCAAGCGTGCACTTGAGCTCCAAGTGTATGCATACTCGTAGAGCCGCTGTCTGGAGCGGAACTCAAAGTACGGCAGGTCGACCGGCAGCACGCGACCGCCGTTGGTTTCCTTCAAGAGCCGCACCTGCTCACGAACAAACCACTGCTGTGGATGCTTTGGAGCGACCGCTTCCAGGCGTTTCAGCACGCCATTCGCCGCCACCCGCTGTCCGCGCGACCCGAGATAGCCGGCATAGTTGATTGCGCACATGACGGCGGGGACTGAAACCAAGTTGGAAGAGCGGCCCTCCAACTGCGTGGTATTGGGATTGCGAAAGTACACGCTCGGTAGTTTGGTGTCTGAGAGTGCGGCGAGTCGGGGATGATCAGAGTGCTCTTTGACGTGGAACAGAACGTTGGCCGCGACGCGATCGAACAAGGTGCCAGCGCGGCACGTACTTAACAGCTCTCCGGCTGTAAGCCCAAGCACTGGGCTGTGCTTAACAATGGAAAAGTACTGGTACGTGTAGCCGGAAAAGAGAAGTGCGAGCGACTGGCCTTCCCGTGGTCGCGTGACGTACTGCAGCGTCGGATCGGTCAAATGCAGCGAAAGTACATTCTCGCGCCGCGACACTCGTGTCAATGTACGCTCGTAAGCGATAGGCACCTTGTTGGCAATGGCTGTAGTCATTGTGTTGGACATGGAGAGCTCGTGGTGTCGATAGGCAGCAAGGACCGTGTCGGCAATCACATACGGCCCGCAAGTGTCACGGATGCGGACCCAGTATTCCCAATCTTCGACGCCCTCGAGGCTGGGATCATAGTCGCCCACCGCATCGTAGCAGCGGCGAGTGTATGCAAAAGACATGATTCCAGGGTTGCTGCCGAGAAGGCTGGCATATTGCAGTTGAAACGGCGTCAGTTGGCTGACACGCTCATACTCGCCGAGATTGTTAATGCTGACGTGATTGCTAATGACCCAGTCGGCTTCCGGATAGGCATCGAGAGTGTCCACAAGGACGCGTGTAAAGTTGGCGTGGTGCACATTGTCCGAGGAGATCCATGTCAGATAGCGGCCTTTTGCAGCTGCAAAGCCCGTATTGAGTGCTGTGGGTAGTCGACTGTTGGGCTGGCGGAGCAGCACCAGCGATGGCAGAATGGATTTGCCCTCAAACTTGTCGGCCCATTCACTTGCAAGAATGCCCAGAAAGCGAGGGGTGCTGTCTGTGGAGCCGTCGTCCACAATGATGAGCTCAAAATCCAGCATCTCTTGGCGTTGAATGGATACAACTGCTTCTTGCAGAAATGCAAATCCATTGTAGGTGGGCAAGACAATGGACAAGATTGGTATGGCACGCCGTGGTTGGACATTTGCTTTCACGACGCTTTCGCCGGCGAGAAAGTGGTCGAGAGCTTCGACCGACGACCAATTCATGTCAAGCGACAATGGCTCTCCGCCATTGGCACGATAATGAGCGACCGCTTGGAAGCCTGGCGGAGCGAGGCGGGCAGTGGCGGGAGAAACGTCGGTCATCGCTTGGACGAGTGGCTTTGTCGCACGAGGTTGTGAGCTGCTCAGAATCGGATTGCAGACCACTGACTCACTCGAGACGACACCCGAGTCCTTGTTGCGCTGGACTTCAGACTGAAAGTTTCTCAGCAATTGCAACAGCTCGGCCTCGTCCAAATTGAGCTGCTGTTGGAGATTGGATGCCAGTCGAGCCTGCAGCGACTGTTGAGCAAGCTGCTGCTCGGCCAGCTCTGCAGACTCGCTGCGGAATGCGTCCAGTTGCTCTTGGGAATTGCATGGGAGCGACGGCTCTGACGATGCAAACTTGAGCCTTGATTTCGTAGTGAGGAGCTCGATTTCGAGCTGTTCGATTCGCTCCTTCTGGTGCAGAATTAACAAGCGCTGCTCTTCACGCAACATGCCAGCTGAGACTGTGTTCTGCTCGAGCCGCTGCTCGAGTGCAGCGCGCTGGCGGACGAGATTGGCGAGCAGCTGCTGGTTGTCCAGCGGCATCGCGTCCACCGCCGACACGCAGTCCTCCGCTCTCAACGCTGCCGCCGCTTCGAGCACTGCTGGTGGCCGTTGCAGCGCAGCGGGGTTGTCGCTTTGATCTGGTGCCGTTGCTCCCCATAGAGCAGCAGCCCATCCCTGTTTGGGGGGTGGAGTCAGTCCACCGCCGTCCCGTTCCCCGCCCGCCCGCTTGGTGAAGCCATGCAGAGTGAGGCCGAGTGCGATGACGGCGAGGGCTGCGAGGGCGAGCGCGACGACCCGTGCAGCACTGAGCTTGCGACGTGGCACCGCGCCAAACCACCACCGCACGCCCACTGTCATCCTTAACTCTGGGGGGAAATGAGGACTTGGTGAGGAGATGAGTACGAATGAGGATGAGGAGTGACCGACCACGCTGCAATGCGTTGTTCAATACAGTTCAATTCAATGCAATAGAAAGCGAGCTCTTTTCTCTGCTCTTCTCTTCTCAGCTCTGAGAAAGCGTAATATTATTATTCGGCAGTTTGGCTGTTTTGTTCAAGTTTTCAGTCTTGAATTGTTTCCTTGATCTTAGTCCCCAACATTATGCTCGAAGCACCTCGAAAGCGAGCGCGGGACGAGGACGATGACAATGATAGCGCAGAGCAGCAACGCCAGCGCCGCAATCCACACGACATAGCCTTAGACAATAATGACAATGATAATGACAATGTTAATACTGATAGCAGCGATGATGAGGACACGATGGAGAGTGATGCGATGCGCAACGCATGCTTTGCTCCAACGTACGAGCAGTCGAACGACCCGGCGCCGACCAAGCACGCGCCGCTCGAGACACCTCACCAAGACGATGCTGCTGGCCAAGCGGACGAGGGAGCCATGGCCAGCAGGCAGCAGCACGCGCGGCCCATCATCTTGGGCGCTCAGACCAGGCTTGCATTGAATCAACTCAATCCGCCGCCGCCTCCTCCGCCGCCGCCTCCTCCGCCGCCGCCTCCACCATTGGAAACAAGCAACAAGAGCGATGACCAAGATGAATCAAGCGAAGGATCTGGCGAGAATTCGACGGACGACGAATCGGACTCGGATGAAGAGCTCGCAATCGCACGAGCGCAATTGGCTGAACAGCGCGCCGCGGAAGCGCAGCAGGAGCAACATCAAGAAGCGGTCGATGAGAATCCAGATGCACCGGAAGCCGAGGTCAAGTCCGATCTCGGTCCGGAACCGTCAGAGTCGGTGCCGGAAACTCAGACTTTGGTCGAACGTGCGTCGCCTCCCCTGAATATTCCATCGTGGATGTTGCCGCCGAACGACGTGGTTGCGCTGCCGACTCAGCTCAAGGAACTCGAGATTATCGAGAAGACCGCTCGTGCCGTTGCCGTGCAGGGAACGCAGCTCGAGATTGTCATCAAGACCAAGCAACGCAGCAATCCGCTGTTTGGCTTTTTGTTGTTTGATCACCCGCTCAATCCGTTCTACAAGCACCTGTTGCAGTTAATCAAGGGTCCATCCAGTGAAGCCAATGCGTTGCAGAAAGGGCCGCAGCAGGTCCCAGGACCCGTCGCTACTCCCGTGCTCCCTGCTGCTTCCGTTTCTGCCTCGTCGACAGGAGCGTCTGGCGTACCACATTTTATGCAAGCTGCGAGATTGCCGGTGGTTGCATTGGCTCCCCAAGTGAAACCCCTATCAGCACCAGCACTCATCCCAACTACCTTACAATCCGCAGCAGTTCCCGCTCCAGTCCAGCCTGTTCCATTGTCCGTCAGTGCACCTCCACTACCGCCGAGCATGGACGACACTCCGCCGCCCCACATTCTCGAAATCGTTCGCAAAACAGTGCCATTCGTGGCGCGAAACGGAATTGAGTTTGAGGCCACACTCTCGTCCCGCAATGCAAACGACGCCCGCTTTGACTTTCTCAACCCATGGAACCCTTATCACGGCTACTACCGTCGAGCTCTCGAGCAAGAGATGCGGCACGCTTAACGACCGACCGGGGCGTGGTGGTGGTGGAGAAGAGGCGTTCGCCCGGACGGCGCTGCTTTTCTCGTGCGTACCTGAATGGCGTTGAGTCTTTTGAGCGCGTCGACGCTCCTGCTGAGAGAAGCCCCAAAAGTACGGTTTGAACGATTCCATCATCCGTGCATCTTTGCGCCGTCCCCTGTGGCCAGCAAGAAGCGCGCGCTGTTCCGTTTGTGTCTGGATCCTGTTGCAGTGGTGGTGTCGGATTCGTTGTAACGCTCCATTGTTATTCCTTTCTGCATTCTGTCTATTTGTATGTGCACTGCTATTATTTTGTTCCCTTGGTTTTTCTGAGCACTTTCGACGGTCTTCACTCTTTCTTCTGACCTACCCCAACTCCCTCAATTTCTCTTGTTATCAAAAATGGCGAACGCGCTGGAAGAGCTCGCTGACTTTCTGAAGGACTCTCGCTCGCTTGTGCGTGCGCACGCGGTGGACACTGTGGCTGGACTGACGGCGTCTGCGGACGGGCTCGAGTACATTCGCGCCTACCCGCGGCTGGCTGACGAGCTGCTCGCGCGGCTGTCTGACGCCGACCCTGGCATTGCGCGCGACGCATTCAAGGCTGTAGTGAACATGACTGGCGACCGGACGCTTGCCCAGCGGACGATCGACGTGCCTGGGCTGTTTGCGCACCTCGTGGCGACCACGACCGAGCCAACGTCGCTGTTTGCCGACCTCGCCGCAATGGTGCTGTCCAACCTCACACGCAACGAGCTCGGCTGTGGCAAGCTGCTCGGCACAAACACGCCCGAGGAAGGCCAAGCGCTGTACAAGCTCGTCGACGTCTTCTGCAAGGGCGCCTTCAACCACAACCCGAACGCATCGCTCAACTTTCTGGCTCCCATCCTCGAGAACGTCTCGCAGTCGAACTTGGGACGGCGGCTGCTGGTCGACCAGGAGCGCGCAGTGCTGCCACGGCTGCTCACCCACCTCGAAAACCCAGACCGCGTTCGTCGCGGCGGCGTCGCTGGCATTGCCCGCAACTGCTGCTTTGAAACGGCGGCGCACGAGTATCTGCTCGGCGAGAAGGTCGATATTCTGTCATTCCTGCTGCTGCCGCTGTGCGGTCCGGAAGAGTTTGACGACGAGGACATGGACGGCATGCCCGATTGCTGCCAATATCTCGACAGCAGCAAGCAGCGTGAACCCGAAGTCTCCATTCGCCGGCATCTCGTCGAAGCCCTGTATCAGCTGTGCGCCACCAAGCATGGGCGAACAGTTCTTCGCGCCAAAAAGGTCTACCCCATCATTCGCGAAATGCACAAGCACGAAACGGTGAGCGGCAGAGCTTTTGCTGTGACTGTTGTGGGCGTCGAGGGAGGGGACTGGGGTTCAGAGAGAGAGACAGAGAGACGGGGAGAGAGATTGTGACTGGTATTGCACCCACTTGGTTGAAGCACTGCAACACTCATTGGTGTGTTTTCTTGGTTGTTTGTTTGTTTGTGCGTCTCGCCCTGGTGTCGCCGCCTCTCTTCTTTGCTCCTCCAAACAGGATTCTGATCTTGACAAGGCGTGTGATCATCTTGTGCAAGTGCTTGTGGGCGAGGAGAGCGGACATGAGGACTTGAAGCAAGTCCCGCTGCCCGAATCCTACACTTCCAAGCTGGCCGAGCAAGTACGGCCCACCACTTCCATCGAGGACGACAATGACGACGATGCCATCATGGTTGATGATCCATCTCTCTTTTGAGAGCACGAATCAATGTTGTAGTACAAGAGCTGTTATGATTTTAATAGAGATGGGTTTTTTTTGGTTCAGTGTTGCAAAGCTTCAGTCAAATATTAATCACAAAGTCTCCACAACGCAGCCCAAAATAAACAAAAATCATAGCACCAAGGCTATGCTCACAGCTCTGAATCACGACGCCGGCCTTGGTAGTGAGCCGCCTCGTTCTCGCGCAGTTCGGCGAGCGAAATGAAGCCGTCGCCATTGGCATCGACCTCCTTCCACATGTGTGCTACGAGGGCATCCACGTGAGCCGGGTTGTTCTTGATTTGCCCGCTGATCTGCGATGCAATGATGTGCGCCATCTCCGCGCGGTTGAGCCTTCCGTCGCCGTCCGAGTCGTGCACACGAACCAGCTCTTCCACTGTCAGACTCGCTCCTCGCGCGCCGTGCTCTTCTTGCATGTGTCTACTCCCAAAAACCAAGCATTGTTGAGTACATTATGGGGAGCTCACGTATTGGCGCTGCTTTTGGTTCCTTTGGGAGCTGGTTTCTGACCTTCGCCCGGCACCTGCGAGATCGCCGCCGTCACCCGGACGGTGATTGCCTGCCGCTGCTACTTGGTGAGTGCCAATCAGCAGCACAAGCAACGAAATGCAAACGAGCGCTGCAAATTTGCTCTGCAATGCCAACATTGGAAAGAAGCCGAGAAATCTGGCAAAAACGACTGAGCGGCACATGAATGAAAACACCCTCTCCCTCCATGAATAGGCTACGTGAGTCTTGGAATCGTCTTGAACTGTAACGCAGCGGCACTTTGATGTATGGCTTGCTGCGTAGTTTTGCGCAAGCGATCCCTTTCCAAAATGACTCCGTTCTTGTTCAGCCTGGCTCTGTGTGTCGACGCGCCGCATTAGACCGACTCCATCATCTTCAAAGTCCCATTTGCCCCCATTTGCATTATTCTAGGCATCGGAACTGTCAGAGGAGCTGTCCTGCGCACGCTGCATTGATTCTCGCGCGAATCTCCGGAGACCACTCGTTGCACAGCTCTGCAGCCCTCGCTATCTCTCTCCATCCGATAAGTCCAGTCCTCCCCTGCTTTTTCCATTCCTTCTCACGAAACTGTCTTTCTGCGCAAACAGGCCTGTGGTTCATTGCAAGTATTCCACCTCAATACGCGTATGGTTCAACTTTACAGAAGGCGAGTGAAACTTGAATCTTTTGAACACTCAGAATGAATGAAAGGAAGCTGAAGCGTGGTTTATTGCAAACAGCACATGTGAGGTTGAAAAGCACCAATCGACGACTCTTCAAGTCCGCAACACACACACACACACACGATGAAAGTTTGACTATGAAACAACAGTCTCCTTTTTTGTTTTTTGTTTTTGTGAAAGCTCTTCGAATGCTGTTCTATGAGAGTATGACTGAGAGCCAGCGCGAGCTGTACGACTGTTTCAAGAATGAGAAGGATTCCGCTCTAAGGTGAGAGTAGGCTGCATTTCTCGGAACAGTGTGATAGCGCGTGTGCACTCACGCAATTGGAGAGACAGCGTGCACGACTTTGAGTTTGGCGAGGTCGAAGCAGAGGTGCTTGCTGAAGGGCTCAAAGTGAACAAGGCGCTGACTTGGCTCTAGTAAGGCATGACTGTTGCATGTGATTGGGCGATTCAGAAGAGTGCTAACTGATGGAGGGGATGGACAGTCTGTACGAAAATCAGCTTGGTGACATTGGAGCGCAGGCAATCGCTGAAGCACTCAAAGTGAACACGACGCTGATCAAGCTCAAGTAAGGCATCTCACTTTGACTGATGCATTTGAGTGGGTGATTCAGAAGAGTGCTCACCGATGGAGGGAATGGACAGTCTGCCAGAGAATCAGATTGGCGAGGCTGGAGCGCAGGCGATTGCTGAGGCACTCAAAGTGAACACGACGCTGACTAAGCTCAAGTAAGGCATCTCACGTTGACGGATGCTTGCAAATACATGATTTCAAGCGAGGGCATTCGGAGTGCTCACTGATGGTGGATGGGATGCATAGTCTGAGTTGGAATCAGGTTGGCGATGATGCTGCCAAGGCATTCGCAGAGGCACTCAAAGTGAACAAGACCTTGACTAGGCTCAAGTAAAGCATCTCAATGAATTGGTGCATGGGAGTGGGCGATCCAGAAGAGTGCTCATTGATGGAGGGGACAGGCTGCACCAGGTTCAGATTGGCGATACTGGAGCGCAGGCGATTGCTGAGGCACTCAAAGTGAACACGACGCTGACTAAGCTCAAGTAAGGCATCCCACGTTGACGGATGCTTGCATATACGTGATTTCAAGCGAGGGCATTCGGAATGCTCACTGATGGTGGATGGGATGCATAGTCTGAGTTGGAATCAGATTGGCGGTGCTGGTGCGGTGGCAATCGCTGATGCACTCAAGCTGAACAAGACAGTGACTACGATCTAGTAAGGCATCTCACTTTAATTGATGCTCGTGAGGGGGTGATTCAGAAGAGTGCTCACCGATGGATGGGATGCGTAGTCTGAGTGGGAATCAGATTGGCGATGCCGGAGCGCGCGCGATTGCTGAAGTACTCAAAGTGAACACAACGCTGACAGAGCTCGGGTAAGGCACCTCACTTTCATTGATGCTTGTTAGTGACCAATCCTGCAGAGAGCATTCAGAGTGCTCACTAATGGAGGGGATGGACAGTCTGAGTGAGAACCAGATTGGCGATGCTGGAGCGCAGGCGATCGCTGAGGCAATCAAAGTGAACAAGATTTTGACCAACCTCGAGTACGAGGCTCAGTTTGACTGATGCGTAAGTGAGTGATCCAACAGAAGGCATTGAGAGCACTTACCGATGGGATGGACGGACAGACTGGGCTGGAATCAGATTGGCGATGCTGGTGCGCAAGCGATTGCCGAGGCAATCGAATTAGGAACGACGCTGACTAGGCTCAAGTAAGTTGCCGTGTGCTTTGCTCGTCTCGGCAGGATTAGCCGTACATTTGGCACCAAGTCATCCAACTCACCATTTGGCCGACAGTATATGGTATAATTGTATTGGTAGTGCTGTTGCTCAATTGATTACAGAGGCAAAGAAACTCAATTACGCCGATGTCTATGCGTAAGTTGGTAGTTTCGAGATTAGTTTCGAGATTATGGAGTTGTCGTGCTGACGTCTTTATTTTTTTTTTTTTCATCGCTTGTTCGTTGCACAGCGACAGTCAGTTCAACCCTCTCGTACTGTCTTTACTTCCACGATTAGCAAGCGCCGAAGACACTCAGACCGTGTTTTGCTTGCTGACCAGCGGACTCGAGCTGGAGAATCAACGCGCATCTCTGCCAGCTCTCCCAGCCGAGATTGCCGAGCTTATTATGGACGAAGCGCACTACTGGCAAGGCGTGCAGCACATCAAGCGATCGCAGTTTGATGATGATACGCCCGACGATATTCTCCAAGTCACCGTGCCTCAAGGCGTCAATGGGAATTCAATCCGTGTGAAATCGATTCAAGTGCTTCGGGACAGCCGTACACTTGACGGCAGCATCGATGACCGCGGCTTTGATTTGATTGTCCGAGATGAACAAGGTGCTGTCCAACACGAATGCTCGGCGAAACCAACTGTCGTCGATTTGACCCTCGAGCTTGCGACAATCTGGCCAGCGAGTCATCCTGTCATCCGACAAATGCGTGAAGGTTGGCAAGTTCAAGTTCGACCCAGCAAGTCTCCCAAGGATGCACTATTTGAATCGCTCTATGTCGGATATGTCTAAAGGGCAGAGAACGCCGTTGTTTTGTTTTGTGTTGTTTTTTCGAATACATGCTGAACGTTCCCGACAGTGTTTGGGCAATCCTGAGTGTCAACCTTCTTGAGAGATGAGACAAGAAGCCTCGATATGAACACAGGCTGAAATGCAATTTGTTGCTTGTCGACCGATTCACATTGCTTCGAGCAAGATGCACCACTGGCGCTGTCGTATCATGAACACACAGCGTTTCCAATGTATTCCGATGCAAATCCAGCTCAGTCAACATTTGCATTTCATTTTATTTTTTCTCTCTCTCAATATCCCTTCTTGCAACAAGTCAGCCATGTTGAGCATGACCACGATCGCGCGCGTCATTGACGGTCTCCCTTTGGCCGCGTCGACAGAAGACGACCAAGTACGCCAGCTCAACACACCAAAACACCTCCATCCAATTCCGCTCTTTTATGTTATTGTTGCTGTTGTTGTTGTTGAATTGCTTTCTTGTTGTGTTATTTGAGCTGTTGCGTGTAGGCCAGATGAGTCGAGTTGAGGAGGCTGAGGTGGAACAGGTCCCAGAGTCATCCGCACTCAGCGCCCCCCCCCCGCAGCTCAATGCGCATTGAAGCGTTCACTCGAGTCGTTCGTGCTTGTTGTTTGACTGTCGACCTGGAGAGCCTGGCGCCGTGCGTGGATGGAGGGACTTGGGGCTTCATCTACGACTTGTACCAAACTCAACTCAACTCAACTCAATTCACATTGCCTGCTGGCAGACCGGACGAGACCTGCAGGAGTACAAGACGCAAGCCAAGCAGCTATTCAAGCGTCTGTCTGACGCGTCGCCCACTCGTTGCTCCATCGAGTCGGGATCGTTCGTCTTCCAGTAAGAAAACGAAAGCAAAATCTTTTTGTGTGCAGCACCAGTCGCGCCATACGTTGGCGATTGAGGCGTATGGCAATGTGTGTTCAGATTGTCTATGGCAGACGATTGGCAGAGTCTGACCCCGGGGGAGGGGGTGCTGATCGCGTTCGTTCAATCTGAACAGCACAACTCATCGCATCACCCTCTGTCTGTGTACGCTCATCACCTTGTAGCTACATTATTGAAGATGGCGTCTGCTTGCTGACGCTGTGCGAGCCATCGTACCCGAAAAAGCTCGCGTTCGCCTTCTTGGAAGACATGAGCCGAGAATTCCAGCAAGAATACCGAAACGAAATTCACACCGCCTCGCGTCCGTATGCCTTTATCTCGTTTGGTAAGTTGTCCATCGCATGCATCAGTTGTGTATGGGATTATCATCGTGGTGTTGGCTGGTTGGCTGGTTTCTTCTCAATCCCTGGAATTCTCATCCTCCCGAATTTCTTCTCAGACACCACCATTCAGCGCCTTCGAAAGCAATACTCGGATACCCGCGCGGCTCGCAACGTGTCAAAGTTGAACGACGACTTGATGGACGTGCAGCGCATCATGATCAAGAACATTGACGAGGTCATTGGCCGAGGACAAAAGCTGGATCGTACGTCACGCTTCTGATAGCGGTTCCTCTTTGACACTCAGGCTTGAATTTGCGAAAACTCTAACTTGCGCGCGTCACCTCCGATACAGAAATTAGTCAAGTTGCCGGACACTTGTCTTCAGAATCCAAAAAGTACGTCAAGGACGCCAAGTGGCTCAACATTCTCGCCATGTTCCAAAAATACATTCCGATCATTGGTGTCGTGGTGATTGTGCTGTTGGTGTTGTACTTGCGTTACGTTTGGTTCCACTGAGACACTCCGGATGGTCTACAATGTTGATGGTGTTTTTGATACTTTGTTCTTGTTCGCTTTGTTGGTTTTTGTGAGTCAAACGTGGTAATTGTCTTTGATACGAATATGAATTTTAATCAGACAAACAAAAGCGGTACAACGAGCTGTTCAACGTGAAAAGCGAAAAAAAGAGTTTCAGTAGTCATCTTCACCGAGGCCGTATTGAGTGCGGCCGGCTTCAGAGTACCAGCCGGCAGCGCGCTCAAAGCCGTTCTTGCGCTCTTGATAATCTCGGATGGTTTGCATGATTTCCTCGCGCCTGTTGTGCAAAAGTAAAGAGCAAAAGTGAGCAACTTCCTTCTGATGCAAGCTTAGCGAACGACTGTTCGAAACGTACGTGTTCATCACGAACGGACCGTGCTGCACGATGGGCTCATTGAGTGGCTTGCCTGCAATGAGAACAAAATGGGCCGGCTCCTGTGAGAGAGAAGGGGAGATCAAACCGAAAAGTGAGTGTAGCGTAAAACTGAAAGCCTGATCAACAGCAACAACCGCCTTCCTTACGTCTTTCGTTGAGAAGGTGACTCCGTCTGCCGACTCGTCATTGTCGAGCAATACCGTGTGGAAGGGCTTCTCCTCAACAGCCTGTAAATTCCAATCACGCAAATCAAAAAAGTAAGATGTCGTCGTCGTTCACGGCAAAGCACATGCCCGCTCCCACTGTCATACCACCAGTCACAACGCTTACACTATCGGCGGGGCCAAAGTACGCCTTGCCCGAGATGGTGAAGGCAAAGCCATTCCAGCCTTTTGGAATGGCTTGGTTGAATGACGAGTTGGGATCAAGCTTAAAATCGAGATACATGGTCGGTGTGCGCGTGTACACGGCGCTGTCAATGTCCATGGACGAACCCGCAATGACAGTCACCGTCACGCCGTCCTTGGTGGCGACCGGAATGTCCTTTTTGAGGAGCTCTTGGTAGTTTGGCTCAATCATCTTGTCTTTGCGAGCCAGGTTGACCCACAGTTGCAAGCCCACAGACTTGGTCAGCGGCACTTCACTGTGGACAATGCCTCTACCAGCCGTCATCCACTGCAAGTCGCCAGCGTTCAGGACGCCCTTGTGGCCGGCGAAATCCTCGTGTGCGAACTTGCCTTCGAGCAGATACGAGACGGTCTGAGGTCCAGAGTTTCCGCATCCATCCAAAAGAGCAAAAGATCAAATCAGTGGTGAGCTTCTTTGTTTTGGTTTTCCAAGTCGATCAGAAAACCGCATCTCAGACTTGGCACGGAGATTTCTTTTTTGGAGCGGATCGCGACAACAACAAAAAAAAACACACAACGGTTGCGTGCTTACCTCAAAGCCGCGGTGGGGATGGTCTGGGAAGCCTGCTGGAGGAACGCCCGTAAAGTAGTCCAGCATGAGGAACGGATCGAGGCGGCCGAGCTCGGGGCGGCCAATCGAGCGACGCACGCGCGCGCCAACGCCTTCGCCTTGCTCGACGCCGAGGATGCTCTTGACGACGCGGCGCGAGAGGAACTTGATGGGAGTGGAAAGAGCAGCAGACATGCTTGGTGGTTCAGTTGCTGGAAGTTGAGAGGAGGAGGAGCTGGCCGTGTTTGATGACTGAGGCAAGATGGATGATGGTCGCGCAATGCCAAGTAGAACAGCGAGGATCAGGATGATGATGGCGGCTGTTTTAACGAGAGGCAAGGACGCGGTGCTTTTGCTACTACTACTACGACTGCTGGTGCTGGTAGTGCTGGTGGTAGTGGTTGCGGGAGCGGGTGTCGCTGCTGCTGCAGAGTCGGGTTGCTTGTTGGCGGAGGATATTTTTGTTGCAATGCGAACGTTGGATTTCTTTTTTTCGGCAAACCTTCTCTCTCAGACAATGAGATTAGCAAACTGAAGGATGAAGAAAAAAAAAGGAAGAGTGAAAGCAAAACAAGCCACAAAAATTGAAGAGTGAAGTGCGTTAACAAATGTTGAAAAGAGCCGTTTTTTATACCAATCGCGGAAGAAAAGCTGTCGCAAACAAAATTGCTGAGAATGACGCGAGCCGAGAGATTTCGCAAACCACGGATCAAAAGCGAAACGGAAGCTTGGACGAGCTGCTTCTCGTTGATTCTATCAGTGCGGATGAACGAGGTTTGAGTGCGAGACGGTCAGGGCAGAAAGACGAAAAGGCGCACAATCAACGCTCGTTGGCCCGCCTCGACAAATTTTGAGGGAATTGGATGGTGATCATTGTTTCACTGGGCTCATGGACTGCGTAAAAGTAGAACCAGTTTTGTTTTTTTCCTTTGTTATCAATCAATCGGCGTCGCCTCAGAAAACAAGATTCAACCCGTTCGCTTGATTCACTTCAATAATTTCGACTCGATCTCAGTCTCTTTTTTTTTTTTTTTTTTTTTTTAAGTTTTAGTCGTTCGTTCGGCTTGCTTTCTCTCTTGGCAGATGGAACCAGCCGCAGCGCCGAGTGCACCAGAACCGGCTGCCGGCGCCGCAGCACCGCACATCTCACAGTTCATTCCTTATGGGATGCCTGGATATCAACCCTCAGCAATCCGGCGCGCGACGCTCGAGCAGCAGGCGCTGTTGAATGCCAAGCCGCCAGAAGTCGTCCTGCTCGAGCAGGCGCTCAGCTCGTGTGTCGTCCACGGAATGATGGCCACCGGCGCAGGTAAAACAAAAACAACTACAACAAAAACCAACTGAAACACACGACACGAGGAACGAAAGCGTGAATCGAAAGAGAGAAGCGGTGGTCACTTTGACGGCACATGTGTGAATGTACAGTGCGGTTCCGGCTCACTCACTCACTCACTCAATCACTCACTCACTCACTCACTCAATGTGCTCGTACATGAACTGCATGGATGGATTGATGCGATGCTTGCTGGTTGGGGTTCCTGCCAGGATTTGTTGCCGGAGGCGCGTTCGGTTTGATCACTTCGGGCATGGATCCAAACATCCTGGGCACTGCCGATCGCCCAACAGCCCTCAAGCCGCGAGAAGTATTCCGCGAGATGGGAAATAGAAGCTGGACTTTTGCCAAGAATTTTGCTCTTGTCGGTGGACTGTTCGCGACCAGCGAGTGCTACATTGAAAAGGTAAAGTTCGAATGTCTGCACCAGTTGGCATAATGCTTTAAGATAGTCTGTGTCACTCAGTGAATTGGAATTGCCGGGTGAACATTAGTACCGAGGGAAAGTGGACATCTACAACAGTGTAGGATCTGGCTGCTTTGCTGGTGCCGCAATGGGCTTCCGAGGTTTGTTTCAATCTTCCATGGTTTGCGTTGGTGCGATCACCAGCGTGCATACTCACTGAAATCCATGACGGTCGTCATCTCTGATTGCGTGTGTGACACTTTGAAATGTCTGGAAACTTAACAGCTGGACCGCAAGCAGCTGCATTGGGATGTGCAGGTTTCGCCGCGTTCTCGGCTGCAATCGATTACTTTATGAAACATTAACAGCAATGTCGATCAGCGGTGGCCGAAATGTCAAAGAAAACTTATTAAAGAAACAGTGTATTCTAGAAAATAGTGTTGTTAACGAAATGGGGTAGGGTGGGTTTGGGGGTAGAGGGAAAAGTGCAACCAAAGCTCTGATCGTTGAAGCGCGCAAAATCCAACAAACCAGCAGCGCAACACGTTGAACAAGAGCGAGAACAAGGTCGACCCCGGGGAAACTAAACGCTTAACAAATAAAGACGTGCGAGCCCCAAAGCTCGCTTGTCGAAATAAATCATGGCAGCAGGACTTTGGGAACTAGCTGGAAGAGAATTCCACGCGATGCATCAAGCTCGTGCTGGGTGGGAGGGTGATGGTGAAGAACGGTCCCGGTAACACCTCGTGTTGTCGTTTGAATGACATCGGTGGTGACAGGCCGGACCCAATGGGTGTACAGCGAGAAAGCGCACATGTCGAGGTGCTTGCGGAATCGCTTGTCGCCGTAGATGGAATCTTCCGGATAGAAGGAGGTGTGAGAAGCCAGCTCGCTCAGGGCATTGGCTGCTGCCGTGGCGCCAGCCGAAAGCAGACTGACGGCATAGTTGTGTGAATCTACATTCAGCGAGGAGCGACTGCCAGCAGCACGATGAGAGTGCTCCCGGTGATGCCGAATGGGACGAAGCGCGTGAGGAACGTCCAAATGCTCGCCAGCGCCGCCCGTCTCACCTGGACCAGCCTCGTCGAGCAAGGAAGGGGCAGAAGGGCTCGAATGCCGCCGACCACGTCCGCGAGTAAACTTTTTGGTGCTGGCGGCATCGGCAGGCGCTTGAGCGGACTCGGGAGCCGAGTCCACACCCGCGAGATTGACCGAGCCAACAGAGTCTGCACGCACGCCAATTTTGGCTGGCCGGACGACCATCTCCAACCCAGTGTCTGTGTCAACCTCTGGAAGCGTTGACAACACTGAGGACGAGGGAGAAGGAGCTGCTGCTGCTGATGCTGCCGATGCTGCTGCTGCTGCTGCTGCGCTGGCTGCAGGGGTGGTGATAACAAGAGCAGGCTGCTGCTGCTGGTGCTGTTGCTGTTGCTCGTTCGCCAGCTGGTGTGCTCAGCGCCGACTTCAATTGCCGGTCGGGGGAGGAGACGGTGATCAAGACGTCTGCCTTCTGAACCACTGCATGCTCGGGGTGAATCGCCGCAGAGACGCCATTGGGCGCGGCAGCAGAAGCGGCGGCAGCAGCAGCTGTTGCAATGTTGGACTCGACTTGTTGCAAATCCACGCCGCTCGCCAAGCGAGACAAGGTAAACAACGAATCGTGCGAGGATGCGGCTGACAGGGTGGAAAGCGAAGCGGAGGACATGTTTGGAGTCAAGTCGGAGCCGAGATTTCGCCAAAGAGAGCGAATCATCAGCACACCGCGAGCGAGAGCACGCAAACGGCGTCGTCGATGATGGGGTGTCTGGGTCGCAGAAGCCGGACTGGAGGCGGCAGAAGCGTCGGGCACTTCGGGCGCAAATACGGTGGGAAGCGCGGTCGTGCTGGTGGTACCGCCAGCAGCGAACGAAGCGGCAGTAGCGGCGGCCAGCTCGGGGGATTGGTAGAAGCGCAAAAGCGGGCGATGCTCGTCGTTGCAAATCCAAGGATGCTCAAGCGCTTGACGTGCCGTCAGACGGCGACGTGAGTCGACGCAGAGCAAGCGCGAAACCAGGTCTTTGGCCTCTTTCGAGACGCCACTCCAGTACGAGCTGCTCATGTCAAACTGCCCTCGGCGAATCGACCGCATCAGAACGAGGCGGTTGGAGTTCCAGAATGGTGGGAAGCCAACGAGGAGTGTGTACAGAATAACACCACACGCCCACAGATCGACAGGGTGGCGGTAGCCCGGAGCGGTCGCGCTCACGGTGCACTCGACAGCTTCGGGCGAGAGGTAGCCGGGAGTGCCGCAAACCTCGCGCAGATTGCTGGCGCCGTCTGGCAAGATTTGGGCCAAGCCAAAGTCGGCCACCATGACGCGCAGGTCGTTTGTCAGCAAAATGTTCTCTGGCTTGAGATCGCGGTGAACAATATTGTGGTGGTGAATGTACGCAAGCGCCTGAAGAATTTGGCGCATGATTGTACGAGCCTGGTCCTCAGGGAAGAAGACGACTTCTGCCAGCTTGTCAAAGAGCTCACCGCCCTGGGCGAGCTCAAAACGAGGTAGCAAGACTTGGCCGTGACAAACACATCTTGCAAGCGCACGACGTGTGGGTGGCCGCCGTCTTCGTTCAGCTTCTTGAGAATGGAAATTTCAAGTGCAATTGCCGAGTTGGCATCGGGGTCGTTCTGCGGCCGCTCGATGATTTTCACAGCGTATTCTTTGCCAGTTTTCCGATGGGTGCATCGCTTGACAACCGAAGAGAGACCGTTGCCCAGGACGTCCTCCGTGTTGTAAAAGTCGCTGAGCTTGTTTTCAGTCACTTGCAGCGTAAAGCGTGGGACGTCAGAGTCTGTGCCTGGCTTTCGACCATTGTGGAAGGCTGCGTTCAAGGACGACGAAGAAGGAGCGGAATCGAGGTAGGCCGAATATGCACTAATGTTGACCACGGGGCTTGGAGCGTGAAGCCCGTTGGGCAGGGCTCCGTTGCCGCCACCGGGTTGCAAGTAGCCGCTGTTCATAAAGTCAAAGTCCAGTGAATCGAACGCGTCGTCGGGGCTGAAGTGAGGCGCAAATCCGTTCCCAAGACCACCAGACGAGATACTGCTGGTGCGGCTGTGAATGTGGTGGTGGTGGTGGTGGTGGTGGTGGTGGTGGTGTTGGTTGTTGTGGTGGTGCGGTTGGTGGTTGTCCGCTGGGCCAGGAAGCGACGGAAAGTGGCAATCGTCGAGAAGCGAAGGGGACGTGCTGTACGGCCGAAAGTACGGGCTGTTGGGATCTGGCTGGGGTCCGTACAAGTACTGCTGGTTTGCCAGATGCGAGTTGCTAGCCGAGGCGGTGGAGGCGATGGACTGAGTGTCAAAGTCGACGCTCTGGCGGCTGCAATTGTCTGCTAAATAACCGCTGTTGCCACCCCCAAAGTGCAAGTGGCCTGGTTGCTGCGCGAGAGAGTGCTCGGATGTCGCGCTGTAGTTGCTACGGGTGTCAGAGTCAAAGTGCGAGCCGTGCACGTCCGAGTTGAGGGAAAACTCTGCTGGCGATGGGTCGTGGTGTGTGGCAGGCTCGTAAGACCGATGGTGTTGCTGGGATTGGTGGTGAGGATGATGGTGACGATCGTCCGCAAGAGCAACAGTCGAGTGATGGTCGGTCGTCAAATGACTGCTGCTGCTGCTGCTGCTGCCAAAGTGCAAATCGCTGTCACCAAGTGTGTGATGGCGCTGATAGTTGACTACCTGGCGGTGCTTTTGATAGAGCTCCTCAAAGTGATCCGATTCGTCGTACGATGAGCGACCGCCAAGGAAACCAGAGTGCGCGCTGTCCGCAGCGTCGTGGTTGTCTGTGAGCCGGTGGAGCACAAAATCCGAAAACTGGCCAGCCTCGGCGTCTTGGTTGAAGATGACCGTCCGGTTGTTCGGGTCGTCCGAGTCCGAGTCAGAGTCGTTGCTCCCGCCACCAAAGCGATAGGCGAAAGCGGTGCTAAAGTTGTCGATTGCGTCTGGGCTTGGGCTTCGAGGGAAGACGCCGTTGCGGAACGCGTTCTGCGGGACGCCGATGCTGTCAGTGAAGGACGACGAGTACTCGGTGCTGCTCGAGGACGAACCTAGTCTGTCTGCGGGGGAAGGGCAGACGGTGGTGTCGAGGTCGTCGAGGGAGTCACGCGCAGAGTGAGAATGCGAGGACGAGCGGGCTTCTCGGGCAGCAGAGGCGGCGGCGGCGGCGGCGTTGTTGGCAGATTCAGCGACCTCAGCAGCAATGACAGCGGCTGTGGCAGCGAGATCGACCGAGCGAGAGCTTCGGGCTGCGATGCGATACGGAGCAAAGCGTGACGAAAGCAGCGCCGAGGACGAAGGCGACGCAGCAGCAGCAGCAGACGATGCGGCAAAGTCTGGTGCCGGGGACGACGGGGGAGTGACTGGAACGGCGACTGCAGCAGCTGTGGCGAGGGGCAGAGCAGACCGTGCTGATGTTGAGGCGTGGGCAGCGGCAGCAGCGAGCTCTGTCTTCAAGTGGGACGCGACCTGCTTGCTGCACGCGCCAGGAAGGGCGATGGCGAGCGCAAAGAAGGCTGCAGCGACAGCGGCGAACGGCGGGTAGACTGACTTGTCCTCAGCAACGACGGAGGAAGAGGAGGAAGAGGAAGAGGAGGGTGGCGATGGCGTTGGCTCAGCTGTTGTTGTGGTTGTTGTTGTTGCTGGTGACTCGAACGATGAGGATGGAAGAGTGGGGGCCGCGTCGTCGCCCGTGTCCGTGAACGTCGAGTGAATACTAATGCTGCTAGTGTTGATAGTCGCAGAGATGGATGGCGTGATGAGCGCGGTGGTCGGAACGGGCTTCGTGGGCTGACAGCTGCCGTCCTTCAAACGTTCTGCTGCTTCTTCTACGGCTGCTGCTGCTGTTGCTGCTCGCTCTGTTGCTTCTACTGATGCTGCTAGTGTTGCTTCTGCAGTGGGTGCCGTGGATGCCGTGATGGCGGCGGTGGTCGTGCTCGTGTTCGTTGCTGATAGTGGTGAGACTGCGAGTTGTGAACTTGGAGGTAGAAGGAGGGACGTATCGCCAACCTCCGACGGCACGGTTGCTGGGCGAGCGCTAGCACCAGACACGGTCAGCGTTGAATCAGAGTCAGCAGGCACTATTACTGCTGCTGCTGCTGCTGTTGGTGTTTGGGGCTGTTGGTGCTGGAGCGCAGTGACAATCGAGGCGAATGAGGAAGACGAAGAAGAAGAAGAGGCCACAGAACCAAAATCAGGCACCGTGGCGCTGCTGCTGCACTCGGTCGTCCCTTCGCCACCACCAGAGCGACTGCTGCTGACACTGCTGCTGCTGCTGCTGCTGCTGGTGCTGCTGGTGTGGTTGAGACTGTGGCTGCTGCTCAGACTGCTGCTCAGACTGCTGCTGCCGCTGCTCGTGCTGATGCTGCCGCTGGTGCTGATGCTGAGCAGAGAACTGCTGCGAACCGCAGAAAAACAACCCGCAGGCTGCTGGCAGAGTGGCTGTGGTGGCTGGAGCTGGCTCAGTGGCGTCGGATGCTGCTGATACTGGTGCTGATGGGGATGGTGGTGATGAGGATGGGAATGGACTCGGAGCGGAGACGACGACGACGACACGGCAGTCGCGAGGAACGAAAGCGGAGGCGCCAGCTTTGAATCAAAAAAAAAAAAATCACAAAAAAAAAAAAAAGAATCCGGTTTTTTGTGGTGCGCTTTGCTTCCGTTCTCTCTTTCTCTCTCTTGTTGGTGTGCGCTCGATTATTTAGCAGGCGATGCTGATGCAGAGATGGACGGTCGTGTTGCTTGGGAGCTGTGTGTGGGCTGCAATCGAGGTCTTCTTCGTCATGCAAGCCAGCAAAATTCACACCACACAAAAAAACACAAAATAAGATAAACGACAAAAATACAAAAAATACGAAAAAAAAAAAAAAAAGAGTGGGTTTCTGTTGTGTTTTTGGCTTGCACAGATCAATCTAAAGCTCCGCACGCGTCCCTACGACAGGACGAGGCCGATGCGGATGATTGTGGGGATGGTAATGAAGGTGTGTTTTGGGGGGTGTGTGTGGATGTGTTGCGGAAGTTGCGTCGAGTTGACAGCAGTTGAAAAACCGACAACCGGCACAACGCACAATTTGGATGAACGATGGAAGAAAATTGGGTGAGCTCGCGTAGAAATCGCTGATGCTTTGGAGCGATCAAAGGGGAGTGATGTGCGGTGCAATGGTGGGAACTCTGAGATCCGACGTGAGAGGGGGTGTGTGTGCTGAGGGCCGAGATGGCCGAATTGTTGCAGAAAAGCCGAATGTTCGCAAATGTTGACAGCAGCAAAAACAAAAAACACCGATCACGTCTCGCGTCTCGCATTGAAATTGCTGCTGATACATGCTATTCTGCAGAGCTCGTAGAACCACTCACGCTTTTAAAAAAAAAAAAAGGCAATGAAAAGCAAGGACGAACGGATTGAAAGGAGAAACAAAAGAAGGAGCGGCGCACAAAGAGAAGAATGAGAGCAAAGTGCGCAAAGCGACCGACATGTGAGAAATTGGTCAGAGATTGGCTGACGACGATGCAGCCACCGTCGACCAAGCGACCAGGCGGTTGGGTAGTCGAATGAGGCATCAGAGTGGATGTAAGAGTCGAGGACACACAGGCCGCGGGGGCCTTGGGACGAATTCGCTTTGAGGGGTGTCAGCCTCCTACCTCGAAAACCGCGACTCAACCCCGCTCGATCAACCGCCCCCTTCGACCGGCTGATTGCAGCCCCCAATTTTGCCCCCCCCCCCATTTTTTTATTGTTTCACCCAGCCACCCTTGCGACAATGAGAACGATCAAAGAACCAAGAGGAACTGAGGAGATGGCAACCCTCAAGTCAGTGATTTTGAAAATCTTCACTGAACGGTGTCGTCTGAGCACGGTCATACTCGGATCTCCCAGCGGGAGAGCACTCCGAGAGCACAGTCAAAACTCGCTGATCGTACGCGAACGAGAGTGCGTGTAAACCGAGAGGACACAAGGGACAGCGACAGAGCCAGCCAAAAGGGGGAGAGAGAGCGAGAGGGGAAGTGATGGGAGGCGTTCAAGTTGTGGGAGGTGAAGAAGGAAATACGACAAAGCCGTTTGGGTGGCTGGAAACGCGCCTTACCGCACAAAAGAAAGCGAACAAAAATCGACGTGCAAAAAAAAAAATCACACAAAGATGCGAATCTTGGGGAAGAATTTAAATAGAGTGAGCTGGTCAGGGAGGTGGGGTGGTTTGTGGAGAATAAAAAAAGGAAATCAACGAAACGCTTAAAGACGTGGATCTTGCGACGCTACTGTATGATATGGCATGGCATCGGCACAGCAGCAACCCCACGCTACGCGAACAGTAATACATCAGACGAACAAACAAAATTTGAGAGGATGGAGAGACGAGCGCTTTTACTTTGAAACACAGAGTCAATCGCCAAACAAAAAAAAAAAAAGAGCGCCTCATGTTCACCACAAACCCCGGCTGAACAGAAACTCCCAAAGGCATGGAAGCGTGAAAGAAAGCACCCAGAGCACACATTGACGCCGTCTATTTGATGTCAAGAAGCTCGACGTCGAAGATCAGGACCGAGTTGGCCGGGATGATCGGCGGGTAGCCGCGAGCGCCGTAGGCATAGTCGGGGGAGCAGGTAAGGGTGGCGCGCTGGCCGATGCTCATCTACAAGTGGCAGAAATCACACGATCGTCGGGAAGTGAGACCTCGGGGAAAAGAGAACGGATTCTGAGCGAACGAGCATGGTTTTTTTTTGTTTGTTTTTTTGCCGAAACTCACTTGAGCAACGCCCTCATCCCAGCCTGAACGAAGCAAAGTATACCAAGATAGAGAATGACACAAAAGTCTATGAGTCACACACACGCCAAACAGGTCATCGTCGTCATCATTCACAGTGCGTTACCCTTGATGACCTCGCCTTGGCCAATCTTGAAAGTGAACGGCTTGTTGCGGTCGCGCGACGAGTCGAACTTGTTGCCGTTGGTGAGGGTGCCAGTGTAGTGAACAGACACGGTCTGGCCCTTTTGCGGCCTTGGTGGAAGGGGGGAAAAGCGCAATGCAGGTGAGCGACAATGATGAAGATAGGAACAAAACGGCAAAAAAAAAAAAAAAAAAAAAAAAAAAAAAAGATGTGAGCGAACGAGCGTCCGCCCCAGCAAAGAGGAGGAGCGGGGGGGGGGGAAGTGCGTTCGCATACAGCAAGGACGCTTGTTTGGTGTTGAATGAGCAGTGCGTGGAGAGAGAGAGAGAGAGAGAGAGAGACAAAGCAAAGCTGGAATGAATAGCATGAACAGTGCGGATTCACTGAAGCGTCATTCGAGAGCGCGACTCTTTCTGTAGCACAGAGCTGCATTCAACAGCGAGACCCCCCACGCTCAAAGAAAAGTGTGTTGCATGCAAAGACGGAGGATGGCGGACACGCAAACGCAAGCGCGAGGAAGATGGGTGAGATGAGGAGCGCTCGTACTTGCGAACGCCGTCGCCAGGAGTAATCGTAGTGACCTCAACGCCCATTGTGAATCTTGAAAAAGCAGGAGTGAATGTGAGTGAATGTGAGTGAATGGGGTTTTAGGGAATAGAGGATGAAATAAACGCAGCAAAAGGGAGTGCTGAACATCGAGCTTCGAAATGCATTTCTGAATTTGCGAATGCTGAACCAAACGCCAGTGAGAGACGTTTCCTTGGATTCATGCAGTGAACATGAATCAACAAGTTGTCGTGGTTTTTCAGCTTAAGAAGCTTTTCCACTCTCTGATAAACGTGATACAAACACAAGAAGAAGATAAACCAAAAAAGACCGGCAGACCGTGTTCTGTTTGGAGATTCGCGTGGAAAACGGCGGTCTGTTCTTCAGGCCCTTTCGCTGTACCAACAAGAAATCAGTTCTCAGATGAAATACGTACGTTCCGAAGCGTCTTTTGCTTTGTTTTGCTCGTGGGATGAGTCGCTCCTCTTGTTCTATATTGGATCTGTTGTGAGAAACCCTTTGCCCGAGGTGTGAAGTCCCACCGTGCTAATAATAATCCACGCGTCGCTTGCTGTTTGTGAGGCCGCTCCAGACCTATTCAATTCTTGTTTCTGACTGGTACCAGCTTCACACTCTGTCCCTTTTGGACCCGAGCACAGCCTGTCTCGACCATTGCGCTTGCATGACAACAGCAGTTCAACAAATAGATTCACATGAGTCGGGGAAACGTCAGTCCAGTGCTACTTTTTTTCTTTTTCTTTTTGCATCTCAAACCCATATGCAATCCAAGGTCTGGAAGCGGCCGCTGCCCATCGTTGTGGCGGTGCTCGTAGTCCTGCTGGTGATGCGGCTGACCAGCACCGTGTCGTGGGAGTCGACACTAGCGGGCTTCTCCGGTCAGCAGCACGACGACGACGACAACGACGAGCTCGGGAGCGAGGGCGAGCTCTTCGACGAACGCTGCTCCCCTGTGAAGGGAGGAGTCCCCGTGCACCCCAAGTCCCAGTCCGACACCAACGCTGCTGCTGCTGCTGCATTGGCTGCTGAGATTGCAGCAGTGCCGTTCCAGTGCATGCCGTCGACGCTGAGCTCGCATCTGCTTGACGCGCCTGTTGGCGTGCTGCGAATCTACGTGTACAAGGAGCTGCTGCCCTCAGGGGACCTGCTTCGCGACCACTGCACAGCGGCTGGTGCTAGCGCAGAGGTACACTTTGCCAAGCGACCAGAGGAAAAGTACTTTCTGGACTGGCTGGCAACGTCCAAGCACGCGACAAGCAACCCGAACGAGGCTCACTTTTTCATCATCCCAACACCCATCGAGTGCCTTTTTCGAATCACCGACGACGCATCCTTGCCCGCGCTGGAAGTGGTCCAGAATGTGCTCAACAACCACAATTACAGCATCCGCGCCGGTCACGACCACGTCCTCTTCACGTCGAGCATGGCGGAACGAGCACAAACCGAAGTCTTCCATGGCGCGTCAGAGCAAAAGTACTACTCGCCAGTCGCAGTTCACTTTCCAAACGTCATTTTGATGTCTACAGAGTCCATGTACACGCAGTGGTTTCGTCCGCCGCGCGACATTGTGATTCCCCCAGCCCTCAACGTTGACGACTACCTCGACGTCCTCGCCTCGAGCGAAAGCGAAGAGAGCTTCAACGAAGACCGGCCCCAACTCTGCAGCTATGTCGGCGATTTCAACAGCTCTGCAGAGCGCAAATCAATAGGGGACAGTGCCACGTTGCGCGCAAAGTACACGCCAGTGGTCACCATCACCGACGCTGTCACTGCTCCAGCGGAGGTTGCAGCCATCTATCGCCAAAGTTCCTATTGCCTGGCCGCACAGGATGAAACTCCCTCCACAATGCAAATGTACGAAATCATGGCTGCCGGCTGCATCCCGGTGCTATTGACGCGCAACTACCTGCTTCCATTCCCCAACCACATTGACTGGGAGTTGCTCATTGTCCGGTGGTTGGACGAAGATATCAAGGGGATTTCCATCTATATCCATCTTGAGAACCTGCCTCGCGCACACCTCGTCGAACGCCGGTTTCTAGTACGTCGCGCACGGTCCTTGCTCACCTACGGAGTTGAGCGACCATCGCCGCCCGTCGCCGCGTTCACCCACGAAGATCCCCACGTTCGGCGTCGCGCCTATTACACCGGCCCCAGCGGCATGATTGTTCGAGAGCTAGCCGACCGCTTTTGCCGCAAGTATCTGCTCTGAGACAAGTCTCAAAATCGTGGATTCACTGCTTTCGTTGTATTGTTTTTTTTCCCGTTGCTTTCGTTTTCTCTCTGTAGATCTACCTCATAGTCATATTCCAATGTTAGAATGAAACTCAGTCCTTACTTTTTTTTCTATTTGTGTACTGTTCGCGTTTCGAAATGGAAGAGATTGTGGATTGCGCACGGTACGGCGAGCTGGACGAGCTCAAGCAACTGCTCGCTGACGAGGCCGCGTCGGGGTCCTTGAACGAGCCCGAAGCCTCCGCTCCTACCACTGCTCCTGCTGCTGATGCTGCTGCTGCTACTGCTGCTGCTGGTGCAAGTGGGAGTGGAACGACAACCCCAGCTCAGGTCGAAGTCCTCAAAACCCGAGCGCACAAGTTCACAGACGCCAACGGCAACACTGCGCTGCACATGGCCGCCGCCAACGGTCACATTGGTAAGCCGATGACGTTGCGTTTGTGCTTGTGGCGCGGCATTGCGGACCCAGTCCGAGCAGCGTGTGTGTTTGGAACCCGCACGCATGTGCTTCATCACTCCTCGTGGATTTCATGCAGTCGTCCATACCCCGAGTCGAGAGGACTTGCCATACGTGAATGCTGTGCTGATCGAACTTTTTGGCGTGGTTTAGATATTCTCGAGGTCTTGCTGCAAGTGTGGCCAGCGAGCGCCGTTGATGCAGTCAACTCGCGAGGAAACACTGCGCTCCACTGGGCAGCGCTGAACGGTCACACGCAGGCCATTGAGAAGCTCTTGGCTGCCAATGCCAACCCAGAAGTAAGTTTGCAACTGTGTGAGTGGATGGATGGATGGTGTGTGTGTGGATGGATTTACCATTCATTGAACTCGCGTTCGGACAACTTGGAAATTTAGATTCAAAACACAGCTGGAAAGAGCCCACTGTACGAGGCAATGTCAACAGATCGCGCGGAAATCACAGATCTCCTGCTCAAGGCATCAGAGCAGCGCGCCAAGCAAAACGGCGACGATATTGGCGATGACGACAACGACAACGCCGACGCCGACGGTGGCAACGACAACGACGATGACGGTCCCGCGGACGATGATGAAGGCGTTGCCGACGATGATGCTGGTGCAGATGACGATAGCGAGGTTGTTGTGCTTCGAGCTGGCACAATGCAGTAATCGACTGTTTGGGTGTTAGTGTTATTCACAATGAAATTTTCTCTTTCGCAGCGTTTTGTTTGTTTTTGCAAAGCAGTTTATTGATCAAGTAAACAGCTGTATGAGCCACATGCATGATTCACAGCAGCGTTTCACTGCTCATTGTGACTTTGCTGCGGCAGTTGCGGCGTATTTGGCAGCAACTTTGGCAAGGTTAGCGTCGCTCCACGCCGCGATTTTATGGTGAGCTTGACGCAGCTCGTCGGAAACAACGGCCTTCTTTCCTGTGCGATAATCAAACATGACAGCTGTGGCGTGGTGCTCGGCAGCGAGCTTGTGCTGCGCGTGCGAGACAGCTTTGAGCTCCATCTTAATTCTGCCATGTTTTTTTCCGCAATCAAAGGGAGGGGTTTTGTTCAGTGATGATGTACAGACATACCAACTACACGCGCAATCAGCACAAGACAGTGCTTACCGATCGGGTTGCTCCGCGCCCACTTTGACGCCAATGGTCAGAATGTCGGGGAACGTGACTGGCGAGCGGTATCGGCAGTACGCCTCAGAAATGATTGGGCCCACACCCTTAGCGTTGGCAAACTCGTCAAACAACTTGGGATCGAGTCCGCCAATGTCTTTGAGGGCTTGAATGAATGCCAATCGAGCAGTTTCAAAGTATCTAAAAGTTTGTCAGAACGACAACATTTTGTGAACAGCATTGACGATTGTCAGCATGCGTTGAATGAGTGAATGACGTTGGCATGAGTTGAGTCAATAATAACGTTGTCCATGTTATGAACGAGATCGAGGTCGAGGTCGAGTTCAAAGTCGAGGTCGGTGGTTTGGCAGGTGGGAAACGGCTCTTTGCGGTCTCGTGGCACAGCCGGAAGAGCAACCGCACTGGAACAAACTCACCGAAAGTACACGACATTGTTGACGTGGTTGAATGCGTCCATGTCGCCCCACTGCACCGGGAGTGAGATGCGGATGGAGTGGTCGCCAAGGTGGTGCATGAGCGCTTGCTGCAGGGGAGCGGGCATCTTGTCAAACTCGGGCGACAGGAGCACGTCAGGGAAGACATCCGTGACAATCTGCTTGCGTGGATGCTGCTGCTGCTGCGCTGACAGAGTCGGAGCGGCCGTGGAGACGGCGCGGCGGCCGATGATGGCGGAGGCGGAGGCGAGTAGGGACGAACGGAGCATTTTGTGTTGGTTTGAGGTTTCAGCGGGCTGGATTTCGATACGAAGGTGGATTGAGATCGGGTGGGTTGTGAGTTATTCAGTTGGTGAAAATGTTATATGGTGCAATAATGTTTAATTTTTGGATGGCATGGGTGGCGAGAGCACGAGCGCAAGCAAAGCGGATGGTTGGCAAATTGTCTTGCCAGTTGTGTCACTTTGAGCACATTGTTCCGAGTCGGTGCAAGAGTCAGACGCCGCCGCAATGCAGTTTTGGGTTGCAAAAATTGTTTTGTTGCTGGCTTGTATGGCGGCAACGGCGTTGGCGTGCTTAGTGACGAGCCATAGCCCATCGGCAGGATTGAGTTGTTGTTGGCTCAAAGTCTCTCCGAGAACTTGACTCTTTGGTCAGTTCAATAGTATTTTTGTATGTTGTAGCGCATTTGTGATATAATTTGATGGTTGTTGGTCTTGCCAGACATGAGGACATGTCTCGCTCGTAAAATTTTGATCATTTCTAGTTTTTTCGGTTGACGTGTGGGCTGGCGAGGTTTTGCCGCGATTTTTGCTCGCGTCGTGCGCAATCATTCCATCGCCATGGTGGCCACCCGCCACTCCACTCGCTCCAATCATGCAGAGGGCTCATGTGGACATGCTACCAAGCAGAACAATGAGGGGCTGTCACCATAGGTTGATCGAGAAGGCATAGTATTGTACAAAAACAAGAAACTACGTTCACGCAAGCTTCATTAACATCCACAACATCAATAAATTCACTGGCTATTCAGCGTCTTCGGCGCCATAGCTGCCACAGTACCATGTGGAACGCATCGAACGGCTTGGGCGGGTCATTCCAAACAAAGTGTTGGTAAACCTCAGCCAACCTGTTCTGCATCCTTGACAGCTGAGCATCCGAGACTGCAAGGAGTGTCTGCTTGAGCCTTGGAATGCGTGCTTCTGGGATGGTAATGCTAAACTCGCTCCAGTCAAGCAACTGGCCGAGGGGAAGATCGTAGTGGTCGGAAATAATGACCGGAATGCATCCCATGAAGACGGCATCCATCAAGCGTGGCGACCATGCTCGATACCCTCGTAAGAACAAGCAAAACTTTGATGTCGCGAGCTCATTGTAGTACAGAATGGGCTGTGCGTGCCGACCCTCGAAGAGCACAATGTCTGTGTCGTTGGCGAACGCGTCACGTACCTTGGGCCGCACTCGACCGTAATGCAGGGGCCCAGCAAAGTAGGCCAGCTTTGTGCGCTTCTCGCGTGGGTGAATCAAGCCACCAAGACCGTACTGAACCAACTTGCCCATGCGGCGTTCCATCAAGGGCTCAAAGTTCATGTCTGGATGCGCCACCTTTTGCCGCGTTGCCCGGTAGAGCCTGTCTCGGGCCATTTCAAGACGAATCAGGTCTGCAGTGATTTCTTCTTCTGTCGCTACGTGGGCTGAAGGGAGGACGTCAATGTTGGGTGGTAGCGAAATGTCCTTGTGAGGAATATACCGCGCATCGTCGTAATCGGCAGTATTGACCAATCCAATGGCGTTCTTGACCAGGGCCGGATGCGAGAGCGCTGTCACGGCAGTGCCCATGTCGTGCCCGCAAATGTAAAAGTGATCCGTGCCACTGGAGACGTTCCACCACCTGTACTTGTTCATGACCACATCAAAGTACTGGGCAGTGACGTTTTTGGCAACGATATCGCCGAGGACTCGCTCCTGCACGCTCCGGCGATACGCTGTGCAACGAAATGGCATAAAGAACATGTTGGCCTTGTCTGGAGCAGTGGTGTGGAATGCGCTGGTCGCCAGCAGGTTGATAAACAGCTGCTCTGCGCCGTACTTGTCGTCGACTAGCCAGCGCATCTCTCGTCCCAAAGCAATGTCATACATGTAGATTCGCAAAGAGTCGAGCATCTGCTGGTACTCGGCTAGCTGCTCGGGGCGCAATCGAATCCAAGTGGCATTCTCTGAGTGGGTCTGGCGATCGCCAAAGGGGGGGAGGACGACGCAGGGCCACAAAAAACAAGGATGTAGTGCACAGCGCAAACAGAACGCCATATTGTAATTGTGATTGTGAGTGAATAGCGAGTGGGACTGTGGGGGCGTGTTGCTTCAGGACCCGTCGCCTCGGCAAGTGGCTGTTGAAGCTCTCCCAACCACACACAGCTCCAGTCACCACGACGCAAGCACGACTCACTGGCGATGGATTTACTACAGAATCAGGTTGCCGGAGGCCGAGACCGAGTTGTTGGTCTCGTTGGTCCACCTGGAGCAGCCGCGTCCGCACCACCTGGAGCTCCCTCGAAAGCTCGACGATCGTGTCCTCGCGGTCCAGCAACTATGCTCATACACACGCAGATGACAACTGTTGAGTAAGGCTTGGGGAAGCGCCGGCGGGCAATCCGACAACTGACAGCGAGCGTACTTTGCGTCGAAGGCTCTCAATTTGGCCAATGGTGAACGAAGCACTGGGCAGGTCACCCCAGATCGCGCTACTCGAGTACAACGTAGCAATCAGCACCATGATGCTGACTGCTGCGAGGCTCATCAACGCAATGCGGCGGACATGCCACCGCATGAAAATGAGAAGGAAAGATGCGAATTCTGGACTGAACGTTCGTCCAACAACACAAAAACAACAAGGTTTCGCTTTTTATCAATCGTTAACAACAACCACAACCAACAACAAATAAGGTGCAGGTCGAGGGAGGGTGTTACAGTATACAAAAAGGCAAGCAGGAGAACAAACAAACCGGTTCAATGTACAATTCAAGAACAAAATGAAAACAAACAACAACTCGCTACCAAACACTGTTGTAGCAAAGTAAAATTACAGGGTCGTCCAAAATACAGCATTAAAAAAATTACACCTGAACAATGGATCACAATCCCCCCGCTATTGACGCATTAGCGGAGTGCCATCCAAGCCAGTTCCGTAGGTGGCAGCGAAATCTGCCAGCGCTTGGTCGTCCAAGCCAGAGTCCTGAAGCAAATCCGAGAACATGTCTGTCTTCGACCCGAGCAGTTCCGGATGTTCGTTAAACAGACTGCTCATCTCATTCGAGTTGATCCAGTCCGTGGAGAAGAGCGACGGGCGCTTGAGCGGAGGTTCCGAGGTGCGTTCGACACCACTTGGTGGCGAGATGCGGTGCCCGAGCACGCGAGCATTGTGCGCATCAATGTACTCGTCGATGCCGTGGTGCGGAGATGTGGGGGTACTCAAGGGCGACGTCGCGTCGTGAACTACTGGCGGCACGGGCAGTGTCGCACTCGGCGATTGTTGCACAGTCGAGTACATTGCGCCAACGTAGGGCGGTGGGAGCTGATGGTTGGCTGCATCGATAAAGCTCTTTGGCAGCGACACCACCTTGGGGCCAAACCGGCTCAGCCCAGACGTGGGACTTGGTGTCGTCGGCTTGCTCGACGTGACTGGGGGAGTGCCGTCGCCACCGCTCAGTGGCGAGACCATGCGTGAATGCGGCGAATCAATAAAGAGATTGTTGAGCCCGAGCGTCGAGCCAATCGAGTCCGAGCGCTGGACGGGCCAGTGCAGCTCCTGCGAGGTCGGTGCGGCAGATCCTGGGAGGGACGTCGTCACGGCCTGCAAATGCTGGTGCGTCAGGATTTGAGGCAACAGACGAGATTGCAGCGAGAACTGGGGCAAATGCTGCCGAGCTGCCAAATGCGACATATCGTGCTGCGGCAACGGGCGATCTAGCCCTTGATGCGGGTGCTGCTCGAGCCAAGAGGAAACAGCGTCGACATCGCCGTGGCCCATCGAGAGCAGGTGCTGTTGCAACCGAGCATCCACCTCCCGATCAGCCTGGTCTGGGCTTCTAGAGACGGCCGTGTTGTTTGGTGGTTCGAGCGAATCTTGCTCGTCTGATTCGTCGCTGCTACTAATCCGGTGCACGCGAGGCGCCAGACTGCCGGTTTGAGACCTTGTCCGCATGCTGCCGCTGGTGCTAATAACGGGCGATGCAAGCAAGTTCTGCTGATCCTGCAGCAGATGAGGCGATTGAGATGCACCACCAGGCGTAGACATTGCGTGGCTGAACAGGCTGTCCGTCCCGAGCATGGGGCTGGTAGATCCGATGTCATTCGAAGCCGCGGCAGCAGCAGCGGCAGCGGCAGCAGCAGCTTGTTGTGCAGCCCTGCCTCGCTTGGACCGCTTCATGCGCGTAATGTTTTGCCACAAATCGGGTCGTGTGCGTGAAAAAAACTTGTGCGTAAACGCCATCGTCGTCTTGTTGGGCCGCGAGGTGGCAGGGCGTTGAATCATGATGCTCTCCTCTCGGAGAAGCTGGTGGAGCTCGCGGTTGGTCATCTTGTGAAAGCCGTAAAAGTTGAGCTGTCGCACAAACGACTTGATGTTGCGCGTCATAAAGTGCTGCGGCATAATGTTGCTAACAAACGCTTCCACGTCGTGGATGATGACCGCGTGTCCTTTGAACGACCAGTTGATGGTGGTGCTCTGGGAGGGATCGTTTAACAAGGAAATCAAAACCGGCATGAATGTCGACTTGTTTCGCGACGCGGCGGACAAGGAAGCGCTGTTGGTGCTCCGTGCCGAGCTGCCTGAACGGGGTCGAGACTCGGAGTCCGAGTCCTCCTCCTCGTCGTCGTCCGGGTTGTCCTCGTCCTCCTCGTTCTCGGGGTCGGTTGAGTACAAGAGTCCTGGGGAGCTTGGCGCTGCTTGGTTTGACAAACCGAGCGACAGCGTGTCACGATCGCCAGTGTCCCGCAAGTGTTGCTGCAACTGCGCCTGCTGGCGCTGCAATTGCTGATCAAACACGGCGGGACTTTGTGCACCAGCAGATTGCAGTTGCTGTTGCAATTGTTGGAACTGCTGCTGAAGCTGCTGCTGCTGAAACTGTTGTTTTTGCAATTGCTGGTTTTGCAGTTGCTGGAAGAGCGACGAGTAGTCTGAGGACTGTGGCGGTGCGCCCAGCTGATCCTGTTGCTGTTGATGTGGTTGCATCGCTTGACGATTGGCCCAGCGGCGAGAAATTAGGAAACGGGAGGGGTGGGAAGTTGGATTGCTGAGGACGCGAGTGAAAAGTATGCCAGAGTGGGCGCAGTGAAAATCCTTTTTGGATTTAAATCTTGGGAGGAAGATCAACCACTACCTCGTCTCTGGGAAGGGAAATGTTCGACAAGAATGCCCCAAAGAAGAACGCTGCAGGGTGTGGTCGATAGGAGTTGGAACTAAAAAAGGTGGTTTGTTGTTCTTTTTGCGACTCTTGCTTATCGAGAGTTTGTGGCCCGAAATAATCACAGACCTGGAACAATGTAGGCTCAAGCAGGCTCAGGGCAAGCGGTGTCTCGGAATGCGTCTCCAAAAGGCGGTAATGGGGAAATCAAATTTCAGCAGCGACGCTGACGCTCCTGTCAAATCCATAAAAAAAAAAAAAAAACCAAAAAAAAAAAATCGATGTGCAAAAATTAGTAATTCAAAAAAACAAGGAGCGACAATGTCAAAAGCCAAACGATGATCAGCTGCAGATGCATTGCACAGAAAAATCGCCAAGTTGGCATGATGCGAAATGGCGCGGAAAGCGAGTGCAAAACCAACGGATGGACGTAAAGCAGAACTGGACTTTTGCCAAGGTTTTTTTTTTTTTTTTTTTTTTGGATGAGTTGCTTAGTGCTGGAAAATAGGAAAACGAAAGGGGTGACAAAAACCAGGATGCAAGCTGCGTAGTCGCGACACCAACAAACGAAAATAAGAACCATCAAAGAGGAAAAATAAAATAAAATTACGGGGCGAGCTCTGAGAAAACCAAGGGAGGGAATGAAAGGAAAAAAATAGAGGAAAAAACAGATGACGCGAAAACAAGGTCGCGCGAAACTGCGAAAATACAGAAAAAAAAGAAAAGAAAAAAGGGCACCAACCCTCCCGATGCGAAAAGCGCATGCCCCGTGCGCGTCGGAGCGTATTACTCAGACCGCATGGATGGCAAAACGACCAGAGCAAGCGCCAGAGCGAAATCCGACGAGCGTCCCTCGCAGCAACTCGAGCAAACTGCATCAACGCGGGTGTCGGAGTTCACGGCGTTCTCGTTTTTGAGTAGGTTTTTTTTTTTTTTTTTTTTTTTGGGGAGCCAGCGTTCAGGCCGCTGTCTGTTCCGCCTTACCACCGTCGACAAGGGGCACGCATGCAAGAGAGCCTCGTTTGGATGGTGTACGCAGCACCACGGCCACCAACAGCCCCCTTCCCTCCAAGCGACAGCCCCGGCAGCCGCGACGCGCTGACTCATTTCGTCGTTGGCCTTGGTTGCTGCAACCTCGTACCGCACACCAACCGCTTTTCCCGCTCCCGTTTTCCCCTCTAACAGAAACGAGCGTTGCCGCAATCGTCCAACTCGATGCAGAGACTACTTTTTGGCGTACTAATTGCGCACTCAATTGACAAACGGCCGAGCTGGGGAACCGTCAGCCTTACCAATAAATTGACAAGAAGAGACAAGAGCGATCGGCTGATGGACAATCTGAATTAAACGAAAAAAAAAAAAAAAGAAAAAGAAAAAAAAGAGAACTGGAACCTCAAAATTGAAACACCGACGTTGCGTGATTTAAACCTCATTCACATGTGCATTGGCGACGTGACTCGCAATCCATCGAGTTGATGATATTTTAATTTGTGTGCGCATTTGATTTTTTTGGGCGTGGTTGCTGGCTTGGAAACCAAAGCGGGCGACGGGGGAATGGAATGGCCGAAAACCAACAACGCCCCAGCAATTACACCAAAATCCATCCATCCCCTGGGCATCAGCTGCGGCGCTGATCGGTGCCTCAACTTGAAGGGAAGATCATCAACCCACCCACCGAGCTGCAGTGCTGCCTGGATCGCTGGAGCAGAGCTGCTGAACAATCGCACTTTTCTGGTTGTAAAACCGAAAAAACCAAAATTACAAAAACCAAAAGCACGCCCTCCTGTCAAGATGAATTGGCCTGCTTTTGCTTTTGGGTTTGCTTGACAGTCGCTCTGTTTCCGACCACTTGCAGACAAAGTAAAGGTGTGCCTGCACAGAGTCAGTGGGCATGGCTGAGCGACGAGGGCAATGAAAAAGCGACCGTCACTTTCGGATGCGGTTTCCTGTCCGACGCCGTTCTTCTTTTCGTTTTTGACAGGCCTGACGCTCATGCCAAAATCATCACACTGCCACATGCAAATGCCAATGCCAGCGAATATTTTTCTTGCACCAATTTGCACTTTGCCATGCGGATTCCTGCTGTTCTGACTCGTGCCTCGCGTCAGGGGCTCTTCTTTGTCTCACTTTGCTCAGAGTCCGAAGCTCTACTGTCTGACGAAGGTGCTGGCCTGATCTGCTGGTGTGGTTAGCAATGCCACGACAACCATGTACAGGTGTCGCAACCAATAAGGATATATTTCAACCGTCCTTGGTTTCCGACCTTGCAGCCACTTTTGCCTTTTTCTGAACGAAAAAAAAAATGTCCACAACAAACGACACATGTAGATTCCATCGCAAGGCCCTCGTGTGACACGCACAGTATTTGAACAAGGTCCAACATTTATTTGTTAACAGCTTTACACAATACGCTCAAGCTCCTTGGCGTAGCCCAACGCATTTTGGATGACTTGGGCAGAATAGTCGTGCAGCTCGATTTTGGCGGCCAATTTTCGGGCATCACCGACTGACAGCTTGAGCTTGTCGCTTTCCGCATTACTCCTGCAACAGGGCGGCAAGAACAAGAGGGGAAAAGGAGAGCGTTCAAGTTGAGCCAACAGGGAAACACCAACCACAAACAACCATCTGATTTGACGAACGCACCTCAACGTCTGCAAAAGCTGCTCCATGAATGGGACATAGCTAGGATGGGGCACGTTCTGGACGGCCGCGAAAACCTGGTGATCGAGACCCTCCATGATGTGTTGCTCGAGGGCAATCGGGAATCGCACAAACGGGTCGCTGGTCAACGTGACCGAGTTCAGTCGCTCAAGCGCCACGTGGAAGTCGCCGATTTGCTGCTGCGAAAGCAGGCGGAGCAGGTGCAGGCCGAGCAGGAGGCTGCGCTGGCTGGAGGTGGGAATTGCGGCAGCGTAATCAAAGTAGTAGGTTCGGAGCTGCACGGCATAGCGGTCGAACGCGGCAAAGTCGCCAACGGCGATGCTATGCAGAGCACCAATCTCGAGCACCTCCCCTGTGTTTGAGCGAGAGTAAAAGCAGGCGAGCAAAAAAGCAGGCGGAGAAGTGAGATGATTTTGGTTGACGGCAACCCGCTCGCCTTCATGCGTGGTCTATCCCCTCCCAAAGAACGCGCCAATGACACGAGCTCAATCACATACGACTGACAACCAAGCAACAAAAACAAATAACGACACAACATACGAGCGAGCAAGAGTTCCTCTGCAGATTGGACGCCCGCGGTCGGCAAGAACGACAGCTCTGTCAATGCGATCTGCACCAAGTTCAACACGATTGGTTAGTGTCACGCACCTTCGCAATGTCAGAGTACGAACGGACAAGCGGAGAGGGGGCGAGTGAGGAAGCGAGAGAGAGAGAGACAGAGATTCGAGAGTCGCTGTGCTGGTTTAGCGTTGGCCCCCTTTTCCTTCCCTTCCGGTTCCGAATACTAAAACGCCTTCCTTCCTACAACTTTAACTCTTCCCTTCTTCTTCTTCTTCGGCTTGAGCTCGGAAGGACGCTTTGGCAGCAACGTCACGTCACCAAAAAAAAAAAAAAAAAAATTCGCGATCTTCGTTCTGTTTCGTTGCTTTGAGGTCGCTTTGATTGGGGAATGGCGACGAGTGCGTTGCGTTGAGAGACGAGCGTTGAACGCTGAAATGGACTCTGCGTTGAGTTGCTGGGGTGGAGAGGAGGAAACGCAAACAAGGGGGGGGGGATTGTCGCACCTTGAGCTGGATGAGGAGGTCGCCGCACAGCTGGTGGTTTGGCTTGGTCGCAGTCCACTCGCCGCGCAGCTTGCTCAGCAGTGCGTTTGCGTTCGCAATCGTCATTGAATAGTGGGTCAGGGGGGGGGCAACAAAGGAAAAGGAAAGGGTGACGCCCGAAACGAAGGGGAACGAACAACCGACTGAAAAGAGGGAGTGAAAACTGGTCTGAGACGCCAAGTGCACTATTGATAGTAATGCAAGGTGAATTCGACTAGTGAGCAAAAAAACAATCATTGTTGTCAGCCTCGTTCTCACTTCTAAATTTCGTTCATCCTCAGTCTCAGTCTCTTTCTTTCGTCTTCCGTACATTTACTTTGTTTCTCCCTCCCCCACCCGCCTTTTGACTTGCATATCACTTCATTTCCATTACTATCCTCTCAATGCAAATCTCGACGCCGGTCGCCCTGTCCGCACGCGACAAGTGGTTTGCGCTCGCCATGTACGCGCTGCTCTGGTTTGTCGCGGCGCCGCTTTCCTTGTGAGTTCTGTCCATGACATGCTTCCCCCCTTTTCCTGTGTCAATCAATCAATTCAATGCAATGAGTGCGATTGCTCCAACCACCGCTCCACCGTGCCTCACTTCAGTCGAACCATTGGCCTTTTGTTCATTCTGGATGTGTGCACTTTTGCGAGGTGGACTGATGTCCCACTGATTTCTCATTCTCACTGATTCTCGTCGCTACACCCCCCCCCGCTTCATTCATTCATGCAGCGTCCTTGTGCTCCTTGCGTGGTGGGTCGCCGATTTGACAGGTGTTCTTGTGCTCGTGCTGCTCTACCTGCCATTCCGCCTCGACGGCGCAAGCACGCGCGCAGCAGGCCGCATGTCCAAATGGTAACTGACAGTGTCGCTGTGTGTGTCTGTGTGTCTGCGTGTGTGTCTGCGTGTACAGTGCCGTTTATGATTAGCAGCGCGTTTCGCATTGGGGTCGAAATTTCAATATGGGATCACATTACGACGATTGTTATCAGGAATTCTTGAAACAGAAAGACTCATCTTGAAGAAAATCACACGTGTGATGATGATGGCAAATGCATGTCGACAACAGGTTTACAGAGCATCGCGTTGCAAAGCTGTGGGCGGCGTACTTTCCAATGCGACTGGCAGTGACCGCTCCGTTGCCAGTGGACAAGGGACAACGATACATTATGGCATTGTATCCGCACGGCACAATCCCACTGCATGCACAACTGGCCTTGCTGTTTGATGGCTGCGATCGCTCCAAGTTGTTACCAGGTACGGCCCACTTTTGGCCCGCGTACCCACAGCACCAACACCCCCCGTCACTCGCTCACTAACATGAACATTCTCTCCTCGTTCCAGGACTGGATTTGCGCGTGCTCTCTGTCTCACCCAACTTTCTGCTGCCGTTCTGGCGGGAAATGTAACGCAATGAGCGGCTTGTCAAATTTTTCCAAGTTCCCTTGTTGTCCCTCCTTGTTGCTCATGTCGCACTTTATTCTTAAACAGCTTCCTGGCATCGGGTGCAGTTGAAGCTAGTGCGCATGTTGCAACCGCAGTGCTCGAGTCGGGGAGAAGCGTGCTCGTGCTACCGGGCGGCGTGGCCGAAATGCTAAAGTCGCGACCTGGCCCCGCTTACGGCATTATCGCCAAGCACCGGAAGGGCTATGTTCGCCTTGCACTGGAACAAGGTGCCGCGCTGGTCCCCACGTTCGCCTTTGGTGCCAACGAGTTTATCTTGCAATCGCGCAATAAAACCCTCAAGGCAATCAACACTTGGATTGCAAAGCGCGCTGCGTGCTTTGTGCCGCTGTACTATGGACGCTGGAATACGCTCGTTCCGTTTGCTCACCCTGTTACCGTCATCACGGGCACTCCAATCCCTGTGGAGCGTGTCGCATCGCCGACTCAAGCCCAAGTCGATGCTTTGCATCAGCAGTTCCTCGCCGCGCTCCGTGAGCTTTTCGAGACCCACAAGAGCCAATTCGGCACTCCCAACGACGAGTTGATTTTCATGTAGATGGCTCGCGTCGTGTCTGCTACTCATCCAACCAAAAGTCTAAACATTGCTTGATTTTTTTGTGTTTTTGTTCGATTTGTGCTTTTTCTCCCCGGTTTTTGTTGAAAATTTTTACCCCACTTCCATTAAACATTGATTTCTTCATCTGCCTTTTGTTGCCTTGTATTCTACTGTATTGGCCGACCTACGACGAACGCCAGTCTCCTAATTCATTTGCGCACAGTGTTCAATGCCAGCAGACGACTCGTCCCGTCCATCTCGGTCCCGGTCCCGGTCTCCCCACCGCGCATCCGCCTCGCCCTCTGAGCGATCACGCCGACCACGATCCTCCAGCCGCTCGCGGTCGGACCGGCGCTCCAGGTCCCCGTCTCGCTCCAGATCGCCTGCTCCACGACATCACAGCAGCAGCAGCAGCCATCGTCGCCGCGGCCGCTCCCGCTCCCGATCGCCGTCTGCTGCACGACGACGCAGCCGCTCACGGTCACAGTCCCGCTCGCCCAGCCGAGGTCGGTCTGGCGCTCCGTTCGACGATAGACGGTCGTCGCATCGACGCCGCTCCAACTCGCGTTCCCGCTCTCCGCCTGCCGCGCGAGGACCAGGACGGCCGTTCGAGCGTAGCAATGGTCCTGGTCGACCGTTCGAGCGCGATGCGTCGTCTGGTGGTCCGCGACCCCATCGTGGTGGTGGATCCATCCTCGGATCTGAGCAGCTCGAGCTGTAAGGGTTTTTTTTTTGGTTTGGTTCTGAGGTTGGCAGTCAATGCGGATTGGATCCAAAAGTTCTTGAGACTCACTTTGGTTTTTTGGTGGGTGGCATGGAAACTCAATGTAGGCGTCGCAAGCAACGAGAGGCATTCGACAGTGTGGATGCTGGCGTATGGGCGCGTTCGCCATCTCCTCCGCGTGTAAAGACCCGAAGGTAATGTCGCAATGTAGCGTTGAAACGCTTTCGCACGAGAGTGTGGGGTGGAGTTGCATTTTGGTGATGAGGGGCTGATTTTGACTCTTTTGTTTTGAACGAACTTTAGAAACCGTACCCCGTCGCCACATCGACCACTGCCGTCTGTCGGGCGAATTGTCGTGGAAAGCGACAAGAAGCATAAAAAGAGCAAGAAGCATAGCCGGAAATCGCGAAAGCATCGTCGACGAAGCAGCAGCGGCTCCGAGTCAGACTCGGATGCGCGTTCCGTTTCAGATCATAGCGAAGCTGAGGCTCTGCCAGACGAGCGGGCTGGTGCGATTGACGCAGATGCCACATCCAATGAGATTGCTGCTGCTGCTGAGGCAGAGTCAGGGTTGCCATCCGCTGCAGCAACCGCTGTATCAGCCGAAGCAGGAAGAGTCAACGAAGACGATGATCAGGATGTTGGCCCTGCGCCATACGTCATGCTCGACAAGCTAGTACCATCAGGGTAAGTTGTTAGGATTCCGCGTTTGGTTTGGAAGAAGAGGGTGTTGGGCTTCATTGAGTTTTTGTTTGGTTTCGAGACGCTCATCTTCTCATCTGCGCTTGTTTATTCTGTCGTTGTTTCACGACTCCCTTTTGCACCCATGACTGCAGCTATGGTAAAGCGCTGCTTCCTGGTGAAGGTGAAGGTATGGCCGAGTTCATCAAGGCAGACGCGCGTATTCCACGTCGTGGTGAAATTGGCTTGACTTCCGAGCAAATCGAGGCGTTTGAAGACGTTGGCTTTGTGATGAGTGGCAGTCGGTACGGCGCTTTTTTGTTGCTTGTCCTTGCCTTGCTGTTGAACAAGGGTCTGCTTGCCAAAAGCAACAAAAAAAGAACTCAACTCACCTGCACTTCCTCTTTCTTCCCCTTTGTAGGCATCGTCGTATGGAAGCTGTGCGTATGCGTAAGGAAAACCAAGTTTACAGTGCTGAAGAGCGACGAGCGTTGGCCATGCTCAACTACGAGGAGCGATCCAAACGCGAAAACAAGATTTTGGCGGATTTCCGCGACATGGTCCGCAAGCACAAAGACGAGTAGCGACGGCTTTTGTTTTTCCAGTGTTGCTTTGTGTTTTTGCATTCGGTGCGAGGCTGTAACAATATCAGTTGATGCTTGATCGAAACGAGTTCGTTTGGTGAACTGAAAACGCCAATGATCCAACTCTTGCGTTCAGTAGTCAGGGATTTTGCGCATGTCCAATCAGATCCTCCTAACTGAGAGCTCTCATTCAAGTGCTAGACGGACGATCAGAGCTGATGCTCAAGAGCGCCACCATCAAAGCAAATCGAAATCTGCAACTCAGAGTTCGAGTTTTTTTTTTTCTTTTTTGATATTCCACCAAGTGCCTTCACTTTTCCAACCCGCTCTTCGATTCGCATTGGTTGCATTGGTAACCCCGACCCCCGTTGACTGTTGACTGTTTTTGTTTGTTGTCATGGAAGGGAAGGCGATCAGTTTCCTTTTTTTTTTTTTCCAAGTTCTTTTTCTTTTTCACTTTATTCTTCACACAACAAATGCTGCCCCGGTCGCTGACTCGGCTCGCTTCGCGCCACAAGTGGTCGCTCGTGTTCGTTCTGGCCATCGTCACCGTGATCGGCGTGTCCATCTTGCCCGTGCGGGAGCAAGCGCCCACACAGCAACAGCAACCCGGCGGTTACCGCCTCTTTGCGGCTCCCGAAGACAACCTCGCCAACGCAAACAACGACAACGACAACAAGGATGACAACGGCCTTAACACGGTGGTCGAGCAGCAGGAGCAGCAGCTGTCGCAGCTCCGGCAGGTCGTCGCCCGTCTCACACAGGAGAACGCGCGCCTCTCACTGAGCAAGGACGAGGCGCTCGAATCCGTCCAGCTCGCCATTGCCGACGCCGAAGCCGCTGCACGTGCTGCCGAACAGGTCGCCGCAGCAGCCACCCGTGCTGAGGAGGAGGCAGAGCGACAACTGGCTGAAGCGAAGGCGGCGGCAGCGGCGTCTGGTCCCAAGGGAGGTGCGACACTGAACAAGGCCGCCGCAGCCCGCGACCCGTCCAAACCGCACCGCTTTGACGACGACGACAGTGAGGCCGGCACCTACAACCGCGAGGCGACGCCCGAGGAGATTGGCGAGTCCATCCGCGCCGACTGGAAGAGCTTTGCTGCCACGCACGGCATTGAACGGACGCTCTCGGACGCCGTCGCCGCTCCCGGCACTGCTGCTGCCACCGCCGCCCGCGACTCTGCCGAGCTCCCCAAGCGCATCCTCGTCACTGGCGCCGCTGGCTTTGTCGGCTACCACACTTGTAAGGGCGACCGACCTCCCAGTCAAAACGCGCGTGGTGGCGAAAAGTTGCTGTTTCGCCTTTTTTTTTTTTTTTTTTTTTTTGTTTCCGTTTGGTTCTCGTTTCGGCGTTGCAATTTTCACGTCGGCGTCTTTGCATTCTGCTTGCATGAGCTACGACAGTGCTGATGGTGTGGTTGTGGAAGCGAAGGCGGCGTCGCAGCGCTTGTTGCGAAGAGAGCAAGCGAATGAAAAAAAAAAAAAGAAAAAAGAAAAAAGAAAAAAAGAAAAATTAGGAAAAAAAAAAAAGGGCGTTTCATCCCGCCCTATGTCCCGCCCTTGGTTTTCCTCAGTCGTTGAGAAAAAAAAAAAAAAAGGTCGGGGTCGGGGGTGTGAAACACCCATCGACAGCCCAAGTCGCATGTATCACACAACTGCGTGTGACTTTTGGGCTTGCCATTCAGTAGCCGACGAAAGCGAGCGGTGGGAAGAGAGCGCTCTGATGGGAGCAAGGGAAAGGAAGCTCACAGTTGGCTTGACACTTTTGAACTGTTGTTGCAGCCATTCACCTCAAGACGCGTGGTGACTTTGTCTTTGGCCTCGACAACCTCAACTCGTACTATGACCCGCGCCTCAAGGTCGGCCGCATGAATTCCCTAAAGGAACTTGATGTTCGGTGAGTCACTGGTGATTATTCACCTGACACATTGTTGGATGACCCAAACATGACCTCTTACCTCTCTTTTTGTTCCTGTTTGTTTCAACAGCGTCATCACTGGTGATGTGTGCGACGCGGAACTGCTGCGATCTCTGTTCAGCTCGGTGGACATTACCCACGTCGTTCATCTTGCTGCCCAAGCTGGCGTCCGTTACTCGCTTGATCATCCCCTGGCCTACATTCGCGCCAACGTCAAGTGCTTTATTACTTTGCTTGAGGTGTGTGTTTTCCAGCTGTTTGGAAACTCAACAACAGGGGGAAACTTGCAAAGGACATTGCTGTTAACTCAACTTGACTTGCCCAATTTGCACCCAACAGGTCATCAAGGAGTTCCACACCAAGGAGCGCCCCATCAAGACCGTCTACGCTTCCAGGTTTGTTGCACATTTGCTCATCATGCTCTCTGTCAAAGAGCTTTGGCGTGGACTGACCACCTCTCCTCCTATTGCAGCTCTTCAGTGTACGGCCTCAACACCAAGCAGCCGTTTAGCGAAACCGATCAAGTCGATATGCCCGCCAGCTTGTATGCTGCCACCAAGAAGTCGAACGAAGGCATTGCTCACGTCTACCACCACCTGCACAAGCTGCCGTTGACTGGTCTTCGCTTCTTCACCGTGTACGGACCGTTCGGTCGCCCGGACATGGCCTACTACAGCTTCACTGCCTCGATCGTTGCCGACAAGCCCATCACTGTGTACAAGAACGACGATGGCTCGGAAATGATGCGCGATTTCACGTTCGTGTCGGACATTGTTGCCGGCATCACCGCTTGCGTGGATCTTGGCGCCGAGCTGGAGGTGTTCAACCTCGGTAACAACAACCCCGAAAAGCTCAGCACCCTCATCAATCTCATTGAGAAGGGCCTTGGTCGCGAAGCCGAGAAAATCTATGCTCCGATCACTGCAGGTAGGGGGTTTTTTTTTTGGGGGGGGGTGTTCATTTGTGGTCGTGGATGGTTGCACTTGCACGTTGTCGAACAGGATCTGACTTGGCCGTTGGATGGGGTTTTTCGTTTTTGGAAACCGCTTACAGGTGATGTGCCGTCAACGTTCGCGGACGTCTCGCACTCGAAGAAAATGCTGGGGTATGAGCCCAAGGTGTCGTTGGAGAAGGGCATTTCCATCTTCCTTGACTGGTACGCCAAGTTCCACAACCTGGACATTCCCGGCCTTCAAGTAGCAGAGTGATTGGACACTATTGTACTCGTTGTTATTTTTGTTGTTGCATTTGTAATTCAGTACGTTTATTGGAGAGTGGAAAAGCTTCTAAAGCTCAAAAACCACAAAGAGAAGGAACATGATCACGGGCAAAGAGTCAGGGACAAGGGCAAGGTGTTTAGCTCATTCTTGCAGGAACAAGTTTGGTGGTCATCTAAGTAGAAGCTGTCACTCTTTCTTGACTTGAGACAGAGTAAATGCGAGGGTGCCCGATTGCTGGCTTGAAGACTCGCTCGAATCGCTGTCGAACCTGTCGGGCCTGGGGATGACCGGCAGGTCTTCCAATTTGGGCTGGTAGATGACTTGCAGGAATCGTTTGCCCTCATGGAACCCCTCGATAACATCTTCGATCACGAGTTGAACGGTGACCTCGCCTTCCAGCTCGGTGTGTGCTCCATCCTTGTGGTACACCAGACGGGCGATTCTGAGTCAATTTCAACCGCGTTAGCATGATCTAGGACCAAACAATCAACCACGAAGCGGAGGGGCGGGGGCTGACTTACCTGTTGCCATCTTTCCAAACTGCTTGGTTTCGAAAAGTCGCATCTTGTTTCTTTGCGACGGCTGCAATTTCTGCTTCGTTCTCAGGCGCCATGTAGCAGTAGGTCACATGGCTAAGGCCCATCGGAGGCATGGGCCAGTTATTGCCAAAGATGTTTTGCAGTTTTCTAACCGGTGCAACTCCATCCAGCGTCACGTTCAGCGGACCAAGAACATGGAACTTGCTCGTGTCCTGTTAGAGAATCAGAAAACGATCCAGTCTGCACGTCAGCCACTTCCAAGTCGAGCAGATTGATTTCTCGCCAACCTATTCAATCAGTTACAAGGGATGGTGTCACATTCAAAAGAATGACGTAATAAAAGTTCATGGAAGCCCATGGAAACCCATGGAAGCCCATGGAAGGCTGCAGAAGCGAAGAGGAAAGAAAAAGTTAAGACGTGTGGAGGAGCGCGAGCAACTCCCCGAGCGCCACTTCCCGCTAGCCAGCAGTTCGGCGCCAACAGGATGATGAACTCAAAGACGATGAAGACGACGACAAACACTCAAACAAAGACGGCGGAAACGTAGTACAACGGTCGAAACGAAATCGAGAAATCAAATCCAGCCGCCTTAGCAGCTTCTTTTTTTCTTTGTACGTCGGAAGCGGGGCTGCCGCATGCTCGGGATGAGAGTAAAGCACGATGATAGCACTACTGTGCATTGTAGATTTCAATGGTCCAAAGGCACGTCTTCACCATGCAACTTCAAGTTTCCATTGATTCGCATATGGTGTATGCTCTTGATTTGACGCAGCATGCGATGGTGCGTGGTGAAAATGGACATGATGACATAGTTGAGGACGACGCCATACTTGTCGGCGGAGTACATCGTCGAGAGGTAGTGGTGCGGCTCATTGGCGTACAGCATGTAGTACACGATGTTGATTCCAGTGAAGATCCCCTCGAACGCCCAACGGGTGTCAGCAAAACCTATGAGAGTGTTCACGAATTTCGACCCAACAAGTTGAAGGAGCACAGCCATTTTGAAAAAAAAAAATTCAAAAAAAACAAAACAGTGAGCTTGCTCATTTTCTCCTCCTGTTAGGTGGCTACAAAGGAACGCGCAAAAGTGTATGAATAGGACAGCAACAAGCAAAGAGAACAAGCAGAACAAGGCAGAGAAGAGAGAGAAACGGGGCTGCAAATTTCACAATCATTGAGGACACAACGCCCAACGGCCAGCTGGATCTTCGATTTTCATGCTCGCATCGATGTTGTCCTCAACATAGTCGGCAAGATAAGCACGATTGTCGCAACAGAGCGATTTCGGTTCGCCGCCATCGAAAACTAGTGACAGAAAGAGACTGGTGAGGTCAACGTGTCCTGATTCTCAGCCGTCCTTTCTCAGTCCTTTGTTTTTCGCATTTGGGAGCTGTCAACAATTTGCCATTTTGTTTTTCGCCCCGCTTCCTCTCTCTTGAATGCAAGCTGGACGACGCAACGTTGTACTGGGACTGCTCGGCCTTGTGGCTCTGCTCTACTTGGCGACGATTGTGTGGCTGCAGGAAGCGGTCTTGGATGCATCGTCATCATCCTCTCCGTCGTCATCATCATCCTGCGCGGCGTCGATCTGGCTGCACTGCGCGCCAAGGTAGCAGCGGTGGACGGACTGACGGACGCCGAAGCAACAGTCATTCTTGCTTCACTATCCCACGCAACAGAGCACAATGTCAGAGTGGACGAGCCGAGCGACACGCATCCTCATGGGAGCAGCTGCAACCCGAGCCACGACGACGCCAACGCCGCCGACGACGATGGGACCGAGTCATCCTCGTCTGGTGATGGCAACGCAACTGCAGGGTGGTCACCGCGCCTGCTGGATGCGCTGGTCAACGATGGCGATCTCAACGCAGTGTCCATTGCGCAGCTCAAGCAAATGAGCAGGTTTTGCGGACTGCGCGGCAGATTGCTCACACCGGGAACCTGCGTCAATCATCTTGGATTCGCAGCATGCACCTATGGTCGCGTGTGCTTGGAGATTGATTTTCTGAATGCAACTAGTACGGAACCGCTGTTGCCGGGAACGCTCGTCTTTCCAGAATCTGCGGCGCACGACGATTTGCCGTCCACAGTCCCCTCGCTGCGTTTCAATGAGCGCTTGGTCACTGAGAGCGAGTTTGAAACAATATGGCAGAATGCAGACGACATTTTCAGCGACACCACGGGCATCTCGTATGCGACAGGCGACGGCTACCATCCAGGCCACGCTCTGGAGCGCATCATGACCTTCTTTACGCTGCAACAGAGTGGTGTGCTGTACCCCGACAAGACCATTGACCGGTTTTTCTTTGCTACCACGGGACTGGTACCATGGGGTCGCAGTTTACTCGAAACGCTGTTTGGAAGGGCTCCCGCCATTCGCACGGCACGCACCGACTTTGACCAAATTCTCAAGCGAAGAGCAAGACATCTCAAGTTAGACATGCCAGCAAGACCTTCTCGAGCTCCAGTGCACATTTGCATGGAACGAGCAGTTGTCGTGGGTCCGAAAAGCTACCCGCGAAAACTCGGCGTCATGTGCGATCGGGCGGAAGCGCAGCTATTTCGACGGCAGGTGGCGTTGCGACATCCAGCGTACCAGCCTCGACTCACACAGACCGCGTTGGTCATTGACCGTGCATCTTCGCGGCGAATGAGCAATGCGGCGAATGTTGTGGCGCAAGTCGACGCTCTGCTGTCTCCGCTTGGGTTTGAAACGCGTTACATTCCCGAGATGAGCCACCTCAGCTTTGCTCAGCAGATTGCCGTGATGGCCAACGCATCTGTTGTTGTGTCCATCCATGCAAGTCACCTGTCCAACTTGATTTTCGCGCCAGAAGGAGCCGTCGTCATTGAAATTTACCCGTTCAAGTTTGTCGATCCGTGCTTTCGCATGCTCTCCCGAACGTGCGGGATTCATCACTTGTCCTGGCTCGTCACTTTGCCATCAGAGTCGGCCATAGGGGCCTCTTGGACCCCTCAGCACGCTTGTTTTACAAGGGAGACGGCTCTCGTTGCATCCAAGCTCAAATGCAAGAACTGGATGGCCGCGCAAGATGTGCACGTCAACCTGGAGTTGCTGGACACGTACCTCAACATTGCGATAGACACGTTGCACACATCCAATGTAACAATAATTCGATAGATGTACGATGTTCAAATAAACCATACTGTACAATAAAACTTGAACAAGCAAACGTCGTCTTAGCTCTCACGAGCAACCGACACAAATCTCGTTGATTCCGCGATGCACGCTCCACCTGTGCTGCCCTCACATTCACACGAAAATCAGCCAGATGTGTGAGTGTTTTGTTTTTTGTTTTTGGGGGTTTTTTTGGGGGAGGGAGGCTGAAAAACGAAGAACAAAAAAGCGCCGCTCAATCGCAATGATGCTCTTCACTCTTCTTTTGTTTTGTTTATTTTCGCCCCCACACAAATGTCTCAACAACAAGTAAGCCACTATTCCCAAAAGAGCAAGCACCACAAGTCTCATCCCACAAACCAAGCGAGCAGAGTCGCTTCAGAACTTACTCCGTCTGATTCGTTCTCGCATGTTGGCATCCGTACTACTGGGTGCAGGGTCTCTCAATGGGGGGGGGGGTGCGCTTGCGTAATAACCAAGAAAAAAAACGACGTTCAAGTTTTGGCGCGAAATCTAATCATTTTGCGCGCCAAAGGTTCCTTGACGTGTTCGCTTTCCCATTGTGCCCAGGCTATCGAAATGGTCATGAATGAACAGAGTGTTGTGAGCCTCATGATGATGGTCAAAGCTCTAGCGATCTCAGCTGTTTTCATGCTCAACACATCCGCCGACCCCAAACACTCCATTACTCACGTCACATGCGTCGGTGCCTACCTCGGACTGCACTTGCTCTCGAGCGTTACAATGAGCGCCGTGTCTGATGCACCTACGAAAAGCTTGGCGAGGAGCATGATGGCTCCACTTTTCTATGGAGGTGCTTATCTCTACTTCTCCAAAGTGAACAAGCAGCACCCTTTCCTGTCACTTTTGTTCGAGTCCCTTTGTCTCGGCTCCACCCTGTGCACGTTCTGATTTGTTGGCACCACCGAACCGCGAAATCGAAAGTTCCAATTTTGCTTTTTGACTGCTTGTAGTTTCAATACATCATTCGAAAGAACTTGTAGAGTACTCAATGCTACTTCGCAGAACACAAGCACACAAAAGACGTTCAACTACACTTCATCAATTGTACAAATGCATTTTCATTCGTGGCACTCTGCCTCCCCATTTCACACCTATCCACCAATCAGCACCTGATGAACCACTGGGCGAGGCAAAGGTACAGAAATGAACTAACTCCCTCGGGAGCAACGATGTCTTCACTTTCGCAAGGCCGCCCGTGCTCAAACCCCACACTACATCATGTGCTGATGTCAGTGGACCAGGTGTCGCGGGCAACGATGCGACACAGCCGATCGTGAGGCTGCTGGAGCAGATTTTTGATGTTTCGCGGACCTCTGGCGGCAGACGAGTTACTCATCACCGCGATTAAGCCAGTCTCTTCGCCCGCTCTACCCTGGACTAGGCAGATGATCTAATATCGGATGACGCTCTTAAACGGGGCGCTAACATCTTCCTCCGGCCTGAAGAGCTCAAGATTGTCAACTTTGTGGTTCGCGACGCTTCAACCCTTGCCAGACCCGACGTAGTCGAGCTTTTCACGCGGATTTCGCAAGTTCCACAACAGTACGGAAAACATTGCCGCAAGTTCGCAAGTTCGGTCCCAGCTGCCCAAGCGAGTCGTGTTTGGACTGGTTTTTTGCAAGAACTCCGCTGCGCACTTGATTGAATGGCCGCAATGAACGAGGAAACCTCAAGAGCCTCTTTGAGCGCCTGCAGAAGCGGTGATTGAAGTCCGGCGTGGAGATGGGGGCCGAGCCTGCGCGGATTGTCAACTTTGACGAGTCGGACGAAGACACCGTGACGCATCTGCGACTGATTTTCGCAACCTGGAACAGCCTCCATCGCACTACGTTCGAAAAGCTGCTACGATCACTCCCGTTGACACTGTCGTCGAGCTGCCACTCAAAGGAGCTCGCCAACTTGAACCCGAATGTGAAACAAACTCACAAAGCCTATACCGACGTCTGACCCGGTGCGCGCGTCCTGCCGCGCATACAACAGCTACAACTCCGACCTTGCAATCGATTCTGATGATGGAGGTCGAACAGGATGACTCTGAGGGCGAGAGCGAAGCCAACGTTGACAATGCAGGTGACTCCTGTCGATTTGGCGCGCACCAGAAAGAGGCGTCATGCAGGAGACTCAGATGACGATGACACTTCAGCATTTGAAGAAGCTCTCATTGGTGGATCGGACACGAATGTGACATTTTCGCTGCGACCCGAGATTCTCGAGCAAAGTAAGGAGAATTTTGTGGACACACGCAGTTCAGCGCGGCTCTTATCATCTCCAGGTGTGGCAATCAGTCGTACCAACACACTCGGTGTGAGCAGCCGTCTGACAAGCGGCGTAGTAGCGATGCAGCTTGTGCCAAACGACGAAAACGGCAATTCGACCCCGAAAGCAGATCGCCGGAAGCGACATCCACTCACTGACTGCTCCAATTCAAACTAAATGTATTGCATGTATGGGCTTATGCTCAGTTTGATGTATTTTGTTGCTGTTGGGATGATTAAACGACGAGAATCCTTTGTCCCGATTGGCAATCGAGATCAGCTCAACTCAACAGCTCCCCGTCCTTCGTTCTGCCTCTTGCTTCATATTTAGCAAGGTTCGTTTTTGGCCTTCGTCGCTCTTTCAAACAACGGACACACGACGGTGAGCACACTGATTGAGATTGGTTCATCAAACAGTCCAACTTCACTGCTCAAGCTCCAACGTTGTCGCTACCGCTCATTCATGCATGCCATCTTTTGGAAGCGATACTCTATCAACACAGTACAATTACTCTACTATTCCTAGTGGATCAGTCTTGTTGCTGTCTCAACTCTCCATTCAACAACTAACGCCTCGTATTGAATGGCGCTTCTGGCGCTCTTCCGGCGCCGATGGAAGTCGAGTCTCGTTCGAATCCTCCTTGTTGTCCTGTTGTTTGTGCTTGTTCAAACCGGAATGGCGTACTTTGCGACGCTGAGTGACTCTGCGGATGGGCCAGGTGCCGTTTCGCGTTGGGAGCCAATGCAAGAGCACAAGCCACCACCACCACTGCTGCACATCGACACGAACCTTGTCATACAACCAGGAACAAGCTCTTCTCAGACGAGTCTGACACATGCTGCCGAGGAGCCTGGCGACCCGCGATCAAGCTCCCGTAGGAGCAGTCACCTCTCGACCACCAACAAGCGATACCCCGCGCGGTCCAAGACGATCATCAAAGCTCCTGCTGCCTTGGAATCAAACGAAGATCGGCTGGATGAGCTGGCAAGACTGATGGCGTTGGCGGCTCCGTTGGAAGCGCGACTCCAGCAGCTTGAGCCGTGGCGTGCTGCCGCCACGCTTGTGGCCAAGGACGCCTGGCACAAAACATCTGGCAAGCAGTTCCAAATGCTCGATGCCACGCTCCAGGCTGCATCGGCGCGCCGGCGTCGCGACCTGATGAGTGATTGGCAGTTTCCAGCCAACACCACGCTCGCTCGCGTCGAGCCAGCGAGGATGCCGTCAACCAACGCGCGTCTTCCCGTGCCCAACCCATCCAAAATCGCGCACTCCCTGTTCACGGTGGAGCACAACCTGCCTGCAAGCCTCGCATTACCCGCGTTCGTATCCGGTCCAGCTCGCTCTGCCGTCTCTTCAGCTCGCATCGCGCTCCCCAAGAGATTTCTCTTGATTGGCGTGCTCTCTGCCAATACATATCGTCGTGCTGCTATTCGAGAAACGTGGGCGGCCGATGCGTTCAAGCACGGAGTGGAAGTTCGGTTTGTTCTGACGGAAACGGAAGGAAATGGCGCGGCCGTTCGAGATGAGCAGGCGCGATACGGTGACCTCCTCCTGATCAAAGACAAGGTCAACTATCATTCGCTGGTGCGCAAGACGTACGGCTTTTTGCGCTGGGCCCTGCAAGAACGCGAGGTTCGCTTCATTTTCAAGACGGACGACGACACGTTTGTTAACATTCCACGGCTTTTGCGCTTTTTGACCACACAGGCACCAATACGGCAGCTCATCATGGGCTATCCTTGGGTCGACAAGCCGATCGCAACGGCGGCCACCGCCTTCTCACGGAATGCCGAGTACGCCAACAGCACCGGACTCGACCGCTATCCAAAGTACATGTCTGGGGCTGGCATTGTCCTTACACCCGATGTGATTCGCTCGCTGATTGTTGCACAGCATTATGTGCCCATGCATCAATGGCCTCGCGAAGATGCAACGTTTTCGGCGTGGATCTGGGGTTTGAATCTGCAGCGATGGCCCCAAATTGAGTTCCTTCCGTTGTCTGAGCGTGCGCCCAATGTCGACATGTGCATCAACATGTTTCTGCATCACTGCGATGTGTTGAGCACCGCGGTGAAGGCCATGCAGAACTGCACTCCAGCTTAAGAGTATGATTTCTCCTATGCATTGTTATCTTTCCTACCCTTTTCATTTCTCCTCTGCATTGTTATCGATTAAAATAGCCAAACAATCATTCTCACGTCGTTGCAAATGTGTTGAACATTCCCAGTCTTTTATTGGTGGTGTTGTCAAGTGAACACAAAGGCGAAAGCATGAGATAGGACAACCAGGAGCACCTCACACATTTCTTGTGTTGACCAACACCTAGATTTAAATGTTCAGGGAGGGAGTGGCCCAGCTGGCAGCCGACTCAATGGCGCACTCGTCAGTGCCGCGGCGAATGAGGAAATCACCGCCATAGTCGGTCGAGTGGCGGCCCCAAGAGTTGGCAACACGCCAGTACTTGGTGTTGGTAGTGGGATCAACGCCATATCCGATCAGCAGCACGGCGTGCGAAACAGTCTCGAACGGGTTGAAGCCAACGGTGCCGGGAGTGGTGTCGCAAGTGTAAACGCCAGCTGCACGGGGGAATGAGCAGAACCGTGAGATCTAAAAAAAAAAAAAAAAAACAGCCCCACAAATTACACCAACGGCTCGAGTGGCATCTTACAGCGGTAGGTCATGAAGCTGTCAAGAACGAGGAAGCTGACCGAGAGAGGACCATAGTTGACGAGGTGGTCAATCATACCAAGCTCGCTGCAGTTGCCATAGTAGCCACCGACATAGTTGAAATCATCGACAGTGTAGAGGCGGGGGAGAGCGCAGCCGGCCGAGCAGGGAACCTCGGGGATCAGACCGCTCTGGTACGGGAAGCAGCTTTCGTCAACAAAGCCATAATCTTGGCCAAACTGAGATGAACGAGCAAAAAAAAAAAAAAAAAAAGAACAAAAAAAAAAAAAAGAAAAAAAAAAAAGAAAAAAAAAAAAAAGAAAAACAGAAAAAAAAGCAAGGACAGGCAGAAATAAAATCAAGGTAAGCACGACGACATCGGTTCTAATGACTCCTGAACAGAAGGACAAACCTTGGAAACGAGGTACTCGAAACCGCCATCGCAGCCCTGGCTGTAAGCCGAGCACGAAACAACGCGCTGGGGCGACAGGAGAGGAGTAAGCTTGTTCTGGCTCTTGACACGAATGCGAGCCTGGAGCATCTCAGTGCCGGAGAAGGCATAGCAGCTGATGAGCAACAGACAGAGTGAGACGCTTTTGTAGAATAGGAACAACGCAGAGTACGACAAAGGAGCGCTTACCTGCCGCAGCTAAGCTGGTCACTGTGAATCAACGCCAAGAACACAACACCAAACAAAAATGAGACGAAAGTGAATCAAAAGGTCAGTACAACAAAAACAAAACAATCGCCCACTCCGATCCCATCACGCCGTGCCAAAACTGTACCGCATGGGGCCGACGTAGTCAATGCCAGACACGTTGCGCCAGTTCAGCTCGGCGGGGTAAGCAGCGAATGCGTCGGCAGAAGCCTTGGCGGCAGTGCGCAGCTTGGCCGGGGGCAGGTGAGCCTCGACGCTGGTCTTGAGCTTGCGGCCAGCCATGGCCTGGACCTCGCGCATCGGGCGACCAACAAGGGCAGGGTTGGGACCAGCAGTCCACAGGTTCTGGGCAGCGTTGAGGCGAGCAATGTATTCGTGGTCGGCATGGAAGCTTTTGTTGCCAATCAAAAAAAAACAACAGGACAACAAAGTCAGCATGCAGTCCCACACCACTTTCCCCATTCATGCATCACCGAAAATCTTTACATGGCGTCGGGAGAAGCAGCCTGGGGCTTGGGAGCGTAGGTGGTGACGGGGGAAACAGTGTTGGCAGCCTCCTGCTCGGTAAAGTACGAAGCCTTGTAGCCCTTGAAGCAGCCCCAGCCGAGCGGGAGCTGGCCCGAGCCGTAGGGAGCGTCGTGGTAGGTGCTGAGGACGGTCTCGTTGCAGAAGGACGTGACGTTGCCGCTGATCGGGTCGACCGTGTACGGGAAGAAGGCAAAGAAGAGCTGGGTGAACTTTGCACCGTCCATCATTCGGACGCTGATGCCCTCGTCGTAGATCATGGTCCAGTCCGCAACCTGGATGCCAGACGAGTTGTAGACAATGTTGGGCTCTGCAAAGCGCAGGTGGAGCGACTTGACTGGATTGAACGTGTCGTCGTTGCAGACGAGCGAGTTGTCGCCATTGTTGGCGCCCATGTCAAAGCGCCAAGTGCCGACAATCTGAGCACATACAACAACCACAAACAAATCATACACATGCAAGTTAGAACGAGTCATACGTCGAGCATTACAATGTGAGGACAATGAGTAAAAAGAGTCCGACATTGGAGTTCAAAGAGGGAGAAGCGGGGGAAAAAAGGGAGTTCAAGTCAGCGGTTTCGGAGCTCGACCAGTCGTCGTGGGGGCAAAGACGTAAGCCCAAGTCACATAGACATCAATACACACTCGAATTGTAGAGGGTTGACAAAACCAAAGGGGTGGGAGTGGGGGTCAAGGGAGGAGCGTGGCGAAAAAGAGTTCAAGGTCAGCGGTTTTTTGGTAAGAAATGCTGCCAGTCGTCGCGGGGCAACGACGTAGGGTTGGGGACATGTGCACATATACGCACTCCACTGTTGGGGTTTGACGAAAGTGAAGGAGGTGGGGGTAACGGGTCGAGGAGCAAGGCGGAACGGAGCGGACTTAAAAAGCGAGCCAGCCAACCACGCGCTCAAGCAGTGACGACAGAGAGAAAGAGTAGATGCATGCGCAGAGTGGCGTTGCTGCAGCGTGTTCACCTGGTCGTAGAGGCAGTGGACGGGAATGTCCGCGCGGGCAACGGCAGCGACGCCGAGCAGCGCAAGCAGAGCAACAAGCAATGCTGAAGCAGTACGCATTGGAGAAGACCAAAAAAAAGAAAAAAAAAAAGAGAGACTGAGATTCTGAGATCGGAGTTGGGTTGAGGTTGATGATGCATAGCTTGCTTGGGGGTTTATTGATTGAGAGATTGAGAGTGAGCTTGAGAGTGAGAGCGGTGGGTTGGGGTGTGGTGGTGCGGTGACACCGATGTTGAATTGTTTCTTGGCAAGTACAACTTGAATGCAGTGTTGCAAGCCCGCTAAGCACACTTCAGGTCTGGGTTTTTCACAACCTCGAAGGATTTATATCCGTCCATGAATTTATCCAAGGTGTGCAAGTATACCACGCCTTGATTGTCCATGTGAATAACTTGTCACTTCTTTGAAACCTAGCCTTGTTCGTTGCATGCAGTGACAATGCCCACATGGTAGCCAGCGCTGTCCCTGGAGCACCACAGCGAGTCTCCGCATTGAAGCTCTCTAATAGCATCATAAGTGCCTTCAATCGCCTCGAAGGGGTGGGAAGTTTTGGAGAGCGCGATGCCAAGCTGTGTTTCTTTCGAATTGCCAATTTTCTCAAACTTGCTCATTCGACTGACAGACGAGGGAACTGGCATGCCTGTGTAAATGACGCTGTAAAGCATGTCGCTCATTGCCGCTCGGCCAGCTCGTCCAGCTCGTCCAGCTGAAGAGTGGGGGTCTGGGCATTGTGAGTGAAGCTGTTGGCGGCATTTCCGAAAATGTCAAAGACAAGTTCTCAGTCATTTCAGTTTTTTTGACTTGTTTTTCGCGCCTTTTTTTTTTTTTTTCCCCATCTTTTTCTTCGTTTCCCCCCCCCCCTCCTCCTCCCGCTCCCTTCCTTTCCAACGCAACAATGTCCACCGCGGCCGCACCTAAAACTGAAAAGCAGTGGTTGAGTCTCTCTGTAAGGGCACAACCACTCTGCTCTCGTTGTGCCGTTCGTGGTGCTCACAACTGCGCTTTTGTTTCTTTGCTTTTAGGCTAATCAACTGCGCAACGAGCTCACCAAGCGCGGTCTCGCATCTGACGGCTTCAAGAAGGACATGGTGGTACGTCTCGTGGCTCATGACGCGGGGCAGCAGCAGCAGCAGCAGCCGCAGCAGCAGCCGCAGCAACAGAAACAGAACTCCGCCTCATACGCTGCCGTCACCTCCTCGTCTTCAACCTCCTCGTCTTCAGCAGCAGCACTCTCATCTTCATCAGCAGCAGCAGCACCATCAGCAGCAGCGTTGCTCTCAACAACAGCACCGCCGCTAGCAACAGCGGCAGCACCAGTATCCTCATCTTCTGCTCCAACAGTGCCGTCGTCCTCATCTTCTGCTGCAGCAGCCCAGCCGCCATTCGTGCCACCGCTTCGGCCAGCTCAAGGCACCACATTCACTGTTTCCAGTGCGGACTTGGATGGCCTCACTGTTCCGGACGAGATCAAGGCGCTATTGGATACGCATGGCAAGAGCGTCGAATTGCTCGATCGCAACATTTCAGGTGACTTTTTCCAACTTCTGTTAACATCAGACGAAGCACCCAGGCCTCACTACCTCACCGGTGTTGGCGGCGTCGGCAAAAGCAGTATTCTGCTGATGCTGGCCGTGCTGGCGATGAAACACAACAGGGCCTTCTTCGAGCGATACGCCGCTCCTGCTCCTGCTCCTGCTCCTGCTCCTGCTCCTGCTCCTGCTTCTGCTGCTACCCCATTCGATGGTGTCATTTTCCTCATCTACCTACCCGAGACTGCTGCGTTCGTTGGACAACAACCTGAGGTCGCGGCTTCCCAACTGATCGAAAGGTTGCGGATCGCGAACGCCCGTCTGTTGAGCTCTCGTCTGCTCGATGAGCCCGCGTTTCGGAAACTCAAGGCGGCTTTTGTCGAAGAGGATGATGGGCCCTCACTCGACCAATGGGTTCGCATCAATGCAGCACTGCAAGGCCTCGAGTCCAAAAGGCACCGATTCCGCACCCTCGTCCTTGTCGACCAGTGGAATTCGATCGTTTACTCGCAACCCCCTCCCGTTGGCCACAAGAACAAGGAGGCATACCATCCTGCTCAAGACTTCTACAGGCTCAGCACACGCTTCGGTTTCTCGCTTTTCGTTGCTGCAGTCAGTTCCTCGTTCAACATGGGCTCAGACAGCGCTTTCAGCGACGCGCAAGTTGGTGGAGCACAACAGCCAATCGAATCCCTGACTGATGAAGAAGCCGAAACGTTGCGCGCGATCTGGTGGCACCGCAATCCATCTTTGAAACTCACCGCCGCCAGTATGAAAGAGCTTCACCTGAAGGTCGGTGGCGTCGCGCGCATTTTGCAGTATTATGCAACATCCCGGTCCCACAAGAATCCAGAAGCAGAGTTTCGCCGACTGTGCGAGCAATATTACGACAACCGACTCAAACGTCTTATTGAGCGCTTTCGTCGCACAGACGAATTCACCAGTTTTGTGTGCGACCTCGCCACGATCTTTGCGCGGACAAGCATCCCCGAGAAGACACCCGAGGTTTGGGTGCAGACCGGCATGGTGAAGCAAGATCCAACTGATCAAAGCCAACTCGTCCCGGTCAGCGATCTGGTTCGCGCCGCGGCTGTGAGGCGCTTCAACGCCGAGCGAGCCGGCCTGATGCGCATTGTGTTTGCAAACCAATCCACGACTTGGAGCGCGCTCGAGATTTTCGTCCTCTCCTGCCTTCAGTACAAGCATCAAACGTTGAAGGGGACAGACTTGTCAGACGAGGCGGTCCTGACGCTTACCACCTCTGTCGACAACGTGCATGTGCTCGACCGGTCAATCATGAATCTTGGCGCGGACGGCTATCTTACATCTCACCACGGCGCTCTACCGTTTCCGGTCGGCACGCTGCTCATTCCTGGCTGGGCCACTCATCCCGTTGCCGACGCTGTCTTGTTGACGCGTCAAAACGATGGCTCCGAAGCCTTGATCTTTTTCCAGATCAGCAAATCCTCATACGCGAAGCACGACACCAAACTGCCCGACTTGGCTTCCAAGCAACTCGGCAGCGCGTCCGTTCTGGAGGTGTATCGCGAGCTGTTTGGTCTCGCCGGAAATCAGGCCTACGACACGCCAGACATTGCTCAAGGCAAGCTCAGCGGTACCCTTGTCAAGTATGTTTACGCCACTTTGGCACAGAAACCTCAGGAAGATGAGGGCGAGAGAAAAAAAGGAAAGAAAAAACAGGCCAAAAAAGAACAGGACGATGTTTTTCTGATGCGCCAGGAGCATATCAAAGAGCTGGACTCCAAAGCATGGGCCGCCATGGCCGGGGCCAAGCCTTAAATCTCCGGCATTTCTGCGCTTTTCTTGTGTGTAACTGCTTTTTTTTTGTTTGTTTGTTTGCTTGTTTGCTTCTTTGTTTCTTTGTTTCTTTGTTTTGCGTGCACAGCTGTGTTGGGCTGCAATACAACTTCAATTCTGACTGTTCGACGATGCTGAAGCCACGGCCTCTTCCCATCGCAGTCGACGATCCTACGTGCAGGTCAAAATTGCTTTCAATCATGCATGGCAGCCTGTTGTGAATGACTTGGGATGGCCTTTTGGAAGCATCTGGAGTAGATCTAGAATCGTAATTTTTTCGAAATTCAGCGGTTATCGAAAAGAACTGTGGCATGGATCATTGCCCACGGTGTTGCTGTTTTGAGAGCACATTGCATGCATGCATCGCTGTGTGTTTCGCATTTGCCAATTTTCTCGAACTTGCTCATTCTACTGACTGACGAGGGAACTGGTGACGACAATCGTGCAGCGCCACGCCTGTGTAAATGACGCCGTAAAAACATGTCGCTTATTGCCGCTCGTCCAGCTCGTCCAGCTCGTCCAGCTCGTCCAGCTCGTCCAGCTGAAGAGTGGGGTCTGGGCATTGTGAGTGAAGCTGTTGGCGGCATTTCCGAAAATGTCAAAGACAAGTTCTCAGTCATTTCAGTTTTTTTGACTTGTTTTTCGCGCCTTTTTTTTTTTTTTTTCCCTTCTTTTTCTTCGTTTCCCCCCCCCCCTCCTCCCGCTCCCTTCCTTTCCAACGCAACAATGTCCACCGCGGCCGCACCTAAAACTGAAAAAGCAGTGGTTGAATCTCTCTGTAAGGGCACAACCACTCTGCTCTCGTTGTGCCGTTCGTGGTGCTCACAACTGCGCTTTTGTTTCTTTGCTTTGTAGGCTGAACAGCTGCGCAAAGAGCTCACCAAGCGCGGTCTCGCATCTGACGGCTTCAAGAAGGTCATGGCGGCACGTCTCGTGGCTCACGATGCAGGGCTGCATCCACCGCCGCAGCAGCACCAGCAACAGCAGAACCCCAACTCCTCATCTTCTGCAGGGCCACCGCCAGCACCGCTAGCACTGCCAGCAGCACCAGCAGCAGCATCAGCCAACACGGGCAACAACAGCGTTGCGAGCACCAGCAGCAGCAACAGCGACCCGAGCAGCTCAGCCGCCGGATTGACCGACGATGCACCGCCTCCACCGGCCGAAGGCACAACATTCATCTTTTCCAGTGATGAAGTGAAAAACTTCACAATTCCGGACGAGATCAACAGGTTGCTGCGGGTTCATGGCAATAGCGTAGAATTGCTCGATCGCAAAATTTCGAGCAACATTTTTGAAGATCTGTTGGCGTCAGGCCGAGCACCGGAACCTCGCTACCTCAGCGGTGTTGGTGGTGTCGGCAAAAGCAGTATTCTGCTGATGATGGTCGTGCTGGCGATGCGCCATAACAGGGCCTTCTTCGAGCGTTTCGCTGCTGCTCCTGCTCCTGCTCCTGCTCCTGCTCTCGCTCCCGGTTCTTTCGATGGTGCCATCTTTCTCATCTACCTGCCCAAGACTGGTGCGTTCTGCCACGAAACTTCTGAAGTTGCGGCTTCTCAACTGATCGGCGATTTGCGAATTGCCAACCGCCGTCTGTTGCGCTCGGGCTTGCTTGACGAGCCCGCGTTTGAGTTACTCAAGGATGCGTTTGTGCACCGCAAGACCTCGTCCGGGCATTTTGAGTCCGCACTGAACCAATGGGGTCGCATCAATGCTGCGTTGGTTGGCCTCGAGTCCCAAAGTCACCGTTTCCGCACCCTCGTCCTCATCGACCAGTGGAATTCGATCATTCATGCGAAAGCCCTTCCCGTTGGTGACGAGGACCAGCTCAAGGCAGACCATCCGGCTCAAGCCTTCTACAGACTCAGCACACGCTTCGGTTTCTCGCTTTTCGTTGCTGCAGTCAGCTCCTCGCCCAGGATGGACTCATCCAACGCTCTCAGCGGCTCGCAATGTGGTGGAGCTGAACAACCAATCGAGTTCCTGACTGATGAAGAAGCCGAAACGTTGCGCGCGATTTGGTACTACCGCAGTCCACCCTTCAGAATCACCGCCGCCAGTATGAAACGGCTTCACCTGAAATTCGGTGGCGTCGCGCGCATTTTGCAGTATTATGCAACATCCCAGTCCCACAAGAATCCAGAAGCAGAGTTTCGCCGACTGTGCGAGCAATATTACGACCACCGACTCGATCGCCTTATTGAGCGCCTTCGTCCCACAACGGAATTCACCAGCCTTGTTTGCGACCTCGCCACGATTGTTGCGCGGACAAGCATCCCCGAGAGGACACCCGAGGTTTGGCTGCAGACCGGCTTGGTGAAGCAAGATCCAACTGATCAAAGCCAACTCGTCCCGGTCAGCGATCTGGTTCGCGCCGCGGCTGTGAGGCGCTTCAACGCCGAGCGAGCCAACCTGATGCGCATTGTGTTTGACAACCCAGCCACGACTTGGAGCGCACTCGAGATTTTCGTCCTCTCCTGCCTTCAGTATGCGAGTCAAACGTTGAAGGGGACAGACCTGTCGGACGAGTCGGTCCTAGAGCTGACCACGACTGTCGACAACGTGCACGTGCTCGACCGGTCAATCACGAATCTTGGCGCGAAAAATTATCTCGCTGCTTTCAACGGCGATCAGCCTTTCCCGGTCGGCACACTGCTCATTCCTGGCTGGCCCAACCATCCCGTTGCCGATGCAGTCTTGCTGACGCGTCAAAACGATGACTCGAACGTCTTGATCTTTTTCCAAATCAGCAAATCTTCGTACGCCGATCACCAGACCAAAGTACCAAACTTGGTTTCCAACAAAATCGGCAACGCATCCGTTCTGGCAGTGTACCGCGAGCTGTTTGGCCTCCCGAACAATGTTGACTACAACCCGCCATCCATTGCTCAAGGCAAGCTCGACGGTACCCTTGTCAAGTATGTGTACGCCACCTTGGACGAGAGCACGGCTGAACCGGATCACGACGTTTTTCTGATGCGCGAGGCGCATGTCAGAGAGCTGGATTCCGAAGCATGGGCCGCAATGGCTGGGGTCGAGCCCTAACCTCGAGGCGCGTTGCTCTTTTTGTGTTGTGCAACTTTTTGTTGTTGTTGTTGTTGTTGTTGTTGTTGTTGTAGAAGTAGTAGTTGTTTTTTCTGTGTATCTTGTTTGTTTGTTTGTTTGTTTGTTTGGCGTGCAGTGGGCTACAATACACCTTCAATTCTGCCTGTTCTACGACGCTGAAGCCACGGCCTCTTCCCATGGCGGTCGACGATCCTACGTGCAGGTCAAAGTTGCTTTCAATCATGCATGGTAGCCTATTGTGAATGACTTGGGATGGCCTTTTGGACAGAATCCAGCAAGAGCAGGATGAAGATTCTGCAATCTAATGACGAGTCAAACTTGTCGCTGCATCTGACCCTCAAGCATGGTCATTGGCGTCCCCATCGTTGTCACGAAGTTGGAGTATCACGCATCCAGCGGTCGGTGAAGACGGTGAACCCAGGAAGGGGTTGGATTCGATGCGTTGTAGATCTTTTCCAGTATGGGAGTTGATTATCTCTTGTTAACAGCAGTGCAACCTCGGATAAGAATATATTATAGAATAGGTAGCACTGTTTATTTGGGAGTTGTTACTATGTCTAGAGCGCGAAGCGCGACCACTGGAAGCACTCATGTGTTGTGTGGCACCCCCCCCCCCGGCCACACGATCGCGATCCTGCACTTCAGCATCAATCTCTCCATACAAATCCAGCCATGGCATGCCGATTCTGAGGATGGAGTTGTTGTTGTAGCTGCTGCGTTTGATCTTGCGCCGATTTGGGGTTGTTGTGAGGCAGTCCCGGTTCTTTTCGTTTTTTATTTTTGTACTTTTTATTGTAGTTTCAGTTTTCTCGCTTCTCTCGAGCAAAATGTCGCGCAGCTCCAACTCAGGTACAAAACTACATGTTCGGTTTCATTCCTTAGCATCTCATCGGCGGGGGTGGGGGCGGGTTGTCTTCCATGCAAGAGCACTTCTGATCGATGTCCACGTTGAACGTGGTGTTCAGATGGGAGCAGGGGGTTTGTTCCATTTTCTCCTCTCTCCTCTCTCTCTCTCCAGCTCGCAGCTCTGTCGGCAGTGGCATTTGGCTCGTTTTGAGACCTTTGCGCTTCTGGTGAAGGAGTATGCCGGAGACGGGCGCGGGTAGCTGCACCAATGGGACCAACGCGTCCCAACACGCGATCACGTACACTCCACACGCCTCGACCACGACGCGCCCTGTGAGGCGGGAGTCAGAGCCAATCGCGTTAGAAGCAGAGATTGCAAGCGACAGAAGCATTGAAGATGCATGTTGGACAAGCAAAGGGGGCGTGAGTCTGAGTAGACGAGGGAGGCAGGGCAAGGCAATGGAGGCAATGGAGGTAGCAGGCGAAAGTGAAATGTGAAGGGTGAGGCAGCGAGGTGAGTGAGGCTGGGTCAGTTCAGTTGCCCCCCATGAGGCAGCTTTCGAGAGTGGCGGTCATTGCTCGTCTATCGCTTTGATGCCTACTTTAAGCGAGTGTCAGTTTCGGGGTGTGAGGTTGCTTGTCGGACAGCAGCAGTTTGGGGGCAACACTGTGCTAGTGCGTTTGATCCGGGCGCACGTTGGAGGCGTCAAAATTTACCAATGAGAACGACGAGAAGGCAAATAAAAAAGAAAAATCATCTTGTTGCTACCGACTGCGGTTTGGAGCGGGATTCTTCAATGTCATCCCCCCTGATGCTGCATTGGAGTCAGGATGAAACTCAGAGGCAACAAGGTTTTACATTGAAATGGGTGTGTGTGTGTGTGAAAGGAAGGCGAGCGAGACGGAACGAGACGTTGAACGAAAAACCACACAGGAACATCAGGGAGCAAAAGAAAAAAAAAAAACCAAATGAAAAGGCAAAGAAACAAAAAAAAAAAAAAAAAAAAAAAAAAAAAAGAAAAAAAAAAAAAAGAAAAGAAAAAAAGAAACACGCCTCTCATGCATAAAAATGGAGAGAAACTCGCTCTTTGCTATGATGAGTTGCACAAAAAAAAGAGGGCAAGGCGAGGCAAGTCGAGGCAGTGGATTGTGTGAATGAGCAGCCACCATCACCACACAGCCACACAGCTGGATGAAAGCAAGCCTGGGATGAGAGCGCTAAAAAACAAAACGCCAAACAAATAAGCATTAGCATGCCAGCTCGTGCAGCAAAGGCAAATAAATGATCCACATTGTATTGTGGTGAGTCACGCACGAACAGCGCGGCAAAGCAATGCAAACAGCACACTGCTTGATGCTCCTCTGCTGTGCTGTCCTCTTTGTGGATTTGCTCTTTGCTTGGTTCGTGGTCGAGAGGAAGGCAGCCATCCACGAAGAGGGAGAGAGAGAGCTGCTCCCTGCGGAACCTGCAGCAAACAACTGTGAAATCACCCACTTCTCCGTCGATGCTTCTGTGATTCTTGATGCCATGCTTCATGCCCGATGCTTGATGCTTGATGCTTGATGCTTGACCATGATCGTTGTCTCGTGTTGCAAACCCCCGCTAGCCCCTCGTTTTAGCTTTGTTTGAGTGCCTCATTTTTCATTTTGCTCACTTTTTTTTTTTTTTTTTGCTCACTTTTTATTCTTTTTTCTCGTTTCCTACATGTTCAACGTGAAAACAGCGCGTTTGGCGCTCCTCGTCGCGGTGGGCGTGCTGATCGTCATTGCAACAACTACAGGACCCATTCCACCACAAAAGCAGCCCGGTGCTGCTCCGGCGGCGGCCGCGTTGGCAGGAGGGGCAGCCTCGGGGAACAGCGAGCCAAATCTAAACCCTCTCTCTGGGGACGTCCCAGTCGGCCGCCGAGAAGCCCCTCAACCCGCGTCCGGCGCTGCCAATGCCGCAGCAGCAGCAGCAGCAGCAAAAAAACCACACCCACCAGCTGCCTCACCAGCCGCAGTGGCAGCAGCAGCAGCAGCAGCAGCATCGGACAAGAAGGACGCGGCGGCAGAAGGTGTCATGGGCGATGCTCCACCTGCTCCCGTCGACCCCAACGACCCCTTCCTACCACAAAACCGCAAGCTGGCCCCTCTCGAGTCCTACAAGCCGCTCGTCGACGATGGTGTCATGCGCATCAACGTCATGATCGCCTCGGACGCCAACACTTTGATCGGCGTTATCGCTGTTGTCAAGTCCATTCTCGCAAACACCAAAACCCCTGATCGCATCGATTTCTACCTCATCGTCGACACCGACCAAGAGGCAGTCCGCTGCCAACGCTGGCTCAACCTTGCATTCGAAAAGAAGCGACAGGCTCAGTTCTGGGTCAAGGTCTTCCCGCTCGAGTGGGTCGCCAACAAGATCAAGATCCGTGGCCGTCGTCAAGATCTCGCTTCGCCTGTAAGTGCAGCCATTCATCAGTTGGCTCGAGGGGGTGATGTGTATCTGAATTTCAGCGAGCGATCGAGGTTGAAAAGCACCAGATATGAAGCAAACCGCCTAACTCACATGCTTTGTTTTGTGTTTTTCGCTCCTCCCCTCTCCCTCGCACCCTCGTCACTCTTTTGCAGGCAAACTATGCTCGTTACTACGTGCTGGACTTGTTCCCCAATTTGACTGGCCGCATTGCCTACATTGACTCCGACGTCGTCGTGCAAGACGACGTTGCCGGCCTGTACTTCCACCCCATCGAGCCAGGGCACATTGGCGCGTTTGTCAAGGACTGCCACAATGAGCTCCGCTTCTTTATCAACTTTGAGCATCCGCGAGTGCTGGCACAGCAGATGGATCCCAGCACCTGCAGCTTCAACGCTGGTGTCTACGTGGCCGACCTCACCGAGTGGAAGCGCCAGCGCATGAGCAAGGAGCTCGAGTTTTGGATGGAGCTCAACACACGCGAAAACGTCTACGGTGGCGAAGGTTCGGGCGGCGGCTCGCAGCCTCCCATGCTGCTGGCCTTGTACGGTCGCGCAACCGAGCTCAATCCCCTCTGGCACGTCCGGCACCTCGGATGGTCTGGCAGCTATGCCTACACGGCAGAGTTTGTGAAATCGGCGCATCTCTTGCACTGGAACGGTGCTGGCAAGCCCTGGTTGCTTGTTCCCGGCGTTAACTTCCCGTCCGTGTGGCGCCAGTTCTGCACTCCCGAACCCGAGTTGAGTGCAACTGCGTGCTCTGAACCCAGCGATGGACCATCGTACAAGTACGTCTCTGACGAGGCCATGCTGGCCGAACACTGCACACAAGTGCGGGAGCAGCGTGCGGCAGATGCCGAGATTGGTATTGCCCTCGATTGCACCTTCCCTTGGTGAGGTCCAAACGCAAGTTATGCATTTTTTCGTTTCCTTGTCTGGAAAGCGTTAGTTTGTGTGTTTGCGACTGTCAAGTACGTCGTAACACCTCCCCCCCAAATCCTCTCCGTTACCATCATTTCTTAAACACCCTTGCCAGCGATTCGAGCGCTGCATTTTTTTGTTGTTGTTTTAGTGTTTGTGTTTTTGTTTTGTTTTTGTGATTGTGTTTTTGTTTTTTGTGTGAGTGTGTGTTGCGCGCGTGTGTGTGTGTGTGTGTGTGTGTGGATGAAACGTGGTATTACTACCACTTCATCCTTCGTATTCGTGTCAGTTGTAGATCTATTATTAGCTTCAACAGCATCATTTTCCTGTCTGTTGGTTGTTGCATTTCAAGAGTCTGAAGCGTGTTTTGCTTGGACCGCCCACTTTTAGGAATCGCATTCAAAAGGAAATCTGGATCACCGAGAGAGTTTATTGCTGCAATGGTTTTTTTTAGTACGTGGGATAATGCTTCAGCCGGTACAAGACGACCTTGCCCTTGTCGTTGCCAACTGCAAAGTAGGCAGAGTGAGGCGAGAATGCGACGCTGTGCACATAACTAAGCGGCGCTTTCTCGGAAGGCCAGTTGGCAAAGGTAGTTGCAGATGGGAAGTGAATCTGTAAAGCGACAGAACAATCGACAGAACAATGGGAAGTGGGAAGTTAGAGGCGAAAAAAACAAACCAAGTTCAACAGTTTAACAAAGCCCTTCCTCACCAGACGCATAGCATTCTTCTTCTCGGCACTCCAAGCAGCGAGCAGTTGAGCGTCATGATTGAACACGAGACCCGAGATGGAAGTTGTCAGATTATCAATGGTTCGCAACGGCTTGGGATTTTCGGAAGCAAGGGCAACGGTAGTGTCGTATACGTTGATGATGCCAGTGTCGGAACTAAAGTCGAGCAAGCCAGGCACAAGTAGATGTGAGTTGTCACAAGCACAAAGCCAAAAAACAAAAACAAAAAAACCCCCCGAACAACCGCAAAAATCCTTTACCCGCAAGCAATGTACTTGTTGTTTGGGCTGACGGCAATCGCGGTGCCATGTACACAGCCTTCGTCGACAAATCGGTGCGTGCATTGGCGCGATGCTACATCCCATACATAGACATGACCATCACCTAGCGAAAGTTTCCAAGCAAAGTAGCCGAACGTCAGCAACAATTTGACCAAAAGAAAGAGCTCCCTTCACTCAACAACATCCGATACGTACCACCGAACGACAGCAGCTGATTGCCAGAGCGCGTGAAGGCCACTGCTCGCACAGTGCCGTTCATCTTGAAGTCTGCCACCCATTGCTTGCTCACTGTGGAAACAAGAATAATATAACCGTCCTTGCCGAGGAAGACAAGGTGCTTGCCATCGGGAGAGACGACAAACGACTCCAGGCTCTTCTCTTCGCGACCACGAATGCCAGGAACGCGGTGAATTGCGCCCTCCGAAATGTTAAATGTATAAAACCAGGTTCTCCGCGAAGTCGCAAAGATCTGGCTGCCGTCGACGGACATGGCGGCTTCATGGATGGGGAAATTTGGAATGTGAATGCTTTGAATCTTGGCATTGTCGGTTCCGTCGACCTGGGAACAAAGAGCAGCGGAAACAACAAATCAAACGTCAGCAACCCGACCCGACCTCGAACATGACAAAAACAACAGAAAAGCAATGCAGTGTCAATCAACTCACCTGATATAGCCGCAGCGTCTTGTCCAAACCAGCAGTCATGAGAACTGCTCCAGAGGGATGGAAGGCCACTGCCTGGATGGCGGAGGCAGAAACCTCGGCAGAGTTTGCGTCGCGCACACGAACGGCCTCAATCAAGCGAACAGGAAGCAGCCCGGTGCTGCTCGAGGACGCTGTCAAACCTTGTGTGGTCTGGAAAATGCTGTCATGCTCGTCGACCTCTTCTTCTTCTTCGTCTTCTTCATCTTCGTCCTCCTCGTTGTCGGATGCAGCAGCAGCACCGCCATCGGAGCTTTCGCCATTCGCGGCATTCTTTTTTGGTCGGCGAGCGGCAGATGTCGCCTTCTCGACCCATTGCGGTGCTTGGTGCACCTTCTCGAATTGGCCCTTCAGACGACGCGCGTACTCGGCACCCGAAATGGCCTGTTCGTCCTCTGCCTGACGGAGCTTCTTGAGGCGAGCCTTGTCGACAACAGATACACTGATATTCGCGTCATCCTTGTCTTCCCAGGCGGGGTCTGTTGGAGCGTCGGCGTGAGACTGAGTTTACACGATCGAAGATCAAGTTTTTGGATGCAAGCAAGCCATCCACGTACCTGCTGCCTTTTTGCCCTTTCGGTTTTTGCTCTTGCCATTGGGTTTTGCTGGAGCAGGCTCCTCGTCTTCGTCCTGCACGAAACAAAGGTTTCCAGACAAAAAAAAAAAACAAACAAAAAAAAAAAAAGTTGTGAGTTTCCACGACCAGAATCCAATCGTGCGCGCCGTTCCGTCGTAAATATCTGGATTCATTGCAATGTTGCTTGTTAACGAACACCGTCATGTTGTTGGTCGAGTAAGTGAGTGAGTGAGTGTGGCTGGGATTTCCATTTGATCGTAACTTCCATTCTCCATCCTTCCCAGAGGCCTGTTCTCCTTCGCGAAACGACCCTTGCAACAACAATCTCCTTGGGGTTTGCCTTTCTGCCCACACGACGTTGCTGGTTGGTGACTGTGGTCGCAATGCCAGAGCACCATCCTCGCTTTGTTCCATGTGGACCTTTGCGCGCATGTGGACGCCAACTCACATTGGCGATCAGCGTCCGGTCCTGGTCCTCCCCGGCTTCGTCGATGCCCATGGTGACATCAGCGTCCGCATCAACATCAGCGTCCGCATCAGCATCAGCAGCAGCAGCGGACTCGTCAGCGGTTGAGGCCGGCATGTTGCCAAACAGCGACAGGGCCAGCTCCTGCTCGCCAGCCGATGGAACCGCACTCCGCGGGTGCTTCTTGGAGCCCATGCGCAGACGCTTGGCGACATGGACGGGCTCAGCAAGCTCGGTCTTGGAGGAGCTGCTGCTGCTGGTGGTGGTCGCGGATTCGGCGTCGGACGCGCGCTGCGACGCAAGTCGGCGTTTCTGAAGCAGCGACATTGTCAAGTTCAGAAGAGTGAGTAAGAAGCTTGAATCGAATAGAATAGAATAGAATAGAAGAATAGATTGAAAGAGAGTATCAGACGAGGGGGATGATGAACCGCGGCAGTCAATGGACGATCAGAGAAGTTTTATATGGAAAACACCATCAGCGGCGATTCTCAGACTGATGCTGAATTGCTCAGTTTGTGCTTCGACTCGATGAGAAAGTGCCATCGTAACCCGAGTTTTTTTTTTTTTTTTTTTTTGATTCAATGTCTGGACAATGAATGATTGAGACTTGAGATTTGAGATTGAGATTGAGATTGAGACTTTTGTATGGAGCAGCATTGCGTATTCGAGTTCATTCCTATTTTTTTATTTCTTCTCTTTCTCAATAAGCAAACTCACACCCACACACAAACAATGTCAGGTTCAGCGGATGACAGCGACGCGCCGTCTGCGATTGAGCGGCTTCAGTTTGCAGCCAAATCCAATAACGAGCAAGTCTACAACGAAGTAAAGCCCAGCTTCTCCCACCTTCGCGACTCCATCCACTCTATCAATCAATCAATCTCTCTCTATCGCTATCTCGCTATATCTGTCTCAGCGGGCTTCTCGTGTGTGGTGTGATAATCCTTCCCAATCTCTCTAGACGCTGGTTGTTTGTTTCTACTGCCCACTGCCCACTGCTTCTCTGGTTGTGCTTGCTTTGCCGCGTTTTCATTCCTGTCCGTTTTGTTGTTTCATTCGCAGGTCATCGCTGAGGCAGGCGCGTCGCTCGACTTCAATGCGCAGGACGGAATCGGCAACACTGCTCTGCATTACGCGTAAGGAAAGAGAGGGAAAACAAAAGAGAAAAAATCTTACTAGAAGGACAACCATTTGGATTTTGGGGGATTGTTCTTGCCGTGCGTCACACAAATGGCCAAGCAAAGGACCAAAAGACAAAGATGATGGGTATTGTCAGAAAGGGGAAAGGGGGAGGAAGGGGCAGGAAGAGGCAGGAAGAGGCACTGGGAGTGAGCAAGAATCTGGCTCAAATTTGTGATTTTACTGCAAGATTTCTGTTCTTGCGTGACCGGTCAGAATTTGTGAGGATAGGGAGGGATTGAGGGTTTCCAAAGGGTGGTTTGGATGGTCTTGGGGTTCATTACCGGGAGGAGGGAGGCAGCAGAGGGAGTTGAAGTGGCGCAAGATTTTTGCTGTTCTTTGATCGATCAGAACTTGGGACGGGTGAATGGATGGGTGTTGCAACACTTCAATGATGCTTGTATCAGATCAAAAGGACCCGTATATACCCTTGACGGGATGAGCAAGTCGCCAATGCTCACCGAAACCGATCTGTTTGTCAATTTGTGACTGTTTCCTTTGATTGACCTTGAACATAGCGCACAGTGCGGATCGCTCGACATTGCTCAGCTTCTGGTCGACCATGCAGGAATCAAGCTCGATGTGCAAAACCGTCAATGGCAAACGCCACTGTTTGTCGCCGCGAGGTACCCAATCTCTTCCGTGTTTTTTTTTTTTAACCAGTTTCCCATTTTTTGGTTGTTTTGTGCGCTTCCTTGCCCTCCTAACATGCAAACACAACCTCACATGTCATCCTACGCGACTCTTCAAATTGCTCTTTTGCCAGTCACGGCGAGGCTGAAATCGTTCAGCTGCTCATTGAGGCGGGTGCCAACCCGTCCCTGGCGGACAAGCAACGATCGAGCCCCGCGTCGGTGGCCAAGTCAAAGGAAATCAAGGACATGATCAATTCAGCCGTAGTTGCACGAAGTCTCGTACGTTCTCTTCATGGATGGTGTTGGTTGAGGGATAAAATTTCTCTCTTTTTTCTTGACGCTGTTTTTAACTGAATCATCGTTCACAGGCGGCCGACGATCTTGATCAAGGCGACAGCGAAGAGGAGGACGAAGAAGGCGAGGAGGAAGACGAATAGCCAACGTCAAATGCAGAAACAAAGCTGCTCAATTTCTTTGACCTTGATGAGTTGCAATTTTGGATGATGTCGATGCTCTTTGGCATCCATTCGTTTTGCACTCTACCAGAAAACAAGATTGTTCGACTCGCGAAAGATTCTTCATGCATCAACAATCGTAAAAAACGCAACATTGCAACAACCACACTTGGAACTCGCAAAGCAAAAAAAAAAACAACGACAGACTTTTTTTTACTTTCGCGCTTCAAACTGTGCTCGGCAATCGAGCATGAACTGCTTCACTTGCTCAACCATCTCTTTGCACCGCACAGGATCGTGCTGGAATTCCTTGTCAGAGTCGACAATGAGCAATGGGCAGGATGAAGCGAGCGGCGAAACCTTGAGCGACTCTTTCTTGCGAATGAGCCAGTCTTCGTGCCGCTGGTGCAGCTGGTGGAGATAGTCCACAGAGACGGCAGACTCCTCCTCTCGGGCACGTCGCTGCAAGCGCTCGTGGCACACTTCCGGCGTGGAGCGCAGGTATACAATGCCATCGAGCTTCATGGCCTCAGGCACGGACGCCTCCATGAAGCTGTGCCATTCTTGGTAGATGAAAAACTCGGGGCGCGTCATCAGCCCCGTCTCTACGCAGTTGAGCGCAAAGCAGTAGCGATCGCTGAAAACCGAGCGCTCTGTAAAGTGAATCGAGGTTGGCGGGATTTCCGACACTGACGCCAGCCGAGGTCGGGCTTGGGCGCGAGTGTTGCCGCTTTCAACAGTGCTAACTTCGGTGGAGCTTGAGGTGGTCGCAGGATCCTGGTCCTCACTGGCTGAGCGCTTTAGCCCACGATCGAGGATTGCCGGTGTAGAGTCCTTTTCAATAACGTCGCTCGTCGGTGACTCTGATTGCGACTGCGAGTTTGAGTTCTTCCTGCCAATAAAGAGAGTCTTGGGATGGGGGTTTTCTGGCGGCCGCTGCTGCGCTCGGATTCGCGACAGGCAGGCGTAGATCTGGAAGGTAAAGCTCCATCGGTTGGGAGAGTTGTAAAACAGCGACAACAGATTGCCGCCAGTGTCCTGCGAAGCCGGAATCGAATCTACGACGGGCAGATCAGTATATCAGTATATCAGGGTGAGCAGGTGATTCGGACATGCGGGGGATGCAAACACGAACACAGAGCGCGGTTTTGGTGGTTTTGGCGGGAAATGAACGCGCCATTTTTTGTTTTCGTGTTTTGCTTGGGTTTTCGCATTGAATGTTCACACCTCTGAGTGTTCAACGCAGATTGTAGTAGTTCCATTACCAAATGTGTTTGAATTCTCCAGCTCAAAGATGCTTGGTGTGGTGCCCCGGGCGAACGCGGCTGGGTGTGCGTGGGAATCGCCGTCCTGGTGCTCTGGCTCTGAGCCCGCCTCGCCCTGAAAAATGGCCATTTCACGGAAGGCCGCGGCGCTCTGGACATGATTGACACGATATTGACCAAGAGTGCACAATGCAAAGACAGATCGGAGGGTTGAGAGTGAGTTCAAGGCTCTTCTTTGCTTCAGCCATGCTGCGTCTTGCCGCTCTCTGTTTGTTTGGGATTCTCACCCGAGGATCGTTGCGGATTTCGTCCACTTGCTGCCAGCGGCTGACAGGCTCAGGAACAATCACAATGTCCAGCTCTTGGCTCAGGATATCGAGGAATGTCGACTTTCCCGCGGAAATGTTGCCTTCAAGTGCAATGCGCAAGACTCGCTGGCCTGTCATTGTGCTTTGCGCTGGAAAACGAAAACAAGGAGTGTCCAACCAACTTGTGAAGATAAGGGAACGTTGTGTACTTGCTCGACAAAACTATTCCAACGATGCAAAATCAATAAAAGTGCTCACATCAAATCGCGTTGACAAACGACCAACGCAACCTCCTTTTCCACCTTCACTTCTTGTCGGTGGCAGCAAGCAGCTCAAACTCGCTTCCAAGTTGAAAGCAAGTATGCAAAATCAGCAGGACGCGTTCTGGTTGGTCAAACCAACGGTCTTGGAAGCTTTCGGCGTCAATAATACCAAGAACGCGGCTGCCGTCGCTCGAAAAGATGGGAGCGCAGAGTTCGCTCTTGACGCGAGCATCGCAAATGTAGTACGGTCCTTCGTACGTGTCCGTGTTCTAACCGCACATACTTGTTAGTTTCAACCAGCCCGAAAAAACAAAACCCCCAAACAAACAAAAAAAAAAAAACAAAACAAAAAAAAAAAAAACATGGCTAAACTTGCAACAACACCTCCATACCTGGACAAACTTGGCCTTGCCATTCATGCCCACCCAGCTGTTCTGTTCAGCATACCAACATCCATTCAGTAACAACAAAAAATCCAATCGGCTTGCTGGACACGTTTGATCCACGCTGCACGACAAAAGCAAGAGCGTACATTGCTTAACGTTGCAAACTCTTCCGTCAGGGGGAACTTGGCTCTCGATGGTGCACCGTTGTAGGCTTCCTTGACCAAAAATGGAGCGCTGCAACGCACGACAGGTTCAACCACCGATGAATGAGACACCAGTACCTTGTACGGTTACAAATTCGATCAACGATTCGGCATCCCTCACCTTCCATCTGCAGGCCGAATCGTGCGATAGACGCCAATCCAATCCACCTTGCAAATGTGTGCTAGCCCGTCCATCAGAGCCTTGAGCCGACGAAGTCGAAGCGTGTGAGGCGAAGCGGCTGCGACGGACGCGTCTTGCCAGCTAACGCCGAGCACCTCGTTGCCAAGATCAAACGGTTTCTCCTCAAGGTCCTTTGAGATGCTGCCATTGTCAGATCGTGGTTGGATGAGTCAACAACGAAGAGTAAGTTTTCGCAGCAGCAAGAAAACGTCCATCTGCGTCTTTTGGTTTGGCTTTAACAGACCTGCAAGTTCCGTTCGGTCCGAGCTTGGGCGTTCGATATGAATACAATGCCTATTTGTCGAAGGAGCGCACCAACACGACACGATGCTCAGATCAGTGGTGGTCGGATTGAATGGTCACATTGGGCCAGCGACAAAATCTCCGTTCGTGACCAACCTCAATGCCCTGCTGCGACAGGGGACTGCTGATGGCCTCAGCCAGCGCCTTGGATGAGATGGCAGAGTGCACTTCATTGGGCGGGACGGCGATCGCGGCATCCGGAGTGGCCCCAGCGCCCGTCATGAAAGTCGCAACGTCGAGGAATTGGACCTGAGCGTTCAACACTCCAGCCTGCTCCATTGCACACACGCACACACGGCAAGCTAGTGGTGAGTTGCTATTGTATCGATGATTCTCATTGCAGGTTTTGCATAGGATTTTGATGAGGCGTTTAACCTTAGTCAGGTATTCCTCGAACTCCATTGCAGACTAAAGACTGATGGTCAAACAAATCAAGCAAATCGGGTGCTGGGCGGGCGCAATGCTGGACTTGCTATTGCCTTGTTTGGATTTTGACGCAAGCAGATGCTAATTTGTGACATTTCGACAGTCAACTGCTCTGAGCCGGTCAGCTTGAATTTCGGCGCGTTTGACGGTTTTCGCTTTCCTCCGACGCTCTCTCTCCCCCCCCCGACTCCTCCTTTTGCATGTTCTCAACAGCACCACCAACCTCATTCCAAGTGCTGATGCGGCGCGGCTGAAGAGTCATCCCGTCCCTTACATAACATCCTTTCATTTCATAATCTTTTTTTTTTTTTTTTCCCTATTCAAAATCAAACCCAAATCGGAACACTCGCTCTCTTACTTTTTCTCCCTTTTTTTTACGATGCAAATCTTCGTCAAGACCCTCACGGGCAAGACCATCACCCTCGACGTCGAGTCCTCCGACACCATCGAGAACGTCAAGGCCAAGATTCAGGACAAGGAGGGCATCCCCCCGGACCAACAGCGCCTCATCTTCGCCGGCAAGCAGCTCGAGGACGGCCGCACTCTTTCGGACTACAACATCCAGAAGGAGTCCACCCTCCACCTCGTCCTCCGCCTCCGTGGTGGTAAGTCTTCTTCTTCTCGATGACTCGGTGGCTACTTTCAGCTACGGCAGCAGTAGCGACAGCGGCGGCAGCAGCAGCCGTCGAAGCAGCAAAAGCAGCACTTGAAGGAACAAAAAAAAAAAAAAAAAAAAAAAAAAAAAAAAAAAAGTTGGCTTGAAGTTTGGCTGGAAGTCGACTTTTGGCTTGGATTTTGGCTGGAAAAAGTTTTTTTTTTTTTTTTTTTTGCTGAATTTTCACCACGCGGTTTTTTCGTTCGTTTTTTTTCTTTTATTTCTTTTTTCTTTTCTTTTTCGTTGTGCTTTTGCTTTGCAGCTCGAGTGTGGGTTGGTTTGCGTGTACCTGCGAGAGTTGGCAACGTGTGTGGTGTTATGTCGATGGGGGGCCCTTGGACGTACGAGGAGCACAGGAGCGAGGATAAGCGCAGCATGGCAAAAAAAAAAAAAAGAAAAAGAAAAGATCGCGCTTTTTCTTCCTTTGCGCTTTCCGTGTGTTCGCTTTCTGCTCGTGCCGGCTCGACCTGGTGCGCCGTCTCGTCATCAGGTCGTGTGTTTTTAGCTGCCGTGTTTTTGTCTTCTCCGAGGCACAGCAGACCAGCGGAGAGCAAGCACGAAAATCGGAGCTGCCTCTTTTTTTTTTTTTTTTTTTTTTTTTGTATGGAGCTTGCATTGGTTTTTTTCTTTTATTATTTTCATCCACGATGCATACAATGTGGTGGATTGAGCACCAACTTTTTCACTTCGACTGCTGCCAGCTGTTCCCTGGTGTTCTCTGCCATGGCCGATAAATCCCATCTCTTTCACTGTTGTTACCTGGGCGGTGGTTGAATCGGGTCCTTGCAACGCTGAATCGTGTTGTCTCACCTCCGCGTGTTGGCCATTCTTTCTCTCTGCTTCCTGTTCCCCCCCCCCCTTCTCATCTTTTCTCAAAACTCTTCTTCCTTCCAACCTCACAGGCAAGGTCCACGGTTCGCTCGCACGTGCCGGCAAGGTCCGTGGCCAGACCCCCAAGATCGAGAAGACCGAGAAGAAGAAGTCGCCCACTGGCCGTGCCAAGCGTCGCCTCCAGTACAACCGCCGCTTCGTCCTCGCCCTCGTCAAGGGCAAGAAGGGCCCCAACACCCAGAACGTTGCCGCTTAAAAAGCCCCATTCGTTGTCTGATGTTGTTTTCACACTGGCAATCTTCTTTGTAGCCAACAGAGTTTATTGCTTTTAGTTTCTGTCCTTTGTCCAATGCTTTGCTCGTTTTGCTTTTTTTTGATTGTTTCCACCAGAGTTGGTGAGCATGTGTGAAGGAAGAGAGGGAGGGGGAACGGTGATGGCTTGAGTTGATACGGCGCGTCATTGCCGAAACATTCTAAACACGTCAGAATATCCACATAACTGAAACTCAACCAAATAGCCGACAAATGAACATGCTGATTATTGGGAGTACAGGCATGCAACACAAAACACAAAGAATAGAGCTAATGTTGAAACTCTTTTGTCACGAGCAGAAAGAGTAGATCTAAGCATGGCACACAACAACAAGCACAACAACAAAACAAACAACAACACAAACAAACAACACAAACAAACAAACAAACGCACAACAACTGGCGCCAGACAAAGGACAACGAGACATCATCAACTCGAGCTGCACTTATGTGCATTTCGCCGTGTCCCAGACAATTCGCAAAAACATGTCCATCCACACGTCTGGCGGGCCAGGGAGACAAAAGTGCGTGCAGTCCTTCTTGGGATGGGCGTCGGCGCGCGGGAGAGTCATGGTTGCAGCATCGAGCAACGGAATGCCGGTGCCCTTGAGGGTCTTGGCGATGATAATGTTCTGATCACGCTGCTCGGTGGCGAGCTGGAAGGAGTTGTAGCTGGCATTCTTGACGGGCTGGGAGCCGCCGCATTTGCCGCCGCTGTCCCAGTCACCGCCGGCGTAGTGGCGAGGCGTGGTGGTTCGCCAAATCAGCAAGGGAGAGCCGTTGTTGTTGTCGCGGAACTCGATCATCTTTTGCGTGCCAATCGACACGAGGCGCTCAAACGCTTCCCTGAAGGGCTGGTCGGGCACGTGCCACGACGGCGAGTGAACCCACAGGCCAATGTTGGTGAAGAAAATGTCCACCAGGCCGAGCATCTTGGTGACCTTGGGCTGCAGCGTGTTGTAGTCGACGACAGGCAGGGGCTTTTGGCCAGTAAAGTCGAGCAGGTAGGGCGAGAAGGCGAACGAGACGGTGAGGTTGATTTGCGGGTAGTAGGCCGAGTACGAGCCAGCATCTTCATCCGGGGGCTCTGCCATGTCGAATCCAGCCGCGTAGATCGACAGGGTCAAGGCATAGTAGGACTGACGCGAGAGTGAGTCGCCCGCAATGCCAATCCGCTTGTTGCGAAGGCAGCTTTCGGCCACCTCACGAATGTCGGTACCTGCGGCAGCGAGGGTGGTGGGAGCGCGCCAGGACCAGCGCAGCATCTCCTCATAGCGACCCGGCTCCTTGCAGTACAGCGAGTTGATACGGGCGCCCTTGATGGGCGACGTCAGGTAGCGGGGCAGGCGCTCCATGCGAGTCACGTACTCTGGGTCATCCTCGGCCATGTAGACCCACTCGCCCTCGCCGTGCAGAACGGACTGCACATCCTCGTCCGTCTGGATTGTGTTCTTGAGCTTGTTCTTGCGAACATTGTTGCTGTTGCTGATGGCACGGTTGGCCGCAGGCTTCTTGGTGTTGTCGTTGGTGGTGCGGCCTGCTCCTCGAGGAGCCGCTGCCGCCGCCGCCGCCGCAGCAGCAGCAGCAGCCTGGCGGCGCGTCTCCTCTTCCTGCAGTTCCAGCTTGCGGCGATCCTCGGCTTCCTTGATCAGCACGTGCTGGCGGGCGCGCTCCTCGGTCTCGCGCTCGGCTTGGAGTTGCTGCTGGCGTGCGATGGCTTCGAGCTCGAGCTGCCTCAATCGCTGCGCATCCAGCTCGCCTTCGGCAGCAGCAGCGGCGTCGCCGTTGTTGGCAGACGGGTCGTACACGCCGTTCGCAGTCAACTGGAGGTTTGCGTTGGCGTCGGCGGACTCGATCTTGCTCCGGTGGGACAGCTGGAAGACCACGAGCAGCCACGCAACCAAAGCGAGTCCCAAAACGACAGTGTATCCGCGTCTCATTTGGTGGGGGGGGGGGGCGGTCTCTCTCGGTCACGGCGTGGTTGGAAGGTGTTTCTTGGTAGTCTTGCTTGCTGTGAGACTGCCGCGTGGGGTGTGTGGGTGCTGAGAGGGAAGACAAGCAGGGAGGAAAAAAAAAAAAAAAAAAAAAAAAAAAAAAGGCAGGAAAAAAAAAAAAAAAAAAAAGAAAAAAAAAAAAAAAAAAAAGAAAGAAGGAAAATGAATGAGTTGCATATGGTTTGTGATGGCAACAACGAAAAGCAGAGAGGACGTGGCGAAATAGCCAAGGGCACAAAGCGTCAACCTTCTGCGAGCGGCGCCTTCATTTTCAGCACTCAATCTACAATTGAGAATGGGGGTGTTTACTCGAGATCGAAATGGAGTACCAACGAAGCGTTTCACTCTTTCTTTCACCTCCAGCAAAAAATGGTAAAAAACCACCAAGCCAAAAAAGTGAAAAAACGAAGCAAAAAAAAAAAAAAAAAAAAAAAAAAAGGTCAACGCTGCTCCCAAATGAACTCGAACTAGAACCAAACAAGCAGAGAGCAGGCCGTTTTCCATCCAATTTCTTCTCACTTGCTGGCATCCATACTGCTAGAAGGGGGGGGGATACATGGTGGTTGAACGGAAGGGGCGTAAGAACAAAAAAAATCGAAACACGTAAGAACCAAAAAAAAACAAAACGACACACGAACGACGAGTTTTGGCGCGAAATTTAATCATTTTGCGCGCCTTCCCATTGTGCCCATTGCCCATCTACCATGCACGCTAGTCGTCATGATATAATCTCGTCCCGAGCATGCGGCAGCCCCGCTTCTGGTGTAACACGCGAAAGCAAAAGTGTTAAGGGAGCTGCTCTTTTGTTTGGTTTTCTCGTTTTTTTTTTTTTTTTTGTATGCTATGCCGCCTTTTGAAACACTCCTGCAAGCGGTTCTCCGTTTCCGCTGTCATTGTTTAAGTGCTCTGTCGTCGTATTTGAGGTACTACGTCGGCGCTGGAGTGCTGGCTAGCAGGACGTGGCATGGCGCTCAGGGAGCAGCCTCGCGCTTCTCACACACAGCCAATTTTTTTGTATTTTTCCTTCTGCAAGCAAACTTCTGCAAGCTTCTGCAAGCTTCGATGGGCTTGTATCAACACTGATTACGTCATTTTGCGCCGTCGACACTGGTGGATCGCCAAATGTATTGACTTGTGTCGTTCGTATGCATTATTTCTCCCAGTCTTCCACCTTTCGAGTCAAGAATCTCAAGGGCACTACGGGCTGTTCTCACAAGCGCGGCCACGAAGCGAGCCTCGATTCTACGACCAAGTGTGCGACCAATGGTTGCTTCGAATTCGCCACCCGCGCTTGTCATGTCATTCATGCCAACCAGAATGCAGTAACTGGCCAGCGTTTTCTTGTGTACATGTGCCCGAGCTGCAACGGGATGTACGATCGAGTTCTCGATATTCGCAGCAATGCTCGCAACGTACCGCTTCCTGAGTGCTACTGTGGCACTTGGCCGTGATGGCCATTCGGCCGAGTTTTGCTCTCTCGCACAACCCCCGGCCACCGTCGCGAGGTTGTAAGGAAACTCTCTCGAAAACTCATTGTGCAAAAATAATCAAAAACAAAACCCAATAAAAAAAAACACCGTCTCTTTGTCAGAAGAGGCACAAAAACACAAACAAGCCCCAAATCTCTCTGACGAGTCTTTTCGCAGAATGGAACAAAAAGGCATCCCACGGCCAGAAGAAACCTTTGGAGCAGACCAACCAACCGGGAACAAAGGACACGCACAGCTCAGCTTCGTTTGCCCAGGTTTAGACGCTGGCGGGAATGCATTGGGTGTATTGTATCAGGCACAGGCGACATACAGCGACTCGAATCGCACGACTCCATTTCTTGGACGATGGAACGACTCGCTGGCCAGATCATCACCAGGTCAAAGGTCGGATCGCCGAATGAAGTCGGTGCTGCAGCTCTCAGCATTTTAGACTTGTCGCACAGTACATTCTGAGATCTTTCAAGTTGTTTACTTTATACCTTGTTTTATTTGGCCAGTCTTAGTTTCTTGAGCTTTTTTCTTTTCCTTTTTCAAATCTGACTGAACAAACAGCTGCTCCCTGAAGCGGTTGCATTTGATGACCAGCCACCCAAACGCACACGCGGCGGCGGCGGCGGCGGTGGCAGCGGCGAGCGGAGGCGGGTTTGGTTCTGATCTGCACTTTGCGCCAAGCACTCGCGAGCACCATTATCATCACCAGCATCAGCTCATCAGTCACACATCGCCGAGCAGCAACAGCAGCAGTAGCGGTAGTACGAGTAGTATGAGCAGTGCGCGAGACACTCACAGCACATCGCCCTCGCCGACGCCGACAACGTCACAGCCGCAGCCACTCATGGCCCAGCCGCAGCGCGCCCACAGCAACAACAACAGCAACAGCAGCAGCAACAGCCGCCACGACGCAGCACATCCCAATGCTCCGCTGCTGTCCCTGCGCGGATTCACGGGCGCGTTCGATGCCCTGCGCGAGCTGGTCGCCTTCCCCGCGTTTGGCGCCTCTGCTGCCGCTGCTCCTGCGACCACTGTTGCGAGTACGACTATGACCACTACGACGAGTACTGATGACGTGACGCTTCCAGCCATGTCACTCGCTTCCACTCGTCCCGTCATCCAACTCCCCGCGCCGGCAATGTCCTCGTCAGCGGTTTCGTCACCCGCTGCAGCTTCACTCATGGCATCGCCGTTTGCGAATGCTGCGATGCCGCCCATCGCCATGCCGCATGACTCGTCCGGTGCCGCCGCCGCCGCCGCCGCTGCTGCTGGTACTGGAGGAAACGGCGCGCTCCATGCCGCGGCATCCGCTGCCACCAGTCACCTCCAGCAGCTCCATTCACAGCTGCAACAGGCACTCACGTCACAGAGTACGCCAGGATTAGGAGCAGCCTATCGTGCACACAATCCTGCTACTATTCAGCGCACAACGTCGTCTTCGCGCGGGCTGGGTTCGCATTCGCGGACTCCATCCGGGTCCTCGTCCACCCTTCCGGGTGCCGGTGCCGGTGCCGGTGCCGGAGTCGGCGGTCTGCAGGCAGTGCGGCTTTCGTCCAACCCCGCAGCCTCGTCTCAAAACATCATGCATGATGTTCATGGCCCGTTTCACGCCTTGTCGTCCGATTCCTCAATGTTTGCGTCGTCACATTCGTCCATCGCGCCTTTGCCACAGCAACAACAGCAGCAACAGCAACAACAGCAACAACAGCAGCAGCAACAACAACAGCAAGATCTGTTGCCAGAACACGTTGAAGAAGCTGGTCAGGCGCCGTTTGAACCCGAAGTGCCGAGCACCAGAGTCGAGCTACAGGCGCTCGTGCGGTGGATTGAAAAATCAGTCCCGTTCTTTGGCTTGTTGCTCGCTGTCTTTGCGTATCGTCACAAGATTGGTACGAATGATTATTGACAGCTTGTTCTATGGTCTGTTTGTTGTTTTGGTCGCTCATCCTCTGGCTCACGCAACCACCAAACTTGCAGGCTTGGCGATGGTCATCTGGCTCGGCGTTTTCTTCAGCAACTTTGACGCCACCATTCGACGGCAGGTGACTTTGCGAGTAAGAGAATAGTAGTCGCGTCTTTTTGACCCTCTTCACGTCCCCAGCAACAACCACACCAACTCATCCATTGATACCGTCGTCCAGGCACAACGAAGCAAGCTAAAACTGACTTCAACCATGGGCTGGCTAGCGATAAACATTGCCACCTGCTACTTTTTATTTCGTGCCCAGACTCCGTACCGCAGGTAAGTGCTAATTTATCGATGCCAGGCCGCTGTTCTCGGAATGTTTTCACCTTGTCTTGATGTTCTCACCTTGTCGTGAACCCTAGTTTGGCATTCCTTCCTCCAACCGACAATCCTGATTTCATGGGTACCATCTGGTTGATATTTTTGAATGGTATGTCTTTCAGCAGCTCTTGCAACATTGCTTTGAACTTTGCTCTGACTTGGGGTTTTCCTGCGAATTGCATCGTTGTCAGACATCCTGGTACGATACGCTACCATGATGCTCAAGTGCTTGCTGATCATTCTCGTTGGCTCTATTCCGCCATTTAAGCGAAAAGTAAGTGACAGGGCTTTTTCGTTTGCTTCGTGTGCATCGAGCGAGCCAACCCTTTCCTCACCACAATATCTGTACATTTGCGCAGGGCTTGTACTACAGTCTTGTAGAGCACTTTTCGCAATTCTATCGGCTACTACTCCCGATTCCAGTGTGGTACCAGTACTTTCACGACGACGAGTTTGGTGGCCACGTCCTTTCGTCGTTCGTGACTGGACTTTACTTGGCGTTCAAGGTATCCGGCGTGGTTGAGCACGCATCCGCTTGCTGGCATGCTTGGCGAGCAATCCTTCGGCACGAAGTGGTAAGCACGCGACCATTGCTCAGACACGCTGGGTTTGCAGGCTCTTTTTAATGGTGTGTATTTTGCATTGGGAATTTTTGTGTCGGTTGCTCGCCTGCTCCAGCAATATGGCCGCTATGCAAACAAAGAAGAGGTCATGGAGGCTGGGAATCAATGCCCAATCTGCCAAGAAGAAACCAAGGATCCCGTGGCTCTTCCATGCAATGTAAGCAAAAACGCAATGTCTGTCAAAGGGCATATGCGGCAATTTTCTCACCTTTCCCCTCCCCCCTGTTGTGTGTGTGTGTGTGTGTGTGTGTGTGTCTGATTCCTTCTTTCAGCATATATTCTGCGAAGATTGTGTCACGCAGTGGTTTGAGCGCGAGCGCACCTGTCCAATGTGCCGCACGACCATTTTGACCGCTGGCCGCGCACTCTGGCGCGACGGCGGCACTTCCGCTAATCTTCAGTTATTTTAACCTCACAAGCTATGCATTGCACCATCATGCAAACCTAGCTGTGGCTCCGAAAGTCGAATAAACAAATTACACACTTCAAAATGACCGTTTGCTGCTTGGGATCAAAAGCATTGCGAAAGGAGAAGCACTGCGGCAACAACCCAACCATAAAGCACCTTGTTGAGCAGTAATAAACGATGGAAAGCAAAAAATAACAGCATGCATTTTGAAATGTGACTGAAAGCAAGTCGGAGCAAAAATTCACTTGGAGGTCGCCAGCTCGCACATCCTGGCTATCAACCCAGTCAGCTGCATCAGGGTTCCGAGACCATCCGCGATGCGCATGTGCGTGTAGCCAATTTCCTGCAAATTCCAAAAACAACGAGCAGTTGAGCTCCGAGAAAGTTCTACACTGCTGATCAGGGGATGTGCTCCCAAATCAAAAATCCAGTCAGCAGCTGTACCTTGATAAAGCCGAGCTGCAGAGCTTCAGGCAAGGGGAAATTCTTGGTCACGCGGAAGATGGTGGAAATAATGTCTAGTGGCGAGTAGCCGAGCGCCCAAAGTGACTCGAGCTGTGCGTACGCTTCGTCAATGTTGCCGACCTTGCAAGCCTCGAGAATCTTTTGCACAATGAGCGGGTGCGGTTGATCGCAAATCTGCCGTGGTAAAGCCACCAAATGCAATGAGTAAAACCAACTTGTTTGCTCAACGGTCAAGACAGTCCACACAACTCCTCCCCCCAACCCCTCACCTTGAAAACATTGTCCAGATTGACAAAACCAAAGCCGGAGAAGGTGGATTGCAAGTTATTCACCGCTTGCCGCATGTCGCCTTGAGCGGTGAAAATGAGCGCAGTCAATCCCTCTTCCGTCCGTGGCACCTTCTCGGCATCGCAAATCTCGAGCAATCGCTTGAGAATCTGCTCGTCCGTGAGACGCGTGTAGCGGAGAATGGCGCAACGAGACTGGATTGGCTCGATAATCTTGTCAGACATGTTGCACGCGAGCGCAAAGCGCGTTGTGGCAGAGTAGATTTCCATGGTGCGGCGCAGTGCCTGTTGAGCAGCCTCCGTCATGCTGTCCGCTTCGTCCAGAATGATGACCTTTTGGCGTCCCGGGGGCAGCGTGACCTATCAGCGGGGGGATTGGTTTGAGTGCCAGTTTTGAGCTGATTGCCGCCAAAAACAGTGCCCTCGCAGTTACCTTCTTTTGGGCAAACATCTTGATATCGTTACGAACAACATCAATGCCACGATCGTCTGAGGCGTTGAGCTCGAGCACTGCGTTTCTGTTTGTGGTTTTTGCAGCTCAGCATTTTGAGCAAAACGGTGATCAACGAGCATCACGTATGCAGTATGGTGATTTACTTGTATGCGGGCCCCAGCAGCTGGTGTGCGAGACACAGGATGCTCGTCGTCTTGCCGGTGCCTGGCTGGCCTGCAATGATAATGTTGGGCATGTTGCCTTCCTCGGCAATGATCTGCAGGCGCGCGACCGTGTCCTCGTTGCCCACGACGTCCTTCAGCAGGATCGGGCGGTACTTTTCAACCCACGGCATCTCGGACTGCCCAGTCGTTGTCTTGCGCGCTGCACCTGCAGCAGCAGTAGTGGAAGCAGCGGCGGCAGCTGCGCCCGAGGTCGGTCCAGCCGCCGTCGTGTCCATTGCAGCGAGATCGCTCGCCGTTGCACGCTCGTCCACTTGCATCATGGCTTCCCACTTTTGATCGATGAGTAAACTGCGAGTAATTCGATGATGATGCACTTGACAAAAAACGAAAACTTCCAGCGAAGGAAAAACAAATCACAAAAAGCAAACAATGAGAAAGACTGAAGCAGAAGAAAAAAAATACAATATTTGGCGCCAAATTTTTGGCGGGAAAACGAAAACTAAAAAGAAAAACCGTTTCACTCTTTGTTCTCGATTGATTTGCTTTTTCGATTTGCGTTTGACTCGCAGGTTTTGCATCCGGAAAGAACTTTCAATCGATCAATCGATCAATCAATCAATCAATCAATCAACGGGGGAATAGCGGGCGACAAGGCAATGACGCAGCGGAAGCCCAGCTCGACGGGCGCAGGCTCAAAGACGAGCGGCTCAGTAAAACCATCAAAGTCGCGTTCCACTACTGCTACTACTACTACTGCTGCTGCTGCTGCTGCACCCAAGCCAAAACACGCTGCTGGCAAGGTTAGCACTGCATCGACCTCGACGAAGGCTGGCGAGACTGTCAAGAAGGTCGCCTCGGCTGCGATCAGCAAGCCAGCGTCAAAAACCAAGTCCAAAACCACCGCTACTGCTGCTGCTGCTGCTGCTGCTGCTGCAACTACTGCTGCTGCTGCAAGCCGGAGCCCAACCCGGAGCGCAACCAAAGCCAGAGCCACACACGATGCGCCAAAGGACAGATCGCGAGCATCGTCGTCGTCGTCCGCAGCTCCTCCAACACAAGCCATTCGCAAACCAAGCGCCGCGACCAAGACAGTCGCTGCGACAAGCAAACAGCAAGCTCCCAAGCCTGCAAAGTCAGCAACACGAACATTGTCTGCAGCGAGATCGGCCGCGCGACGACAGCCCGCTGACAGTGATGATGACGACATTGGATCCGACTCCATTCCACGCGTCGAGGCCGCCTTGTCCACGTCTGCAGCGCGCGACCGTGGTTTGCGCATTCTCAACGATGGCGCTCCAGTCTCCCAGCATGACCGTGTTGCCATTGCTGACTTGGAAACACACACAACTCCAATCACACGCGTACTGGTCGCGCCCTCGCGTTTCAAGCGCTGGGTTCCAATTGAAACGAGTCTCCAAGGTCGCGTCATTGATGCCCTTCGCACCGCTGCCCCAGCGGCGTCATTGCCCACCCAGCGCGCTAGTGAGACTGGCATCAACATTGAGAGCATCATTATGACATTGCGCTCGAAAGCCGAGCTAGTATTAAAAAGCATTGTCGCGCCTCGAGCCGACACTGTGCTGCGATTACCGCCAGGCCGGCAGTTGCAATTCAAGGTTTGACAGTGTTTCTTTTGATGGGTCTCCCCCCTTGGCATTGAAAGCTCACAACGCTGTACGTTGGTTGTTCGCAGGAATCCATGCTCCAAGCTGTCGATGAACTTGCGGATTCCGCCAAAGCTTTGGACAGAGCATTCTCAGGAGCTGAAAGGTATGGGTGGCTTGGACACTTTGCCAGTCTGCAACATGCCGCTCATTTGGTTTCGTTTTGCAGTGAAAGCTCCGATGCAGAGCGTCGTATCGATGACTTGCGTCGACAAATTGCTGCCATCCCAGCTCAGATGGCCGCGCCTGCATATCAAGCCAAAGTGAGTTCCGAAAAGAACGGGGTCGAGGAGGTGGCAATTCATTGGTGTGATTCTGATTGATAATTGTGGTGGGACCATTCTTTTTTTTTTTTTGTTCAGCTTCACCCGTTGCTCAAAACTCCAATCGGCGAGGCCTCCCTCGTGCCCGACCAAGCGGCCATCGCTGCCAGCATGGTTGATGACGAACTATCGCTATTTCCCAGCCGCTCCACGGTATGCGACTGTTTTTGACTTGTTTTGTTTGAGCGCTGGTATTGAAACCCTCACCAAATCTCTTTCACGATTCGTTTTGTGACATGATTTCCCCCCCCCCTCTTCCGTCCTTTTGCGCCCGGATCCCTTGTGTTGCTACAGAGCCGCAAAGCTGCTGAAGCCCGACGACAGTTTGTTGCGGAATTGTGCGAATCGGACAAGAATGGAAGAATTGAGCGACCAGCGTCTTTCAAAAAGCTAGCGGTGGATTCCACGCTGCGCCAGTTCGTGCAGCCAATGGACACGAGCTCTCCTTGAGGACTGCACGAGTTCGAGGTTACGGTTCGATTGAACATGCACAGTTAATACACAAACTCTATCGTTTCCCCCCTTCCTCCCAAACTTTGCCTTCCTCTTGCTGGCCTTTGTTTCCCATTTTATTTTTCGTGAATTACAATCTCCAGTGCAGTGCAGTCTCCTTAAATCACACACACTCCCAACAAAACAAAGCATGGCACTACGGTCGTTGCTGGCAGCGGTCGCTGTCGGCGGTGCAGCGGCGGCCTTCTCTGCCGCGTCGTCCGTCACGAGCCCCGTCACGACGCACCTGGTGATGCCGCTCGTCCGCCTGCTCGATCCCGAGACGGCGCACGTCATGGCAGTGCGGGTGGCTGCGAGCGGCCTGCTGCCAACCACGCGCGCGGACGCCCACCCGAGCCTCGCGACGACCGTCTGGGGCAAGCAGTTCAGCAACCCGATCGGCCTGGCTGCCGGGTTTGACAAGCACGCCGACTGCATCGACGCCATGCTCGGCGTCGGCTTTGGCTTTGTCGAGATTGGCAGCGTCACGCCGGTCGCCCAGCCGGGAAACCCAAAGCCGCGCGTCTTCCGCTTGACCGACGACCGCGCAGTCATCAACCGATACGGGTTTAACAGCTTTGGCTTGGACTATGCCCACGATCGCCTGAGCGAGCGCGTCGCAGATCCGGCCGCCCGCGGATTCCAGTGAGTGGAAGGAGAGTGGATTGTGGTTGCTGTGGCCATTCTGAGCGATTCTGAGCGATTCCGAGCCAGTATGAGCCAGTCTGAGCCCAGTCTGAGCCATTTCTCAGCGATTGATTTTGCATTGCATTTTGACCAATCATCTCTCTCACTCTCACTAACCCTACTGCCTTTCCCTCCTACCCCCGTTTGTTGATGCTCCAAAAACACACAGACATGGCATTGTCGGCGTCAATCTGGGCAAAAACAAGACAACCGTGGACGCGGCAGACGATTACGTACAGGGCATCAACAAGCTGGGCAAGTTTGCCGACTACATTGTGGTCAACATTTCTTCGCCGAATACACCTGGTCTGCGGTCTCTGCAAGGCAAGCAAGAGCTGGGCGCGTTGATCGACCGCGTGCTTGTGGCGCGAGATCGGCTGGGCCTTCCCTCGCAGGCTTCTGCCGCTGTGCGTGGCCGCGTCCCTCCGCTGCTGGTCAAAATTGCCCCGGATCTCACTCCTGCCGACAAGGAAGACATTGCCTCCGTGCTGATGGACAAGAAGGTTGACGGCTTGATTGTGTCCAACACCACCATCTCTCGCCCTGCCACTCTCAAGTCGCCCGCGTCCCTGACTCAAGAGACGGGTGGTTTGAGCGGCGCTCCGCTGCGTCAACTTGCGACCGAAACCGTGCGCGACATGTACACGCTCACACAGGGCCGCTTGCCCATCATTGGCGTTGGCGGCGTCTCGACGGGTGACGACGCTTTTGAGAAGATCCTCGCCGGCGCTTCGCTGGTCCAGCTGTACTCGTCGATTGTCTACGACGGCCCAGGCATTGTGCCCAAGATTCAGTCGCGTCTTGCCGAGCTGCTTGCCGAGAACAGCTTCACCAGTGTTAGCGACGCTGTAGGCGCCGAGCACCGTGGCTTCCGTCGAAAGTGATTCAGGGCTCGTGTGCTCTTGTCCGAATGCAAGCAGATACAGTTGCGTTGCTTTTTGCACTTCGTCCCGTTTCGTCCCCTTTTCCGCGCGGGAAATAAACCTTCACTTGTATTTTTCTCCACCAAACCCACAACCGTTGATCAACTGCACGTCCGACACAAACTAAGGTCACTTCCAAAGGCAAGTACTTCAAGTTGAATGCAGTTTGCATCGAGGCGATGAATTCCCCACTTGCCACTCTCCAACATCACCCGCCAACTTTGATATCGATTCAACTGCCTTGAATCTCACACTCTGAGATCCCCACCAGTCCTCCTTTTTTTGTTTCGTTGCTTCACTCAACTCCAACACAATGCTCGTCCGATCTGCGTTGAATCCGCAGTCAACCGGCTCTGCTCTCCAGCTGCTGCTGCTGCTGCCGGTGGCGCCCACTGCCGCTGCTGCTCGCATGCATGGCGGATCCGTCGCTCAGCGGATCCACTTCCGCAGCCAGTCCTCGGCTTCAGCTTCAGCTTCTGCTTCTGCTTCTGCGCTTGCTGTTCACATGGCAGCACGAGGACGCGGTCGTCTTGGCTCCAACAACCCCATCCAGACCACCACTCTGGCCACTCTGACCACTCTCAATGCTCTCGCTGCTGCTACTACTGCTCTCACTGCTCACGCTCGAGCCCTGCACTCGCAGTCGACGCCCGCGCTCGCACGCCCCGGCCGCTTGAATCCGCTCGTCGCGCAGTCGCTCTCGGCGTCCATGTCGGGCGGCCTCATCCTCTCCAAGGACATCCCCGTCGGTCCGCAGCCGCCGCTGTACACGCTTGCTGGCCTCAAGTCGCGCTGGAACCGGCTTCGGCGGCGTGTCCAAAACTTTGGCAGGTGCTCAATCACAATCACAATCTCACGTCAACGTTGTCGCTTTTGACTCAACGTTCCGACAAACTCACCTTGTGCGATTTTTTTGGTATAGTGCTGCATATCTGAGAAAGCTGGATGGCGAGTTTGGACGTGCGACGTTCGCACCGATTGCTCAGACGCTTGCGAACGAAATCACCACCTGCGTTGCGACGTACGTCTGAGATGGTTTGCTTTGACACTGGCAGCTCACGCACGACTAATCCCCCTTCATCAACGGCATCAATGACTTTGACATCGACAGTGGCCAGCATACTCGTCTCCAGGCGTTGACTTCACAGCGATTCTACGAGGTAAGAAACGACTTGATTGTTGGCAGAGTTTTCCTTGTCATTCTTGCAGTGTTTTCTCAGCGCCTCTACCTCCCACGCATTGTTTGTAGCAACTCAAGAAGGCTCCCAAATCACCCACTGGCGCTCCTATCATCGAGCAGGTCGACAAGCCAAAGATTGTCAGCATTCAGCTTGTGAACGCCACTGCGCAAACCATGCTGGCCCAAGTCACTGTGGAATTGTCGCAAAAAGAGGTAAGGGCTTGGCTCGCACATAAAGTGAACAGCTGGCCGAGTGCAAAAGACTTTTGCTGACAACTCTTTGTCCACGGTAGAACGGCCACCACGCCTTCAAGTACCCTGTTTTTGAGCGACAGCTTCGATTGGACGCGTCCAAGACCCAAGCACTCTCTTGCACTCCATGGATTGTGATTGGCAAGGTGGATCCTCCGACCGAACCCATCACCACCACCACTTCTCAATAGCGATGCTTCTCAATACAGCTGTTTGGGTTGCCTTTCTTTCTTTTTCCAGACTTTCTTTCTGCCACAGAATTCCTTTTTTTTTGCTCAGTCAATAGACAAGAGGAAGCAAATCTATTTAATCACACAGAAAAATCAACAAAGCGATTCGCAAAAAGATGGCGGACTTGGTCTTCTACTTGCCGCCCTTCTTCTTCTTCTTGCCACCCTTCTTTGCCGTGGCGATGGGAGCAGCCGACGCGGAAGCGGCATTCGCGCCTTCGTCGTCATCGTCCTTTTCAGGTGCATCAGCAGTGGTTTCGGCAGCTGCAGGGGTCTCGACAGTGGCAGGGGTTTCAGGCGCAGGAGCCTCCGAAGCAGCAGCAGCAGCAGTAGGTTCAGGCTGCGATGGCTCAGGAAGTGATACTTCAGCCTCGGGTTGAGGAGCAGCAACATCAGCAGGAGCAGCAGCAGCAGCGGTCGTGTCTGGCGCTTCAATCTTCTCCGGCTCGCTCGCTTTCTCTTCAACGGGGGCTGCTGCAGGTTCGTCAGGCAGAGTAGGTGTGGCGATCGGAGCAGGCGTGCTCGCTGCAGGCGTGCTTGAGGCCGGAGTGTCAACCATCGGGCTTCGAACCACAGGCACCGGCGATTCGATGACGGGCGCGACGTTGGCAACTTTGGTCACTGGTTTGGACTGCAAGGGCTTCTTGGACGCGGCAAGCGGCGTGCTCTGCTGCGATGAAGTCGACAACGACGACGAAGCTAGTGAGCTCGTGTCGTCCATCGAGCGGGAGTCGGTCGACAAGTCGGCGTAAAAGTCTTGCAACGCGGACTGATCGACCAAGTCCGCAATCGAGACTTCGGCAACCGCTGTTGAGGGTTGCTCGGTCTTTGAGCGGGCGCCGTCAAGGAGAACTGTGTCAAATTGGGTGGGAGAGGGTGTGAGCTCACACGACAAAATCAAAAGTTTTGAGGTATCCATAAAAATGCAGCCAGCCCACGACTCACCCGGTGCCATGCTGCCCGTTTGCTTGTACATGAGCAAGTCCAATGTAGCCTGGTCAGAGTAGGCCTTGTGCTTCTCGGACAGGAAGGCTTGCTCTTGTTTGATCTTTTGATCCTCGGCGCGCTTCGCCTTGTCCTCCTGCTGTTGAAAGTGCGCAATAATGCTCCTCTGGTGATCGATCTGGTCACAGAGGACTTCCAGCTCATCCAGAGCGGACTGCACGGCAACAAACTGGTCGCTCAATTGAGCTGGAGATGCGGGAAGGAGAGTTGAGTGAAGTTGGCGCGAGGAAACAGCAAAAAAAAAAAAAAAAAAAGTCTCAACGCTGACATCCAAACAAAACTCACTTGCGGACTGGTGAATGCCGTCCAAGCTCATGCCAATGACACCGAGCGTCGCAGCTTGCTTTTGGAAGTTTTTCATCCCGTCGTGCCTTGCTTGGCACTGAGTGATGATGGCTGCAAGGAAGTCGTCGGCAGTCTGTACTCCAGATAGCAAGCAAAACATGCACAGGTGAATATCCAGCTCACACGAGACCACCAGCAGCAGCAACATCGACAAGGTATGCAAAAAAAAAAAAGCAGCTTGGCTTGGACCAGCTTTTACCTTTGCTTTGGTGGAGGTCTCGAGAAGCAGGCTATGAATTGTCACCCAATCGCGTTCGAATCTACACCATTGACCAAAAGTCAGAACGAGTCCAACTGTGAGCTTTTGCAGCGAGATCCAAAGGGTTGAGCCAAAAGTTTTGATTCGAAACTGACTGAATGGCAATTTCCGATCCTGCGTCGACCGAGACGTGATCCAGCGAGCTGCCCAGACAAAGAGCAATCAAACGTGAGTTTGCAGAACATTCCAGAGTACATCAATGGGATGATGAATGGTGAAGTCATCCCACTGGACGGCGCTCAATGGACGGTGACTGAGCAGCTGACTGAGCATAGGAGCGCGCTCCACACCAAGCAAGCAAGCAAGCAGCCCGGTCGCCCCAGCACAACTTGCTTGAGATTGAAGCAAAGAACACCTGCTTCGTCTCGTTGTGGTCTGTACCTCGAGTCGCCGCCGACGGGAATCAGATTGTCGAGCTCGGACTTGATGGTGCTCAGCGACAGCTTCTTGACCTTGCTCAGGTTGTCCTCGATCGACTGGCGCCTGTGCACGAGAAGAGACACACACACACGCATACATAACAAGAAGACATGCAGCGTTGAGAAGAACGCGCGCGAGTGTGGTGGTGGTGGTTGGGGGGGGGGGAAGAGCGACAATGCCAATCCATACAAAAAGGCCCAATGCAAATCCACACAAAATGCAACCTCTTCTTCAACAATCACCGCCAATCGAATTACTGCCACAAGGCTACCCGTCGTGATCTTTAGTATTAACAAAGCTAGACTTACCCAGAGTTCAGCGACGCTTGAATGTTGCCGAAAAAGGCGCCAATCTTTTTGATGGCTGCCATTTCTGAGATGATAAGAAAAAAAGATAGAGTGACAAAGACACATTACTTGGGGTAATAAAATATAACATGATGCATACGGTCATGGCAAGCAACAACAACCACAGAGCACGACGACTTGATTAGCATTGTCAAGGTCTGAATATCAATTTCTGCTTCTTGTTCAGACTTGCACTCGTTGTCCCTTGCGCAGAGTCGCCATATCAGCAGCAAAACGCTTGTGGATGGCAATGGGATCGCGCGACATGGATACTCGAATGCCCTGCGCTGCAACACGGTCGCGAATATCCACGCCGATCGGCAGGGTCGAGTGGATTTCTAGGGAATCCAGCTCACCGGGCTGGACAATTTTGGCAGTGCCGTTCTGCAAGTGCTTCATGGCACACCAGGCAATCATGACAGCATTGTCGGTGCAGAGGTGGCGTGGTGGCGTCACTAACGGGATGCCTTGACTGCGAACAAGGGCCGCAAGGGATTCTCGCAGTTGCGTGTTGGCGGTGACACCTCCGCCAAGCACCAGCGCTCGAGGCGGCTTGAATCCCAATGCTGCGCATGCAAGGAAGGCGCGCATGCATCGCTGCGAAATGTGCCGAACCGCAGCGCTCAGCAAGGAGGCGGCAATATCGGCTGCACCGGGGACGCCCGTGGCAGGGCTCTGTGTTGTGCTGGTCGGCGGCGCTGTTGTGGGCTGCACCTCTTGCTTGGACTGCAGCCGGGGCGAGGCGCGCTGCTGCACACGCCGGACCAGTTGCAAATCGGGACGCAGGACCAGTGTAGGGTCGAAGCGCTCCTTGCTCTGGGCACGAAGAAACTCGACTGGATCGTGCCCGTGATCCATCAGCGACTTTGTGATGGCGCGATGGACGCTGGCCTTGAGACCGGTGAACGAGACGTCGCAGTTGAGCCGGTTGGCCATGATGTCTGGGAACTCGAATGCGTTCGGGTCGCCAGTCAGGGCTAGACGTTCGAGCGCAGCTCCGGCACTGCCGCCCTGAGCCACGTCAGTGACGAGCGTACGCGCCATCTTGTCAAGCGCGTCTCCGGGCGCGTCGTCCAGCGCCTTGCCGAGGAGCTTGTACTCGTTCAAGCCGGCCACGTACAAGAGTTGGAAGTCACCTCCACTTGCCAACAGCGCCAGATAGGGAAACTGCAGCTGTGGTTCTGTCAAGGTCGCAGTGAGAATGTGCGCCTCATGGTGATGCACCGGCACCACAGGGAGTTGGTGGTCGCGAGCAAGCTGGGTGACGACCTCGCGTCCTTTGAGCAGGCACGAAGCAATCCCAGGTGCATACGAGTAAGCGAGAAAGTTGACGTCACTCATCGCCTTCCCGCTGACAGCTAGCACATCTTTGCACACTGTTGGCAGATGGGTAACGTGGTGTTGCATCGCATGCAGCGGATGCACTCCGCCCTGCCGAACGAGCGCACTCCACGCGCTGGACACGCCTTCCCCAAGCACGGCCGCTGCAAATTCCTCTGGGTGTGTCGGCTGGGCTTCGGCAGGTTGTGCTTCTGGCTGCGATTCAGGCGGATTGGCAGCTGGAGTTGCTCGAGTGTCTGGCGGCGGTTGTGATGGGTTGCGTGCAGCAAACCCGGCGCCAGTCAGCCGAATGGTCAATGGGTGATACGGGTAGACTTTGGCCTTGTTCCCAGAGCTCTTGCTGGACTGAGTGCCGGCTTCATCGAGAGCGAGGATTGCGGCTGCAGAGTCATCGCATGTCGACTCGATGCCCATCACGACCAGCAGCTTGCGATCGGAAGCAGCAGCAGCAGTAGCAATGACAGTAGAATCACAATAAGCATCCGATGGAGATGCCACCGTGCGCGAGTCCGAGCGTGGTGCCGTCGACAGTGATCGGCATTGTAAGCCAAGAGATGGAGCAGCAGCACCAGCATGATGGCGGCCACTCAGTCCACTCAGTCCACTCAGTGTGGATGACGACGACCCTGACGCTTGAGCTTGAGCTTGTGCGCTGCAGCTGGATCTCGATACCAGCGCACGGATGGACTGCAGCAGCATTGACGGGCAGACGTGCACTCGCATTGGCACTTTTGCTGCTGAGAACAACGGCGACTGAGCAGCCTGCAAATCTTAACACTAAAGAAATCTCAGACTCTCAGACAATGTTCTCAGCTCTTCAATAAACTAAACTCAGTCCTTCTTTTTTTATTTTTGTTTTCAGTGTATTTTCATTTTCTCAGCGAATGCGGTTGCTGAAGCGTGAGATTGAGCGCGATCAGACTGGCTCGGTGCTGCTGCTGCCGGAGGAGGCAGAGGACATGTGGCACGCGTACAACCTCATTGCAGTCGGCGACAAGCTGCGTGCGTCCACCGTCCGGTACAGTGCCAAAAAACATCGAGAGAGAGCGAGGCAGCGAGGCAGAGAGGACTTGGACGTTGTGCAATGGCAGTGGCGCTGGGCTCTTTGCTCTATGTGCACTCACTCACTCACTCACTTGGTCATTCACTTACTCTTCATTGATTTTTTTGGGTCATCTGGATTTGGGGGGGGGCGTTCCAAATGGTCTCTCGCTTGTGGTGGGCTTCGTCGAGTAGCCGCGTCCAGTCAGAGTCAAACACAGGCTCAGTCGAGTCCAACCGCGTCCGAGTCACTCTGACGGTCGAGATCGAGTCCGTTCAATACGATGTCAAGGCATGCACTCTGCGCATCAACGGAAGAAACGTCGAGGAAAACGACTTTGTCCGAGTACGAATGGTCCATCCAGAAGCAATGTCAAAATGTCAAGCCGTTTTACTCACTCACACGCACATATTGATCAAACCATATTGCACGCCATTAGATGGGTGCGTATCACACGATCGATTTGGAGCTGAATCGAAAGTTCCAGCTCTCAAAGACAGAGTGGGACATTATCAGCCTCGAGCGCATTGACATGGCTTGCGACGTGAAACAATCCGCCGACGTTGCTGCAGTTCTGATGCAAGAAGGTAGAGCAGCTGCTCTGAGTCATACTCTTGGTGCTTCTTTTTGAGCGTCTGGTGGCGGTGAAGCTTGATGTGATGGCGAAGCATTCAATTTCTTGCTCTTGGTCGACAGGATTTGCATGCGTGTGCCTCGTAACTTCGAGCATGACGATCGTACGAGCCCGGATAGAAGCGGCAGTTCCGCGCAAGCGAAAAGGCAGCGCTACGCAACACGATAAAGTCAGGATTTCACGCGTGAAGTGCTCCCCGTCCCATTCTCACGCTAAACTTTTTGTGTTGCTGTTGTGCACGACACCAGGCCCTGGACAGATTTTTCGAATCGACCATGCAGGCGATTTTGCATCACGTCGACTTTTCCATTGTCAAGTGCGTGTTGATTGGAAGCCCAGGCTTTGTTAAGGTTGGTGAAAAAAATCTTTCGTACCCAAACACCAACCCAAGCGCTCTCATGCTCGTCTCATTGACTTGACTGTCCCTTCCACACAAACACACAAAACGTTGACAGGACCAATTTGCCGAGTACATGTTTGCCCAGGCAATCAAGCAAGAAATCAAAGTTTTGAGCGAAAACCGCTCAAAGTTCCTCCTGGTGCACGCCTCCTCTGGCCACAAACACGCTCTGACAGAGTTGTTGACAGATCCTGCAGTCACCGCCCGTTTGGCTGACACGAAGGCCGCCAGCGAGGTGAAGGCGCTCGACAGCTTTTTCGACATGTTGAACAAGGACCCCGATCGCGCCTTCTACGGCTATCCTCATGTGCACCAGGCCGACGAGCAGAATGCGATTGAGACATTGTTGGTCTCTGATGAACTCTTTCGGTAGGAGCCTGTTGAGCGACAGAGATGGTTGCCTATTTCTGTGCAAACACCAACAATCAACTGTCTCTTTGTCCGCTTCTGCCACACACAGGTCACAAGATTTGGAAACACGACGAAAGTACGTTCGTCTTGTCGAAAATGTCAAAGCCAATGGCGGAGTTGTTCGCATCTTTTCCAGCCTCCACGTCTCGGGCGAACGTACGTTTTTTTGTTTCTCGACGTCAGAATTTTGATTGCGATTCTTTGTCCGTTTCTCTCACTCGTTGCTCTTTCAGAACTCTCGAATCTCTCAGGCATTGCGGCCATCCTACGCTTCCCAGTGCCTGAAATCGACCACGATGATGCTCATGACGACCACCACGAGCAGTAGCTCATCCAGTCAAATTTTGGGTTGGCTTTCTTGATTTCGCGAACGTTTCAGGGCAATTTGAGCTTCAGTAATAATATTGGTTCAACAAATTCAAAAATACATTCGCAACTAACGATCAATACCACCCACCCCAGCAAGAACAACAACCGACACACACTCACTCGCACCACAGAGGAATAACAATGCATCGAAAAAAAAAAGATTTGGATGAAGCACGCTCAATCCTCGCCATCGTCGGAGAGTCCCGCCAGGTGTTCTTGCACAGACCGGGATGCAGCGCTGGGACTGCGCTTGGATTCAAGGCTCGGAAGGGAGCAAGAACTGTCCGTCAGAGGCGGTACAGCCGAAGGCCGGTGAGACGACGATCGCACCTTGGACAGGCCCGCAACTCGGCGCCTTGCTGGCCGTTTGACAGCGGCGCTGCTCTTTTCGGGCTGGCTCGAGTCGGACATGGCACCCAAATCGTACATGCCGACAACCGACGACTCCTGGAGCCCAGCGATCGACGAGGTGTCCTCCTCAATCTCCTGGACTGATTCCTCGTCAATGTCGTCGTCGTCGTCGTGGTCTGCTGGAATGGTAGTGACTCGACTTCTCGTGGACCCGCTCACGGACGATCCAGGCGTGGACGGTGCACGCGAATACAGCTCGCTGTTGCGGTGAGGGGAGCGCAACAACAAACCGCGGCGACTGTACGAGCTCGCGACAGACATGCCATCGTCGCTTTTCAGGGCAGAGTCAGGCGCGACGTGCTCCACCTCCATCATGGAGGACGATACGTCGAAAGCGCGAGGCACGCTCGGACTGGTGAGCATTCGCCGCACGGCCTTGTTGTCCAGCACCTGAACTTCGTTGGGTTCATGGTTTGCGCCGGCTTGATACAGGGGCTGGCGCTCGCGATCGACAAACGACCACACCGCAATAGAGTCATCTTGCGAGGCCGAAATGATGTGTGTCAGGTCAAACCGCAGCGACACCACGCGCTGGCGATGCTCGGTAAACGAGTGCAGGCACACGCCCGTCGCGACCAACCAGACCCTCACGGTCAGATCGTACGATCCGCTCACCAGATGGGTTTCGTTCATGCGCAGACAACGGACCAAGTCAGTGTGGCCCGTCATTGTTCGAACCAACGTGCGCGTGGTCATGTTCCAGAGCATGATGAGCCGGTCGGAGGCACCTGTGGCGCAGAGATCCTTGTGGGCACAGAGGCAGGTAATGCCTCGTGTGTGGCCGTGCATCGGGGCGCCGTTCAAGGCTCCAGTGGCGGCATTGTAGACGCGGACGACACGATCGCCGCAGGCGGCGATAATCTGGTTGTCGCACAAATCCACCGTATTGATGGCGCTGCCGCCACTCGTGATGCGATGTTCAAACTCTGCATTCATGCCATCCTGGGTCCACAAAAGCGTGTGGATTTGGTGGTCCTTGGACGCGCTCACAATCCGGGTGTTGTCAAAGACCACCTGAAGGACAGAGTCTGTGTGCGTCTCGAAAGCGGCGAGCTGCACGCCAGTGTTCATGTTCCACAGACGGACTGTCTTGTCGCTGGAGGCAGACACGATGCGGCGATCGTCGCATTGCAAGGCCAAAACACTGCCCTGGTGTCCGCTGAGCTCGCGAACACGCCGCAGCTGTTCGTCAACAATCAGCCAAACGCGAATGTTCTTGTCGCGGTGGCCAGACACGACATGGCGTTCATGCTGGTGAACGCAGTACACACCGCTGGATCGGCAGGTGGTGCGCGAGAGCGAGTAGACACCGCGCTGCCAATTTTGTTGCGCGGCCTTGCGCGTCAGGTGCGAGTTGATGCACTTGGCGCGCCAGTCGCGAAGATCCAACGATCGCGACATGGATATCATGCGGATTGACGGTGAAAACTGGGTGTAGAGGTGGCGCCGCCAAATGGACGAGGTTTGGATGACCGTCTTCCACGCGTGACAAACGCGTTCCGCTCGCACCAGCGATACCAAATCCAACTGACCCAAAATCCGCGAGACAATCTCTTCGGGGAGCTGCACGAGGAAATCGCAGTGCGTCAGCGGCGCGAGCAGGGAGCTCATCACGACGACCTGGGAAGGGTTGAGGCAGCGCACGAGCTCGCCCAGGAAGCTGGATTGCTCGCGAGAGGTCCATCGGCCAAAGTTGGCTCGCAAGAAGGAAATCGCAGCCTCACTCGACAGCTCGCGGGACGATCGAGACGAGGAGGAGGAAGAAAATGAAGAAGAAGAAGCGGAGGAAGCGGAGCTTGACATTGAGGAGCGGCCGTGTCGACCAGAGCGGCTCGAGGGCGAAGCGGCACGAGCCACGAGCAAGCTATTGTCAGCGGCGGATGACAAGGCCTCGTCCTCGCTCCATGCGCGGCCCTCAGGATCGATACGAGCGCGCTTTCGCGCAGCACCTTCGCCGGAATCTTCCATGCCATGAGCAGATGATGATGATGCATCGCCCTTCCTTCGAGGTGCCTGAAATGGGGTGACAGATGGCGGTCGTCGATGCGACGAGCGCGCACGAGAGGTTTGGCCAGAGGCTGGCGATCTGGCGGTTGTGTCGTGGTGCGATGTGTGATGCCGAGACACCACGAGAGAATTTGCAGACCGGGCTTCCTCCAGCTGCTGCGCATGCAACTCGAGCTCGGCGTCGTCCGAGTCCGGGCCCTGATCGGCGAAAAAGCCAAGATTGGCGCCATCCTGGGCTGAATTCTCGACGTACTCTGCCTGCTGGGCCGTGAAGATGGTCGAAAACCCCGCAGGTCGATTTGGCTGGCTGCCTCTGTACACTTGTGAATCTGAAATGACTGAATCTTGGGTTGCATTAAAATGTGCATGCTCAGCGAGCTCCTAGTTTAGAAAAACGTGAATGAGATACAAAGTGAGCACAATCGCCAGAAAACAAATTAAAAAAAAAATGCTGCTGCGCACACTCTCTTACAACAGCGTCGGCGTCTGTATCGTCAAAGTGAGAAACAAAGCCATGGAGTTGGACAGGCGGTGGAGCTGAGGGATTGGAGGGAGCGAGAGGAGGTGCCGACGTTTCGGCCGTACTGGCTGGGTCATGTTCCGCAGGTGGTGGCGGTGGTAGACTCGCAGAGACCAATGAAGGAGGCTCCTCGTACGATCCGGCGAGCAGAGCAAGCGACTCGCCCGACTCTGGAAGCACAACCACACCTGCGCTGGTTGGATTGGATGACAGGTCTAAACTTGGCGACAAGTAGCTGTCGGAGAGTTGGTTTGGCAGCTGGTTTGCTTGCTGGGAACGATCCGACGTCACAACGGGCTGCTGATGGGCAGCAGGATCCATGGCAAGCGGCATCTTGCGCCGAGTTGCAGCGAGTTCCGCTATTGTTGCTTGGGAGCTGCTGGAGTGTGACGGAGACGACAGCCCACCAGCGTTTCCCTCTTGAAGTGTACTTGGTTCAGTCCCGCCTGTCGTGCTGCTCGTCAATCCCGGCAGCGAGTACAGCGACGGGAGTGACAGCAGCGGCGGACGACGTGCTCCTGGCGAGCTTGCAGAACTCGGCGACGACGACGACAATGATGCGTCCTTCGAAGGCGACGCGAGCGCAGGCTCCCGCTCGTTCAGGTCGGACATTGGACAGAGGCGCGAGGTTGAAGCACAGCAACAAGGGAACGACACTGGTGGTTCCCCCCTTCAACGCTGCCTGCAAACACAAAAGCGAGCGAAAGCTTGGGACGAAAAAAAAAAAAAAAAAAACAGAAACAAGAAAGAAGACTGACATTTTTTCTCTTTTGGATTTACGTTTGATAATTTTAGCCCACTCTCGCTCACCTCACATGGACAGGCTGTGAGTGTAGTGGTGAGCGTTTTCGATTTTACTGAAATCCAGCGCGAAGCAACTTGATCGAAAGCGAGAAAAAGAAAAAGAGGCCAAAAAAACATGAGCGCGCGAAAAAAACAAACTTCTTGCGTGAAACGGTTTTGCAAATTTGGGTTCATCTTTGAAACATTTTGCAACAAAAAAAGTGAAACAAACTCACACTGCCAAATACGTAGAAACGTTCTAGTTTTTGAATACAAAGCTCAACTATTTCATCCACAGTGACAGCACACACACACACACAATAAAAAAAGTACTAACACAACGCAAAATACTGTGCACCCAACCCCCGCTTTTACAAAATCGTGCAAGCTCCCTTGTCCACTGGATGCTGGGCCTTGGCTGCTGCCTTGGAGTTGGCTTCTTCGCGCTCGAGGGCGGCTGCCGGCACGACGTCGGGGATGACCTTGGAGACGTTCAATGACTGGTACATTTGGGCCGTCCACCGGCTGCTGAGCGGAGCGAGGGCGTATGGCTCTGGCTCGACCACTGCGCGCGGAGCTGCGAGCTCGGGGAGTTCGGTGGGGACTTTCTTAAAGTAGATAAAGTCGTTTTCGCGCTTCGCTTTGGCAAGGCTGTCGCGGAGCTGGCGCGAGAGGGCCTGGGTGGCAGGCAGCTCGTGAATCTTCAGGGGGGTTTTGGGCTCGCAGTCGACAAACACCTTGCCCAGGGCGTTGGCCTGCTCGAGCAGCTTTTCGGCTTCGGTCATGGCGCGGATGGCATTGCCGCAGTCGTCCTTGCTCAGCAGATCGAGGCCGAGGAACATGTATGCGGCAGCCTGGTAGTACTTGGTCTTCCAAGCCAGGTACTTTGACCACTTGTCGACCTTGTCGAGCTTCACTTGGGCAATGCCCTTGGCGGCAGCGTCAAACTTGTCGGCAATGTCGCGCGCAATGCCCGCGAGAAGGGACGGCGAGTGCTTCTTTTCGACGGCGCGAGCCAGCGATACCTCCTCGGCCTCCGCCAGCAGCTGCGACGAGTAGGCGCGAACGGCCGCGGGATTGGTGTCGGACGGGCTGGCAGACGTGGTGAGGCGGGCGATCTGGGTCGATTCGATAAAGAGCAGGATGCCGGCAGCCACACGCAGCAGCTTGTACGCGTCCTTGAGGTCGTTCTCCTCGGCACTGGCGGCAGACAGCGTCAGATTGGCCTTCTTGGTGTGCCAAATCGCAATGTCTTCGAGCATGGAGATGAGCTCAAACTGGACGTCCGTGTCGCTCGAGATGTGGTGCTTGCCGAGCGTGTTGGTCCAGTAGAATGCAATCAACTTTCGCAGCTTGTTGAACGAGCCCGAGGCAGCAGCAGTGGCAGCGGCTTGGCTGTCTGCAGCAGCGCCGTCAGCAGCAGGAGCGGCAGCAGGTTGTTGTGGCGGGGACGACGCTCCGTCCACCTGGTCGACCAAACCGCGCAGCAGCGACAGATAGGCATTGGCTGTCGACATGAAGGCGTCCTGCGGGGCTTCCCACTTGCCCATGAGGTCGAGCAGGGCGGTGCGAGTGTTGGTCAGGTCCTTGAGGAGCTCCATGCCCTCGCCCGACGTGGCTGCGTCCTTCAGCTTGACAGAGTAGTCGATGCGCGTCGTCTGCTTGAGCGGCGACACAAAGATGGTGAAGGCCGACATACTGTGCTTCTGTGGAAGAGGAGTACAGCAAAATGGGCAAAAAAAAAAAAAGAAAAAAAAAAGGGAAGTCTGAAGGTTAGTGTTGAGTGGGGTTGACGATAGACAAGCGATGCGGGTGTGTGGGTTTGCATGTCAGACGAGACAAGTGAGGAGAGAGCGAGAGAGGGAGGTTGGGAGGGGGGGGAAGAGAGGAGGGGAGAGGGGAAACGTGCGTCAAGGGAGTTGATGACGCAGAGCTCGAGTTTCGCTTTTGCTGTGAGAGTACGACAGTGGTCGAGACACACACACACACACACACACACACACACACCGAAAGAGAAGGAGAAGGAGAAGGAGAAGGGTGATGCGAAAAACAGGGGAATGTCATTGGCGAAAAGGCGGGACGAGGGCAAGGCGCAAAACGGGAATCCGGGTTGTATGGAGCTTGCATTACAGTTGAACGAAGCGAAACAAAGAGTGGGATTCAAAAGGTTACAACCCCATAAAAGAGAGGAGGCGAAAACTGACAACTATATGCCGCAAAAGAAGACGGGCATTGAGCGCGTCAGTGAGACGGAGCGATGGAGGAGGCTGCTCTGAGCAATTTTGATTTGCTTCAACTTCTTCAGTCTTTCCTGGCCGCCCCCTCGCTTTTTGGTTGGGCTCAAAAATCTTTGCATATTCATTTGTCGTGATCTCTTCTCTAGTCGTTGTTTTTCTCGCTGCTGTGTAGTGGACGGACCACAAAACTGTCTCACACGAATGAACCAACCGGACAAGCCACGATACGCTCTGGTGACTGTCGGGACGACCAGCTTTGACGCGTTGATCGCTGTCGTCACAAGCAAGTCCTTCCTGGACGTCTTATGGCGCGTGCATGGGATTGGCCGCCTCGTTGTGCAAGTCGGGCGCGGTGCGATTGCTCCAGAAGACATTGCCACAGCTCCATCAGACTCTCACGCTGCGGCAGAAGCGACCTCCAAGCAAGAAGAGCAACCATCATTATCATCGTCATCGTCAAGCCAACGACGAGTCACACGAAGCCAGGCGACCAGCGTCAATGGCGGCTCGGCTGCGTCGGACTCGGCTCGAGGCACCAGTCATGATCATGATCGCGTTCAGATTGAAGCATACAGATTCAAGCCATCGCTGAGCAAGGATATGGAGCACGCAGAGCTGATTATCGCTCATGGAGGTACGCAATGTCTTGAGCGAAATAATGGAAGCGCCGGCTCAGAGTTTTGTGTTCTGAACGTAGACTTTGTTTTGGTGTTGAGCTGTTGTAGGTGCTGGAACTATTCTCGAGGCATTACGAGCAGATCGGAAATTGATCGTCGTCATTAACGAAGACTTGCTGGGCAATCACCAACACGAGCTCGCAGGCCAGCTCTCGGCAAATGGCCACCTTCTTCAAACCAGCGTTAAGCAAGTCATCTGCTTTTCCCATTTGCGCGTTACTATATTGCCATGTTGTGCTTGTTTGTTGAGTCGTCTCTGACTTGTTTCTGCATCGCACATGTTCTCGTTGAACAGGAAACTCGAACACACCGTTGCAACTGCAAATCTCGCAGCACTAAAGCCACTCCCGCCAGGAAACCCAGCGCCATTTGTTAACATGATTGATTCGCTGATGGGATTTGCGCCATAGCAAGCTGTTTTCATGTGGTCAATCATCCTAATAGAAAGTAGTTTTTTTTTCTTTTCCATTTACTAATGGGCTGATGACGAGAGAGAATAAATTTGTTCCACAACACATTGCTGCGCCGAATCGCACAGGACTCGAGCGTTACACGACACGCTTGACCTCGAAAAGTCGCTTCAAGTAAAAGACTTGAGCCACGGCCATTGTTACCAAGATGATGGCTTCAAAGAAGGACCACCACAGGACGCGAGAGTTGGTGCTATCGTTGGCTGTGAAGGGTGAACAAGGAAGTGGATGTCAATCCCATGAGTGACTGGACATTTGATGCTCTGTTGCAGAGCTCTGCTGTTTCTTTCGACAACACAACGAGAAAACCCGATCGTGGGGAGCTGAGAAACTTACTTCCGCGGTGCGTGGCTTCACGAACCTCCATGTAGTCTTGATCACGTCGAACAGTGGTAAGATGATCATGCAATTGAGCCACCATACTGTCGAGCATATCGGTGTGCTCTGATACAGAAAACGAAATAAAACCAAAAACACAAACGTGAGTGCAGATCAGGAATCAGTCCACCAACCCTGAATCGTACCCTCGGTTCCTGCTGGCTTGGGCTTTTCTGGCGTGTGAATGTCAACGGTAAACATGAGGATCTTGGGCGTCAAGCTCGACATCTTGTTGCCAAAGCAGTACGTGTAGCGACCCGTTTCCGAAGCCCCAAACGTGTACTTTGCGTCCGTCTCGCGATCGCCGCTGTAAACAATCTTGCCATCGGGGCCCGTGATCTAAATCGTGATTCAAAGTGGTGGAAGTGATGAGTCGAGTCGAGTCGCGACGAAACGAAACGTATGGAGAGCAACTTAGTGGGAAATTGACAATCTCTGCTTCCAGACAAGAGTGTCAGACTGCCATCCAAGGCCAAGTAGCAATATGATACACCCGTCATCACCGCATATTTGTGATGCGATCGTCTCTGACGTGTGTGGTGATCCAACCATCACGCACATTGAACGGCAATCAAATCCGCCTGCTCTCATCATCCCTCAGTGCAACGTCCCTTGGCCTTCTGCTCTTTCGTTCCTGGTCTTTGTTGGGAGTGCGCGATGTTGGAACTGGCGGCCAACACCCTCCCCCCTGAGTATACGCTGAACTGATGCAGTGAGCTGGCGCACTTCATAAGCCGTTCTCTCTATTCCTCCCTACATCACTCCTTCCAAGCCAGCATGCCCCACCCCCACCTGCCAGCTCCTCGTTCACAGAATATTTGGCTTTCTCTGAACAAAGCTCGAGACTCGAGCGACGGGGGGGGGCAAAGTCGGGAGGGTCGGTTTTTCACCTTGATGTCAATGTCGAGGAAGCCGCCTTCGTAGACCTGGAAGGCGACCGTCAGCTTGGATCCGCGCTCAATGTGATCGTGGAAGCACTCCTCGGCGTGCGCGTCGACCACAATGTACAGCGCAGAGACGGGCGATGCGAACGCAGCAACGAGGGCCACGAACGCAAGCAGACCGACGAGCAAGGCGGACGAGGACGGCATTGAAGGCTGCAATGGAAAAGAGCAAAAGGAAAGGAAAGACGAGTGAGGACAAGCAAAGCTTCTGAGACAAGGAAACGAAACACACAAATAACAAAGCGAAGCAGCAATATCACACAGCAATCTGAGAAGTGCAGAAGAGACTGAGCGCTTCTGAGAGCGAGAGCGACTTTCACTCAAGTCCAATCCACCACTTGCCCCCCCCCTCCCACCTTCCCCCGGGCGCTCGCTGCGTTCTACACTATTTGTTGCAATCCTTCTGTGTCGTGTTCTTTTCCTTTCCTCTTGGTTGCTTCCAAACAGGATCAAAACTTCAGGTCCCCCTTTTTTTTTTTTTTTTTTTTTTGGTTCCCCGGCCAATTTCCCTCTCCCCCGGGTTTTAAAAA